TTATTCCTTGCTTTTTATTATTATAAATTTTGGCCTTCAAACTTTCAAAGTTTAATTTTCTAGCTTATCATGTAACTTTTGATTTGGAAGCCTTGGGGGAGGGATAAAGCTACCAAATAATTGTGTTTAAGAAGCTATTCTTATTAGTACTTTAAAGCATAAAATATAAAAAATTTGAATCAAATTCCATATCTTTAATAAAAATATTTCCAATCAAAATTTAATTTAATTGATTGCTTTACTTCCTTTAAAAAAGTAAATTCTTACACAATTAAAGTTTAATTTTTAACATTGATAAATTTTTAATTTTTTAGATTATCATATCCTTTATAATTAAATGTTTCTTAAGAAGAATAAAATTAATAATACAAAAAATAAAGTAATTTTAGACGTGCCCACATTAAGATATTATCCTTTTTTTTTTCATTATCTAAAGCAAAAGATAAGAAAAGCACTCTCTAATTTACCCACAATTTTAGCAATTACTATCAAATATATTAATAGATTTGAACAAAATCATAAAAAAAAAACCTTATCTTTTTGGATTGCTTCAATCAATTTAAATAAAAATTGAAATCAATCATTATTTCATACTTTATTTTCAAAGCAAGCAAATGGAAATTTTTATTCATTATTAAAAATAAAATTATTTTTTAAAATGAGGGTCTTAGAAAGAAATTTTGAATAGACAAATAAAAAGAAAGAAAGAGAAATGCCAACAAATTTAAACCAAAATCACAAGGTTAATTTTCTTTTATTTTTAATAATCAGATATAAATTTATTTACTTATTTTACATAAAATATATCAATTAATAAAAATGAAATTAAATAAGAATAAAAAATTTATTATTTTTTTCCTGTTTTGTCTAGGACATGGCAGTAAAGGGTTCATGCCCACTGACTCTGTTCTGAATTTCTGAGTTAGGATTCCTCAAGCCTCCTTTCACCAAACCAAATATTAAAAAAAAGGAAGAAAACCCATGAATTATAGAATTATAGATTAGGAAAGAAACATGATGATGAAAAAAATGTAATGTAATAATTAAAAGAAAATGAGAGAAAAATATACAATGAGGAAAAAATAAATAGAAAACCAGTCTACATATGAACAGCTCAACACCTTTTCATCCTCCAATAAAATGACTCGTTCTTTTCTTTCATTTCAATAGGCAAGAGAGTATTCCTTTCTCTGTCAACAATCTCTCCCTCTTCCTCTTCTTCCTTAGTACTCTTCTCTTTCTCTTATATAATCTCTGTTTTAAAGAGCTAAAAATATACAACCATAAAACAAGGCAAAAAATAAAAAATAAAAGGGAAAAAAATGGTGATGAAGTTGCCTTGTCTGGGTTGTTCTTTGTTCTTGGTTTTGACTTTGGTTTCTGTTGTTGCTTCTGGGTCTGAAAAAAGGCTTCCTATTCTGTCATTTGATGAAGGGTATACTCAGTTGTTTGGAGATGATAATCTAGTTATCCATAGAGATGGTAAAGCTGTTCACTTGTCTTTGAATGAGAGAACAGGTTTGTTTCTTTTTGCTTGTTTTTGGGCGTTGGGTTTTTTCTTTTCTTTATTGTTTTAGTGAAAGGAAGGATTTTTTTTGCTTTGTGGTGTAAAACAGGGTCCGGATTTGTATCACAAGACCTTTACTTGCATGGTTACTTCAGTGCTTCAATAAAGTTACCTGCTGATTACACTGCTGGAGTTGTGGTTGCATTCTATGTGAGTTTATTTCTGTTCAAGCTTCTGCTTCAAGATTAATCTTTTTTTTTTATTTTATGGTTGCTATTAACCAATCCAAATTGTTTTTTTTTTTTTTTTAAAGTATGATGCTAATCCTTTGCTTTAAACTTAAAATTCTGGTCAAACTATTGATACTCGGATTTTCGAATGTTTTCTTCACTTCCCCTTTCATGGTTCAACTTGGAGTTTGATAGTGTCCTGAAGACTGTTTTTTTTTTTTTTTTTTTTCAAGTCATAAATTTCAGATTTTCGTTCAAGTATCTGATCAAATCCAGATAGATGTCACTATAAACATATTAAAGTTTTCTCATTATTTTTGCTACAAAAAGCTTTATAAGAAAATAAAATCAGGTTGATTAAAATAAATTCCAGATAGTTTTGCCTTTAGTTTTAATTTCAAACTCATTTTCCAATATATATATATATATATATATATTGTTGCAAAGATTTTCTTTTTAAAGGACATAACTTCTGAAAATAAATGAAAAGAATCCCCTGTTTATAGATTTTTTTTTCTGATGACAGATGTCAAACGGTGATATATTTGAGAAGAATCATGATGAAATAGATTTTGAGTTCTTGGGTAACATCAGAGGCAAAGATTGGAGGATTCAGACCAATGTTTATGGCAATGGAAGCACCAGTGTTGGCAGAGAAGAGAGATACAATCTTTGGTTCGATCCTGCAGATGATTTTCATCAGTACAGTATTCTCTGGACTGATTCTCAGATCATGTAAGCATCAAAATCTATCCCCGCATCTCTCCTATAATTGGTTGTAGCCTAGCTTTCCTTTTTCCTCTATTGGTTAAATCCCTTAGCTTTCTTCTCTGCTTCAACCACAACATATTTAACTGATGAATTTTTTATGATTAAGTGGGACTTGCTGTTTTGAAGAGTGTGATGTGATGGTTTTATTGTAATGTAGGGTGGGGTTTCTTATTTGTGGAGGTTTGTATAATTGTACAATATGTGCTCTGGTTTTTGCTTATAATGGCATCCCCCTGTTTCATCCAACCAGTTTTTCTTCTAATTGCATAACTAAATTGTTCTGTCGCGGTCTGCTTGCTTTGAGAATGGATGAAACTATAGGAGATTAGGCTTAGAATTGTAGTTCATGATTCTATTAATCGATAATCCTTGAATTAATTTCTACATCTATGGTGATGATTATAATGTGGTGGTGTAGTGCTGGTGCTTGCAGATAAGATTTCACTCAAGTTTCTGTTCATGTTTCCAGATTTTATGTAGACAATATTCCCATTAGAGAGTTGAAGAGAACAGCTGCTATGGGTGGAGACTTCCCCTCTAAACCAATGTCTTTGTATGCTACCATATGGGATGGGTCCGATTGGGCTACTAATGGTGGCAAATATAGAGTCAATTACAAATATGCTCCTTATGTAGCCAAATTCTCCGATCTGATCCTTCATGGCTGCACGGTTGATCCAATCGAATTTTCATCAAAGAGGTGTGACAGCACCCAAAGTTTGGAACAACTTTCTACCAGTATCACTCCTTCACAAAGAAGCAAGATGGATAACTTTAGGAGGAAGCATATGACATACTCCTATTGCTATGACCAAACAAGATACAAAGTTCCTCCTCCTGAGTGTGTGTTCAATCCCCAAGAAGCCGAAAGACTGAAAAAGTTTGATCCAGTCACATTCGGAGGAGGCCAGCGCCATCACGGGAAACGACACCACCGCAGCCGAGCAAGCCAGTCCAAGTCTGATTCCATCTAAATAAAGAGACCTTGCTACAATTATTTTGTTGCATTGTGTGCATTATTCCCTCTCCTTTCCATTCAGTTTAATATAATTGGGGGCTCAGTTTTGTGTATAGAGAGAGAGGGGGGAGAGCACAGATATTTATTGAGGGTGATACACTTCTTATATGTTTCATGATGTCGGTATGTGTATAGTTCATACGTTTTTTTAGATTCCCAGTCCATTTTTATCATTCATATTGTCTCTCTCTGACTTTTACAGATTGAATTTGGTGATGATTTCCTGTACTTCCCACAGACCCTCATGTGTTCAATAAATACTTTAGAATGTATCGAGTTTATACAGTTCTTATATATGTATGTAACTGCCATCAAAGCATCTCTGCTTCATTTTCTGGTGAGGTCTTTTTCTGGTGGTTCAAAGAATCATCTGCAACACCCAAAATTGTTGTATTTAATGTCCAAAATTTGGGGTTATCTGTATGTCTGTTTGTATGTTTATAATTTTAAAGTCAGACTGTCATGTTCAGAGGACATTTTGTCAATGGGTAGTTGGTTGGAATCCAAGGTCGGTTATTTGTGACAAGTGGGGGAACTCACGTTTTGCAAATGGCAGCACGTCTGGACCGTAAGTTTAAGGGTAAAACTGTGATTCTGGGGCTGGAAATTAAGGGATCCTCATTGTTTTAACTTTGAAGGGGAAGATGGCAGTTGGGGTATTAGTCTCAAGCAAGGATTGTATTTCACGCATCTCTGGTACGATGAGATTGAGTTTGTTGTATTATCAATTAAATTTAGATGTTAATTTTAATAAAATTTATTCAACATAAATTTTTTATTAATTTTTTTATTTATAATTACGATAATTTTTATTATTATTTTGAATTTCATCAAAATCAATTTCACGGTACATTCAAATAGAGCATCAGTCTCACATGCTAGCATTTAGGGTAGTTGGGAACTTGTTGATTTATTGCTTTGATTTCATATTTTCATTCAAGAAGCGAGGGAATTGCATGTAGCCAATAGCAACTAGCACGTTTACATGCTCCATTGTTAATGTTAGGCTTAATGCACCGTTACTACTACTCATCCCTTTACAACTGGAAACGATTGCTTAGTCAAAAGTCCCATTTATACCCTTTTTTTACTAAAATTCTGAAGAACCAATGCTAATAAATGCCTTTTAAAAAGATAATTAAGCATTCAATAAGCTTTTTTTTTTTTTGCATTTTTCAACTTAAAAATAAAAAGGTGAAGGAAAAGAACTAAAGAAAACTTCAAGAAGAAAAAGAAGATTGTGGGATGTTGTTTTCATCGTGAACACTATTTGAAAATATAATCGAATTCATTTCTATTTTATACAAAGAAATTCAAGAGAAAAATTAGATTCGATTCTTAATTTTTAAGATTAACAAATAGAAAAAAATATTATAAACAAATGTTGAATTTAAATTTCATACTTATTTAATATTATTTTTTAAAAATAATTATATGAATTAATTAAATAAAATCTCCAGTTCAACTAATTTTTATAATATTATTTTACCATATTCTCCTATTACTATCTCTTTCTTTATATCATTATCATCCTTTCATTCTTTCATTTATTTATTTATTTTCCTTTATAAAAAATGTAAATCTCACTCATTCATGAGTACATATAGTGTTGAAAGAATTGTAAAAGTGGAATGAAATTAATTGTAACTAACATGAATCCAAATTGCAATGAAGCCTCCAAAAATATTTCTATTTTCACTTATTGGGGTAAAGCCTAAAGAAAGAGTTTATCATTGCAAGACAAAGTATCATGGATTCTGAGGAAGCTTTAATTTTGTCTTAATCCAAACTCTGTAACACTCAATTTTAAAACATTTGGCCACACATTAGCTGTCATGTTTCATTGAGATTGGCTACTTTGTTGGAGAATTAAAGGTTGCTTCAAAATTCTAAGATAAGAAAAGGGGTTCATAATCAAAGTGAGATAAAATTGATGATAAGAAATTCTCCAAATCTTTTCTGAAAAGCACTTGTTAACCAGAAAGCATGAGTCTGGTTGCTTTTACAACAACTCAATCATCTTTTTTTTTTTTTTTTTCTAATTTTTTGTCCTTTTCCAAATGTTAATAGAATCTGTGGAACTGTTGTTGTTCATGGTACTGATAGCTTATGAAATTCAATTTGGTTTGGGATTAGAACCTACCTTGGAAAGACCTCTTCCTACAAACAAGGTCGAGTTGAATTGTTTTGTTAAAAGTTATCCAAAGTTTGTTTCATTATTTATCTGCTTATCATTAAAAGAAGATATTTGAACGTTTAAAAATGAGGGAAAATTTTTCAATATAATTTAAAAGATGACAAAGAAGAATTTCAAGAAAAAAAAAAAGAAAAGATGACCTTTTATTATGTAATAATTCTTAAGCATAAATAAATAAAAAAATAAAATGTTTGGAATAAGATAAAATACAAGAAAAAAAAAAAAAAAAACTTTTATTGTTGTGCGTTACAGATAAAATGAGGTGTGGTCAGATGTCTAAAAAATTCGGGACAAATAAGGAATTGTTCTTACAACAGCATTTAGCATGTTGGGTCGGTAAAATATGCCAAATATTTTTTTTTTGTTATATTAAAGGTAAAATTCTAATACAAATAAAAAAAATGAAAAAAATTTAATTTGAAATCAAGTTCTCGATATCCCTTCAAACATCTTTATTACTAAACTAAAGATTTAGGGTCTATTAGTTAGAATCTCGATCATCATCTTTTTTTTCATTTAGTATACAAAGTATTATATTTGTTATTTATTTTTTTTTTTTATTCAAAATTATTATGATTAATTCATTTTGCAGGATGGGATGGTGCCCAAATGAATCCAGAAAAGATTTTTAATTATTTCTTCGGTGAGAAGAAGTTTAGAGTGAGGTAAGCTTCTCTATCGTAGAGTCAAGATAGATCATAGATGAGAGACTTCAAAAGAAGACTTAAATTGAATTATAATTCATATATTTAAAAAAAAAATTATATTCATGGCAATTGAATGCTTTAGATGTTCATTCATCCATAAAAGAAAACAGCGAAGCTTTCACTAAACCACATAATTCATATCTATCCATGAGCACTGACATAAATCCATGTGCAAAGCTCATGGAAAGCTACATCTCAATCTTTTAAAGCAGAAAACATCTTCTTGATTGATACAGATGCTAAACTTCTCTTTTGCTTGTCTACCACCTAAGGACGTGATCGACCAAGTTGGAGCATATATAAGATTTTTAATTTTTTTAGTTTGAATTTAATTCCAAATAAAAATTTTAATTCGATTAACATATAAAAATAAATTTAATTTTTATATTTGATAAAAATTCAATTATTTATGCTCAAACTAAAAATATTTTATTAATTAAAATAATTAAAATATAAAAACTCAATTAAGCTCTCTAACTATTTAAATCAAGTATAAAAATGCTTAAATTTGACTCATTGATAAATCAAATTATTCAAACTTAAATTAAACTCAATAAAAACCAAATCGAATTCAAGTTTAACCCAAATAACTTACGAGTAATATATCATTTACACCCTTACTACTACCTTTTCTACATTTGCTAACAGTAGAAGAAATGAAAGAAAAGGAATTTTATTAATACAGCTAACTCAAATGGAAGAAACGAAAGAAAAGGAATTTTATTAATACATGTTTGTAAGAAAATAACATATAAATGACTTGCAAGATCATGCCCTCCATCTATAACCATACGATCATTAAAAGATTTTTTTTGAAACTAGCAACTGATAAGAAACATAAATGATAGTCCAAAAGCATAAATATCCAGAAGGATTCTTTCCACCAAGAAGAGGCAGATGCATTCAGAAAGTTTTTCGAAATATAAATGAGGCCACCGAGTTTCAAATTCTATGAGCAGACTTGCATGATCCCAAAAGAAAGGACAAAAAGAAAAGATGAAAGGATATGAGTTTACGCATCAGCAATTTTATGGCCTATGCTGGTCTGTGACATTTTATGACTGACGTATTTCTGTGCAGAACAAGACCTCTAATTCTGGGATTCAGTCGCCTCCTTTCTCTCTATCAGTTTGATGAAATTGCGAACAATTGTTTTGCCTTCAGAGGTTATGATGCTCTCTGGATGGAATTGAACACCCTACAGTTTCCAATCAATTTGTAAATGTAAGTAAAGTTAATATGGTGAGTCTAAACTTAAGTAAAAAGACAAGAACCATGTCTAATTTAGACATAGCTGACAAAAAGGGGTTCTTTAAATAATTCAAAAGACAAGGAAAGTGGCAAATAAACATAAAAATCAAGGAAGTCAAAAGGCTTCCTAAAGCCTCTGCATAAGGTTTTCTTTTGGGTCCTTTCTTTTCACCTATTCTCCTGTAATAACTGTAAGAAAAAAATGACAAAAAGCACTCGTTAAAAGTTTGACGTATACTCATCATCTAAAAGAACCATCTCAAGTAGCTCCTAGGACTTGTTCTGATGGCAACTTTTAGATTATTTCCTCTAACAAACTGGTAAGCATGAAATCTAATTATATATAGGACAATATTAAGCAGTTTATAGGAATTACCTGACAGAAAGAATACAATTTGCCAAGCATTGCAGTCATTTAATGCTGAATTAACTGCAAAACTTTCATGATTTTAGAAACCAGCACTGCTCTTTTGTGATGTTTATGAAGGTACCATATCAGAGGAGCTAGTTGGAGTGCACATGTTTGATCACAGCTGCAATTACCCAAGTTTGTATGGAGTTTCTATCATAGTAAATAATATACTCCAATTACTCTAGACAAGTTTACGTAGGGTAATCTTGCCAAATAAATCAATAAGAGGTTTCTTGATTTCTGTTGATTCATCAATTTCACTCTGAGATGGAGGAGAGGAGCAAGTTAAGATGACAAAAGGATCGCATTGGACCTATAGGTAATTTTGAGATGCTATACAAAAAATAATTACTGTAATTCTTAAAGTTAGAAGAAGAATAATTAATTTAGGTGAAGAAATCAGTTCTAGCACAGGAAACAAATTCTGACCAGCCAATTAGTTAGTAACCAATTTGATGGTATGCATATCTTCACATTCAACAAATCATTGTACAAATACATTACATGTAAAAAGTGATGGCAGTTTTACCTGTAGGTGCTTATAGACTTTGTGCCGAGCAGCCATTATCAGTCCATCTTCTGTCCAAGCAGTAATCTTGAGTTCTTCCCCAGGAAAACTGTCCTTTTCAATCACAAGGCTGTGATATCTTCCAGCTTTGAAAGGGCTGGAAAAGACACAATAATTGTAAGAATTACCGATAATATGAGGTGTAATTAATGAAAATAAATGAAACTTCTTTAACTTAAAATGTAGTTTAACAGACGCTTAACAAATGTCCAGCAAGAAGCACAAGGATAATAGCATAAAAGGAAAATGAGGTTTTGATATCACACCCACATGGGCGTTAGGGGAGGCAGTGAGGGGCAGTTTGCGATGAGAGAGAGATTGGCTTTATTTTAAATTGCTCAATCGTTATCATATACCTTTAGAAAATAGACACTATGCCAAAATTTATATGATCAGCTTTCTTTATCTGTAGTTCAATTGACTCCCTGCTCTTGACAACCTTTCATTGCCAATCTCATAGCTAAACCAAGGTCAGAAAGAGGCATGGTTATTTTCATAACTACAAACATAAATTTTGTAATTATTAAATGCTCTTCACTTCTACACCGTTCTAACATTCATTTTGCTAATCTGAAATTTTAATTAAAAGAAGCCTTCTTTTATGCCACTTCAGTTATATTTCAATGGCTACAACAAACTTAGGAAATTATTAGCTACATATTTATTTAACTAGGCACATTATGTGTAACATGCTGTATTGCATGAAAATCATAGCTGACATGCTATATAGAGTACTATGGACTTTCTGACCCTTAAAGAGTTGAACCAGAGATCTATTACATTGATAAAACAAAAGCTTAGAGGTCGTAAAATGCTTTGTTGAAGACTCAAGAATGTTTTTTCTCAAGGGGTATCGGAAGAAATAGTGGAATTTGAAACTCTTTGAAGTTAAAACCAGCATATTCATAGTTTTTATTTGTCCAGGCTATCCTACAAATCAATCTCTTCAGTCTTATAGTGTATCCCTCCCCCTTCTTCAGCTTTGAGGAAGACTTTTGAAACATTTAAAAACAACATGTGATTGTAGAAGAATCAAGGCATAGGTAAGGTTTGGTAATTAGAGTTCCAGTGGCTGTGGGAGATGAAAAAGAAAGGAGATAAGGTGGAGGGGATGGAGTTCGATGTCATAATTTAAGGGTATAGTAGATAGAAATTTGTCTGATAGCACCTATCCACTATTTTGCCTATAAAGTATATAAAATTTCCAAAAAATTGAAAGTTGTTAAGAGAAAAATGCCGTAAAGGAAACTCTATACCTGAAGGGTAAAAAGAGAGCTTACGAAACAATCTCTTTAGAAACAAAGTGAGAGTTTGACTAAAGATAGCACATAATTTAAGCACAGTTTGAGAATTTTAAAAGGAGAATCATGTCAGAAGAAGTAATACATACTTGGACAATCCAGTGAACAACCCATCTTGCCCCTTCTCATCATAATATACAAGAGAACTTTTGCCATGCATAACACCGAAGGGAGAACGCACTATCTTTCCTGCATTTTGCAATTAAGTCAAACAGATTATGTTAAAAACCCACCAGCAAGCTGCTCATCTTCCTTGATAAACATGAACAGATATAAATTATTCTCCAATCTAGCTTTTCTAGTATAAATATTGAGATGATACAGAGAAGACAGAAATTAACATGAACAATAGTTACTTAACGTATCCTAGAACACTCACCTCCGAAAGCCTCACCGATGCACTGCAAACCCATACAAACGCCAAACAAAGGTACAATAGGTCCAAGTTCCAAAACTGTTTGCAATGATATTCCAGAATCTTGGGGTGTTCCTATATAAAGGATAGAAAGTGTATAACATGCTTAAATGTGACAGATTTTATGTTTTGTTTATTAATAGTTTTGAAAAAGTACACCAAACTATTACCTGGACCAGGGGAGATAAGCACTCCCCTAGGATTTTTCCTACAAATATAACAAGAAAAATTGTAAGTTATCGAATCAAACTTTAGCGATTATATGTTAACAATCACCACCCAAGTGACCATCATGTTACACAAGTGGATTAATAAACAATATTGCACTAGTAAAACGGTTAGTTCATACCTTTTCAACTCTTCTACAGTTAACTCATCATTTCGATAAACCTCAAAGTGACATCCAAGCTCTCCCATATACTACAAAATTAGAGGAAATTTCTGAGGATATTCTGTTCACGGTCAAGAATACAACTCAGAAAAAACTAAGAGATCAATTAAACCAAAACGTTCAAAATAAAGAAAATAGAACATTTCAGATTCTAAAAATTCTTTAATTAACTCTTATTACTCCTTTCATAAGGCGACAATTAAATGAACCATATCTTCTTAAAAGGAGAAAGACAAGAGCCAAGTAAGCATGATTCCCTACATTGAAGGCCAGATGACATTCTATTCCCTAATAGTCGGTTTCTCAGTGCTTATTCTTGTCAGAAAAAAAATTCAATTTAGATCGTATTGGTGATAATCTCTGACCAAAGAATTATGGTACCATAAATATAAAAAATTGTCCCATGCTATTGACTTTCAAGACCATCAAACTGAGTGATGATCAGTATCAAATATACCAAATTGGACTCACCGCACTGTTGCAATATTCAGCAGGAATCACTTTTAACATATCATGTCTCTTACTAATACCCTCAAACCACATTTGTTAATTGACAATTATAGCCATAATAAAATCCAACATTTTCACTGAGGTAAAATAGTTGGGATGAAGCACCTCAGTTCATGTGAATCCTTTCCTTCAAAAGGAAGAACTATAATAATATCAAAAACACTAAATTTTCATCAGTAAAAAATTTTTTTCTGGATCATATACATACATAGTATTTATTTCTTATAAGAAGAAACAAATCAACCCGTATATTTTCTTTCTTTTATACTGGTTTTAATTGAGTTTCTTAATTTTAATTAAATTATCAAGCCTTCCCTAACAATGAATGTATATTCTCTATCACACGACGTACAACAAATTTCCTATCAGCCTGCCAACGAGTAACTCTCATTTCTGTTGTTTTCCTAAAGATTGTAAGCAATCAAACAGCATTGCGGAATCAAGTCTTAAACCTCAAGGACAATTCAGAGAAGGCAAAAAGATTGGACAAAGAAAAAGACAATTTAGAACATGCAATTAAAACCTGGCAAAGATTGTACGTGAAACTATCATAATTGTCAATGACGATAATGGGATTCTTGCTGTTTTTCTTATACTCCAAAACTGAAGAGGTTGAGTCCGACACAGCCGATCCCAACGATGCTTTTCCAACAATCCCAGTAGTCTTTTTTGGCGAAAAACCAACCCCTGCAAGACAAAACAGAAAAAGAACTTTCTTTTGATACTCCGTACACCCAAAAAAAAAAAACCCAAAAAAGATTGAGAAAAGAGTGAGACTTGATGCAGGAGAGAGCCCGGATGGGAAAGACGGAGATGGGTTTTCAAGCTTTTTAGCAGAAAGTGAAGGTTTTTGTTGAACCAGAGACGATTGCAATATAACATTAGAAGCCATTTTTCTTCAAAAGTGAGAAAAAGAGCAAAGAAGGTGTCTTTTTTTTTTCAATGCGTCAGGTTTCTCTGTCATTCAATATCTCTCAGAGTTTCTGCTGTTCTATAAAATTTAAGTGAACAGGGGCCATCAGTTTAGGTCCTGAAATGGAAATGTGGAAACGGCGGATGGATTGTAACTGGGCCTTGTTTTGGGGGTGGATCATCAGATCCTCCTTTAGCTGTTTCTGTTCATTTTGGTTATCCTTGTTAGAAAAACTGAATCCCTATTAGGAAATAGGAAATCTAAATGGGATTTTTAATAAGGGTTTTCGTGAAGAACTGATTTTTTTTCAAAGTTTTTAATGTGGACCTTTAAAACTTTCTTACCTTTATTTATATATATATGTGATAAAAAAATATTACATATTTAAATTCTTTTGAATCGAAAATTTTAAATATCGATTTCAATAATATATTAATTAATTCAAAAAATAATCAATAATGATAAATTGATACTAAATTTAAAATTATAGAGGGTCTAACTGCATCTTATTATAATGGTCAATGTTTTAATAATTGAGTACCAAGTTGAACTCGTAGCATATCAAATTTCAGTTCAATTGGTTGATTTAATTAAAAGATGATGTCATTGTAAAAATATAAATTTTTAAAAAATAAAAAATTATCTAATTCAGTGACAAGTGAAATTTAAAAATTTTATCCTAACAGGTTGTCAACAGGTAGATACTATATTAAAATATATTTAAAAATTAATAAATTTATATGATAAATAAAATATATATAATAACATTTTAACAATATTAATCCTTAAATAAATATTAGATGCTTTTAATACCAAATAAAAATTTACACTTAATTTAATGGTACAAACATCAATGAAAATATTTTTTTTTTCAAATCGATTTGACAAATAATTTCTGATTGAATTATTTTTTTTTTTAATTTCATTTGAATGAATGATGAGATTAATTATAATAAAATTAAAAATAATAATAAATTTATTATAATTATGATTTAAAAAATTATTATAATTGTAATTAAAAAATATTTTAATAAAAAATTTATGTTGAATAGATTTCATTGAAATTAACTTTTAGATTTAATTAATAGTATAATAAATTTAATCACATTACATTAAAAATACGGTTGAATCTAAATAAATACTTAAAAAATTACTTATTTTATATATATATTTGCAAGTTAATTTCCAATTCTCGGATTTCGTAAGTGAAAGATATATAACACAAAATTAATATCAATAATATAACCTGTTTATGGATGTAAATATCTTAATTATTTTTTTATTTACACTCCTTTTACATTTAAGCTTTTAGATTTATAAATTCGAAAGATTTTTAAATTTTTTAAATTTGTATATCCAAAAACTTTTAAAAATTTTTTGGATTTACATATTCAAAAATTTTTAAAGTTTTCAAATTTTTATTTTCAAAAATTTTAAAATTTATGTTTCATTGAAATTAATAAAAAATCTAAAGATCCGCATGCGTAATTTTTTTATCAATTTGTAAATAAATTTAAAATTATCCGAAATAATTTACATTTTTTAAGGATGTTATGAAAATCCTCAATTGATTTTTTTTTCAATCCTTAAATGTAACTTTTTTAATTTACTAATATGAAAATTTAGTAAGTTATATAGGTAAATTATAAAATTTATCAAAATGCATATATGAAAGTTTTAAAATTGACATTAAAAGGATAACTAAATAATTTTATTTAAAAATTAAAAAAATAGATATAAAAATTATTAAAAAATATTATTAAACACAGACTTTTGTTGAGTTACGGCTTATACATACTGGCTCAAACAAGATATAAAAAGCCCATAACAAATTTGATCATTTTAACTTAATAGGACAAATTGCCCGTATGTTTCTCTTATGACCAAATCTATCACCCCATTTTATAAGTCAAAATTTAATTAATGGTATCTTGAAAATTTCTAACATTTATTTCTTAACTAAATTTTGGTGCATCCAACCATGTGAGAGGATGACAAAATAAGTGAAATAAAAAAAATTTTGAGGAAAAACAAGTGAAGGAAAGGAGTTAATGAATTGTAGTTTTATGAATATATATGGAGGAGACGGATCAATTATACAGTGTAAAATTAAAAAAGTTTTATATAAATTTTTAATTATTAATTTCAACAGATTTAATGAATGAGAGAAATACGTAAAAATAAAAAAAAATTAATTTATTAAAATCAATAATTAATAAAATATATACAACTTTTTTAATTTTATACTGTGTAAGTTGATCACTCATCTTTATATATTCAAAAAACTACAATTCATTAACTCATTTCTTTCACTTGTTTTTCCTCATTTCTTTTTTATTTCACTTATTTTGTCATCCTTTCATATGGTTGGGTGAACCAAAATTTAGTTAATATATAGATATTATAATTTTTTTCAAGACATCATTAATTAAATTTATATCTATTTATTTTATAAATTTGATTTATTTTAACTTTTGTTTAACCATCGTTTGAGGTCTCAACATGTCATTTTATGTTTCTTTTCTTTTTTTGTTATTTTAAAATTCTTTAGATTATATTTTTCATTAAGATAAAAATTGTGTAAAAATAATATAGGTACCCATGTGACATCTCAATTTATTTTTTTTTTCTTTTAATTCTTTAGTTTGATAAATTTTGCAACAAAAAGAGCTAATGGATAGGAATGAGAAAATAATTTGTATTTGATGGATCCTAACTCAATTGGGATGTTTATGTAGTACCTCAATGAGTTTTGTTTTTTCCTTTTTCCTTTTTCCTTTTTAAACTTTTTAAAATTTCTTTCATTTTTCCTTTTCTCATTTTTGTCTTTTTAATAAAAGTAATTTTATAAAAAATAAAACTATGGATGTGTCCACATGGCATCCAATTTGGTTTTTTTACCTTTGATTTTTTTGTGTTTTTTTATTAGATAAATTTTGTAATGATTAATGCCAATTGATAGAGATGTCAAAACAATATTCATTTGACAAGTTTCAATCATCTTAATATGATAAAGGAGGATTTCTTAAAATTAAGATTGAGTTGAGATGGATTGAGTTTTTTAAAGAAAAGCAAGATTGGATTTGAAAAATGTTTATGGTATTTTGTCTTGATCTATTTTAAGGTATATATAAAAATATATTATATTTTATTATTTATTTTGTTTTAGACATATATATGTATTATATTAAAAATTTATATTTTTTACCTTAATTTAAGAAACATGGCTTTTTTTTTAGTATTTTATACAGTTGATCTTAGAATTATGAGATATAAAGTTTAATTTATTAATTATTATTGTATATTTTAAATTTAATATAACATGTTAATGTAGCACCCTTTATTAACTTTTTTTTCCCTTTTTAACTCATTTTTAGTTTTTTTCCACTTTTTCCGTTTATCATATTCTCACTTTTCCTCCTTTTTTTAAGTTTTCGGCATTTATTTTTTAGATTAATTTTATGAGAAAAGGTAGTCAATTAGAATATTCACATTTTATTCTTGTTTGTTTTTTTTTCTTCCTTTCATTTTTAAAAAATATGATAAATTTTGCAAAAAAAAAAAAAGATAAGTACTTAGCCATATTTAGACTAGATAATTCAAAACACGACATGAAAATGATACAAAAATATATATAAAAGTAATATGAGTTAAAATTTTAATAAAAATAAAAAAATATTTTTTATTTTTATATCGACATAAATTGTGAGACACATTTTTTATATAAAATATAATATGAATACATAAATTTTTATTATTTTATATGACGATAATGCAAAAATTATCAAATTTATCCATGATAATACGTGAATATATTTGTAGTTCTTTTAAATTTTGTAGTTTCATAAAAGTATGGAATTGATTATAATTTATAAGAAATTAATTGCCAAACTTATTTGATCTTTCTCATAGGTTTTACTACGAGCTACAACCATATTGATAGTGAAATTTTTTGCATATTGGATGTTGAAATATGTTTATAATTAAGATGGATTATCCGAAGAAGCATGCGTGGAGTCACCTTGGCTTTGCTCACCAACCAAGTATGGTCCCTTCGTGGCACCTTGCATGGTCTTTAGACCATTCCTAGTATTTAGTTTAAGAAATTCAACTATATATTTCATAGGGTTTAATTTTTACTTCTAATTTATATGATTCAATATCTCTTTCTTTGCTAAACAGAAATTGATTGATCTTTATATTACTACTTTATGGTGACGATATGATTATAATTACCAACAATTGGTTGAAAATGTTAGGTAAGCAGTAGGCTTTAATCAATATTTGCTTTTCTTCAGGGCTAGGACCCATAAAGTTAGTGCCTTTTGATTTATATAAATCTAAGTTATATTACTTTTAAGAGGCGTTTGATTTGATTCACGGAATGAATTTTTAGATTTTTTAAAAGATTTTTAACAATATCAATAAAGAAAAAAAGAAAGGGAATATTAAAACTCTTATCTACTTAAAGATTTTTTTTTTTTAATTTAAGATGAAAAGCAAAAATTTTGCCTTATTTAACCCTCGTATAATTGCATTTCAAACTATGTTATCTTTTTTAATCTCTTAAAATTACAAAGTAAATATGATTTTGTTTTTTTATAATTTTAACAAGTACTATATTTTTAAGATAAAAAATGTAATAGTTGTTGAAATTATATTTTTGAAAAATTTAAATTTAATAAAGATTATGTTTTTAAGAAAAAACGTAATGAATATTAATATATTTTTAATTTTTGAAATTTTAATAAAATATCACGTTTTTAAGATAAAAACGTAATGATATTGAAAAAAGATTATGTTTTTAATATAAAAATATAGAGAATGTTGAAACTATATTTTAGACATTATGAAATTTTAACAACGATCACATTTTTAAGATAAAAACATAGTAGATATTGAAAATTTATTTTCAATATTCTAAAATTTTAACAATTATATTATTTTTAAGATAAAAAAACGTAATATATGTTGAAATTACATTTTAAAATTTTTAAAATTTTAATAAAAATTACGTTTTATTTTAAAATGTAGCAGATGTTGAATTATATTTTTAAAATTTTAAAATTTTAATAAAGATCGAGTTTTAAGATAATAAATGTAGTGGATGTTGAAAAAAGATTGTGTTTTTAACATAAAACACTTAGTGAATGTTCAAACTATATTTTCAAAATTTTGGAATTTAAATAAAGATCATATTTTAAAATAAAAACATAGTTGTTGAAATTTTATTTTTGAAATTATAAAATTTTAACAAAAATTATATTTTTTAAATAAAAATATAATGCATGTTGAAATTTTATTTTTGAAATTCTTAAATTTTAATAAAAATCACTTTTTTATGATAAGAATGTAATCCTTGTTGCTACTCGCACTAAAATTAAAATAAAACGTAAAATATATTTATTTAATATTATTACATATAAAATTTTGATACGAGGGTTTTGCCCTTTGAAAGCACCAAAATGAGAGTTTACCACCCTCTTTCAACCATTTATGTCGATCTTACCTTGAAGGTCAATTCACGAATTTTTTTTGAGTATGGACAATTAACATAAGAATAATAATTAATAATGTAAAATTATCTTTGTTAAAATTATGAAAAAATGTTTTTTTTTTAAATTATTTGATTTCAACGAAAATTAACATTTGTTCGTGTGTCAATAAGAATAATATAGTAAAAAATTTTATTAGGCAATCTTCAATTTCTTTAAATCAAATACAAAAATTTTACAATCTTAAGCCAACAAAACTCAATAATTACATATTTACTTTTAATATCACTTTCTTTAAAAATCACTTTTTCTCTTGTAATCTAAAAATTTGTAAATCAAACACCTCTTTAAGGATTAAAATATTCATGTTGTTTGACCTTGATTTGGATTAGTTGCAATACAGGTATTTATTCGGTTGATTCGGTTAATTTTCAAAAGAATTATCCAAAATCAAATTATATTATTTTATTTTGTTAACATAAGCAAATTTATTGATTTTGAAAATTAATCGACAAATTTAATTCGATTGGTTCGGTTAATTTTTTAATTAATCGAATAATAAATATATTTAAGTTAAATTATATTTTAAACTATTGAATTTTCATATTTTAAACAAACTAAATAAAATTATCTAACAAAATACTCAAATATCAAATTACTATATTAAAAACTCTAATAACTTATGAAATAAAATGATCCATTTTATATATTTTTCATTTTATATTTAGATTTTTTTTATATTTCAGTTAAAATTTCATTTAATTCAGTTATTTGGTTTTCAAACCAAATTAATTAAAAATAAATTTTTTTCTAAAATTATTTTTGTTAACTAACTGAAATTAATTCGATGATCTCTCGATTAATCAAATTAAATCAGTTCGATTGGTTAATTCAATTAAAATCGAACTATGAATACCTCTAAATGGCATGACATTAAAGTTAACGTTTGAAATTTATGAGTTCTAAGTAATTTATGCATATAATATTATTTTCAGTCATAAATATAAAAATTAAGAGCTTAAAGATAAATTAAACATTAAAAAAATTAAATATTCATTTACTCTTGAAATTATATGACTTATATCATTTTAATACTTTAAAAATAAAAATTCGTCATTAAATACTTATCTATCATCTTATGAAAATATTTATAAAAAGATATAATTAATTGAACGAGAAATAGGTGAAGAGTTTTATATTAGGTATTGGGTGTTAACGTGAGATTGTTGATGAAACAACAATCTTATTACTACAATTGTATAATAGGATGATAGAAAATTTTTTATCATAATTATTTTACTTATATTCAATTTTTTTTTTAATTCAAATAAGGGCAATGTCTTATTACATAAAAAAAAAAAAGAGGTGGTTTGATTCGAATTTAAACTCTAATGTTTTTTTTAATTTTTTTTATTATTAGACCAAAAAATAAAGATATATAAGTATATGGCTTATGATTTGTTTAATTATTTTCTGCAAAAACTTTATGGAGAAGAAATATGGTTTAAAAGTATTAAACGTTTAATATTATTATGAAAAATATAATTATGAATGAAATATCTATATATATAAAATAATAAAAATTTAAAAATATGAGGATAATAAAATTATTTTATTCATAAAAATTACGGTTGACTCCAAGCATAACTCTTTAAATTTTTTTTATTTGAGTTTGCAAATTAAGCTTTTAAATCGAAAAATTATATTTTTTAATTATTTAACATTGAAATGAAATAACAACAATTTTTAAATGTAAAAACCATCTTCAATTTCAATACTAAACCAATCTTACTATTTCATGACAGAATAACATGATTTTATTGATTTTGAATTTTAAAAAATAAGGTAGTTTTATTTTTTTTAAGTATTTGAGGGGTTGATTCAATGCTGAATAAATACTCTTATATATTTTCAATTGCTTAAAATAAAAAAATTTAAATTTAAAAGGTTAACCATAAATATATTTAATAATTCATATTTTCGTGTCATATAAAATATTAATAATTTATGTATTTTTATTATATTTTATATAAAAATTACGTGTCGTGATTTTTATCGATATAAAAATATAAAAAATAATTTTTAATTTTATTAAATTTATTTATATTTTTATTAAAATTTTAAATTTTATCATTTTTATGTATTTTATTTATAATATTTTAATATTATATTATTATATTATTTTTTAAATTATCAAATTTAACCCTTGGAAACTTTAAAAACCCAAAGTATATACATCCGTAGAGGGTGAAGTTAACCCGTCGTTGGAAACTCTTAAACCCAAAATCCCAAATCGGCCAGAAGAATTTTACCAACAAACAAACAAACAAACAAACAAACCTCCTTGTAAGAATTTCACACTTCTAAAAGACCAAAATCACCCTAAAAAAATGGAGAAGGATATTCTATCACGGTTCGATGATCGATCCAACCACACTTTACGAGAAGAAAGAAGTTTGTTTGGATTTTAGCCACCATTTAATAAGACCATACACATGCGTGATCAATAAGCCATTTTTTCTTCACCTTCTCTCTGTCACACGCAGTACCCTTGGTTTTTTTTCCACTCCAAGAAAACCCAAACCCTAGATCTCTTTGTTTTTGCTTGTGACACTCCCCATCTTCACGTCTCTCGTTTGTTTCACTGTATCTTCACACGCACAACACACAACGAAAGCGAAGACCCCATTTTCCAGATCTGACTAAACTATACCAACTTCGTCTCCGAATTTTTTCTTTTGTCTTTGCTTTTAGTCCTCAGCTACCCATTTATTTTCTCATTGCAAATCTTTTATTAGATCGGCTTAAACCCGGAAAAGAGACTAAAAAAAAAAGACCAAGTTGTTAATTTTGTCAGCGAATTATATCTAGCTTTAAAGTTGAATTATTTTGAGTTAAAAGAATTTTGTTTGTGATTTTACGTGATCGGGTTGGATTATGCAGGATATAAATTGATTAGATCTGGATTTGGGTTATTTTAATTTATATATGTTGTTTTAGTGGTTTGGGTATCTTTTTTGGATTGGTTAGGGAGTTTTTTCTCAATGGCAATGCCATCGGGAAATGTAGTTTCGTCTGATAAAATGCAGTTTCCTGCTCCTTCAGTTGGCGGTGGTGGTGCCGCTGGAGCCGTTGGTGGCGGTGCAGGAGGAGGAGAGATCCACCAGCACCATCACCGGCTATGGTTTCCGGATGAGCGTGATGGCTTTATCTATTGGTTGCGAGGGGAATTTGCTGCAGCCAATGCTATGATTGACTCCCTTTCTCATCATTTGCGTGAGGTTGGGGAGGTTGGGGAGTATGAAGCAGTCATAGCTTGCATTCAACAAAGGAGATGTAATTGGAACCCTGTGCTACATATGCAGCAGTACTTTTCGGTTGCTGACGTTTCCTACGCTCTTCAACAGGTCGCGTGGAGACGGAGACAAAGGCATTATGATCCTGGGAAAGTCGGGGGAAAGGAATTTAAAAGATCTGGCATTGGGTTTAAGGGGCATAGGATAGAGGTGGCCAAAGAAGTGCAGAATTCAGGGGTTGATAGTGATGGGTATTCGACTGTTACCACAGTTTCAGAGAGAAATGAGAGAGGGAGTGAGAAACGTGAGGAACTTAAGTCGGGTGGTGGGGTAGGGAAGGTGGAGGATAAAGACTCAGCTGTTACAGATGATAAAAAAGGTAACGAACTACTTGGTTCATCTTTCTTTTTCTTTTAATCTGTTTTACTTACATTCTGTTGAATGATGTTCTGTAGCTTGTTATGCTTGGTTTTTTGTTTGTGATGGAGATGATTGAAATTTGTATTTCTAAAGGATTTTGGATGTTTGTATTGTTGACTTATGAACCATTCACTTGCTTAAAATGCATGGTGTTGCCATATATGCTTCTTTCTTGGATTAGGCATATTATCCCAAATCAGAAAGTAGCCTTTTTGTTTTGTAAAATTTCTATACGGTTTGTAGGATTTTAAAGCTAGCGTTCTTATTTGGAAGTTGCTCTCACATTCTCTATTTCCCATTTTGACGTGAATATGTATGTACCTACCTAATCAACAGTTGTTCTATTTTTACTGGAAATTTTTTCTGAAACTGGATTTATATATAGCTAAAAGCAGGTTTTTTTCATCTTAGAGTGGTATCGTGAGAGATGAGTGAAAAAAGACAAATCAGAAGCATGCATTTAATAACTTATTCACAATCTTGGAGGGGATAAAGTTCATATAATTTATTACATAATTTGCTAGTAGTTTTACGTGCACATTTCAGAATGTACTTGATGTTAACTTCAAGTTTCGTATTGTGCAAAATATTTTTTTGACATACTTTTATCTTCAAAGGTATCCCGATAGGAACTTGGTAAATTTTCTTAGAACTGTGTTTTGGCATGGGGCATTTTATATCTGCGCATAAGTCAATAATTCTGGTTTTAACATTAACTCCTAGGAATTTTTCATTTGCTCTTGATGAAGGTTCTTTAGATACATTTCAAGCTTTTCTTGCCCGTACCACATTGGATAATAATTTCTTAATGTTTTTTAGAAAGTTAATTGACACCCATTAATTTTAGATAATTTCTTAATGTTATTTAGAAAGTTAATTGACACCCATTAATTTTAGTTATATACTGAACTTGACAATCTACGTTTTGAGATTACATTTCCTTTTTTGTGGGATTTGAACCCAGATGTTGGTTCTAAACCTCATGCTGATAGCAGCGACTTAAAAGGGTCAGGGAGTTCAAAGGGAACTACAGATGGAAATACAGAACCTGGAACTGAGGATGTAAATGGTGGATGCACATCAAGCTATAAAGGTACATCCTTTTACTTTGGTGATGGGTTGCATTTAGCCTATGTTACATGGAATAGGGTACAGGTATTCAGTACGGGTATGTATCTGAGTGTCTGACTCTCTTTTCATCCAAAATATATTAATATTTTTATATTTATTATTTCAGAGAATGATTTACATTCCACCCAAAATCAGAATGAACAGCAGAATCTGGCTATGGGTCCAAAAACTTTTGTTGGTAATGAGATGTTTGATGGAAAGATGGTAATTCTTTATAACTTTTTTGATGATATTTCGTGAAATTCTGGATGAACTGATAGATTCTTGCTTCCATTTCCCCCTATTGCGTTTCTACTTCTTATGGGCCAATATTTTTATTTTAAGGTCAATGTGGTGGATGGGCTAAAATTGTTTGAGGAACTGTTTGATGAGAAGGAAGTTTCAAATCTTGTCTCATTGGTAAATGATTTAAGGGCTGCAGGGAAAAGAGGACAATTTCAAGGCAAGTTTTCTTAAAAGTTACTTTTTTTTGGTCCAGCAAGAAGGAAATAATTCTTTCCGAAATTGCATTTTACCCTTGGAAGGTTCTGGTTGCCTTGATTAATTTATCTATACTCTATAGAGTCAATTTCTCAAATTTCTGAGGTGATGAGAATAATGAAAAGAAATAGGAATGATCATTGTACATAGAAGAAAAGTGCTGATTTATTTGTATGATATATGCATTAACTGATTTACCTATTTAGCTTGGACTAATTTCTCTGCTGTTTTTCAGTTAGACTTGTGCTTTAAATGCATGCCACAGACATTTTCTTGGTTTTGAACATGTAAGTGACTGGGAAAACAGGGCTAATTCTTGTTTTAAGTGAACTAGTTTAGTGTGCTTGCTTGGCCTGTCCTGTTGGCAAACCTTCTTCTGATGGCTTTTATGAATTTTTCACAAGCTTGTAATTAAAAAGAACTAGATGGGGTTTAGGGTTTAATGATGAGACAAATAATTGTGAGGATATAACTTAGGATTTAGGGTTGGTGGGGCTATACTTAGTTTCCTTGAACTACTTTTGAGCATATAGCTTTGCTTGGGTTTTTTATCAGAAAGCTAGTTTTTCTAGACTTATTTGCAATTGTTTCAACTTTTTCACTCTATCATTATATTTTAAAGTGATTACTTGGCATGTTAAATATTAGTGTCCTGCATTTAAATTGACTGATAAATACTGTCTAGGGAGGAAAGGTTCGCGTTCAATTGAAAGATGTAGGGCTGTCTCATTATTAGCCTTATAAAACTGGGTTTGAGTCTTGCCTTCATACAGTTGGAGGGATTTTGAGCTGGTTAGCATGGTTTTCCTTCTTACTATGGCGCAACTGCTGGGAACATAATTTGAAGTTATTCTAACTGCACCAAACATGCACCCAAAATTAAGTTGTATTATACTATGAGAGTAGCCAAAGGAAAAGTGCAATCAAAAGGGTAAGTGTAAGGATATCAGAGAAGAAAACCTAGAAAATCAAGTGGAAATGTATGAAAATATTAGGGGGATACTGTTTTCTTTTTACTTCATGTTTATGCTTGCTTTGCCGGATGGTGGAAATTGTTGTGGGCTTGAATATGTTCTCGTCAAAGATGGAATCATATGTTGACATTTAGGGAGCTGGTATCATTCTGGTGGAAATCAATGGTATGCCCATTTTTCTCTGGAATGACAGGTTTTTCTTTTCTTTTTGGTGGAAATTAATGGTCAAAACCTGGTCCAATACGTTAAAACTACATGCCATTTGATCAGTCGTTAGTAAAAGCAGTTGTACAGCTTGCTTAGATGAATCTCTAGGTATCCAGACCTCAATCCATAATTGCTTAAAAGAGCCAGAGCTATTTTAGCACAAGTGCACTTTCATGGCCCAGTGCAGGTAGCGACTAATGAATTGATCCCTCGGTTATTTCCCTTCTCATTTCCTTTAATTTTGTTTCCTTTAAATCCTTTTTGAGTTTTCCTTCAAACTTACAAAATTTTTCATTTAGTCTTCATTCTTCAACTTTTTACAGTTTCCTCTTTTTTTCCATGCTATGACTTTTCCCCAATTTTGTATATTACTTTTCTCCATATTTTGTAATCTTATTTCCTTGTTCTTTCATTTTCTTGTCAATTCCTTTTTCATATATTTTGGTGGAGATTGTTCAAGTCACATCAAACATTGTCATTCAACTTGTATAAAATCTGAAGGGAAAAAAAATAAAATTAAATCAGGTTTATTTTTATCCTTGATTGTTGATGGCTAAGGTCAACCCTGCCTGTCCTTGACTGGTCAGCCTCCAGGCTGGGTTTGAGAATATTGATTAAAATAACCAAGTAATATAGATGTAATGTAAAAGTTTTATTATTATTATTATTATTATTATTATTATGAGAAGATGCTTATATGCAAAATGATGTATAATTTTAGCTTTTACTCATAAACATTTATCAAATCAATTTGACACATGGTAATCTTAGATAAGTATTTGCAGCATTTAAAAGAAAACCTATAAATATACATTACTTACCTCCTAGGTTATTTTGTTTGTCATTAGTCTATATGCTAAATTGTTAACATCCCAAATAGTTTAAATGATCATTTTAGGACCTAGATTTTCTCCAGCAGGTTGCTGGTGCACTCCTATAATCCTATTCCATTCCTATTCTATGTCCGTCATTTGCCCGATCCTTTTTCTAAATATTTTTGCTTTTGGCTGAATCATAATCATAGTTGATAGGCTTGCAGCATCTTTAGCTACTATTGTTTATAGTTTTATCCATCATGCATCTGCAGACTGTTCTGGGGATGGTTGAAGGTTCTAGTATTTCTTTTACTAAAATAATTGTTGTTAATTTTATTTAAAAATTTCTGATTTTGTTTGTGAGTTTGGCTGATTTCTGTATTGTGTTGGAGGAACGGATAACTTTGCTCATGCTTAAGCTCATTCTGTTCTTTTGATTGCTGATCAATCTCGGAATAATGTTGTTTTAATCTGGTAGTGCATTTACTCGGATGCTGAATATTTGTAAGAGTAGTATCCTTGCTTTCAAATATCAGTAATAGCTGAATTGTTATGTGACAATTTACAAGAAGCAGGTCAGACATATGTGGCTTCAAAAAAACCCATTAAGGGACATGGCAGAGAGATGATTCAATTGGGCCTTCCAATTGCAGATGCACCTCTAGATGATGAAACTGTTGCAGGGACCTTGAAAGGCATGTTTCTATGATGAGCCTTCTCCTCTCTGACTCCTCCCCACCCACCCAAACACACTAATGCACACATAAAGTAATGAAATATATATTTAATTTTTGACTGAAATATTTTTTAAAATTTTTAAGTAACAACCGATTTTAATTCATTTCTAAGTTGATTGAGCTTTAGCAGATCGGAGAATAGAAGCCATTCCTGCCTTGCTGCAAGATGCTATAGAACGTTTGGTCAACTTGCAAGTTTTGACTGCAAAGCCGGACTCTTGCATCATTGATGTCTATAATGAGGTAGGTAAAAATGGTGCTTCTGGTGGTTTTGTATAAAATGATCTGAGCTTTAAGCCTAATGTTATGGTGGTTTTTTTTTCTAGGGGGATCATTCACTGCCTCGCATGTGTCCACCTTGGTTTGGAAAGCCTGTTTGCATCATGTTCTTGACCGATTGTGACATTACCTTTGGAAGGGTAATTGGAGTCGACCATCCTGGGGACTTTAGAGGCTCTCTAAAGCTTTCTCTTGCACCTGGGTAAGTATTTTACTGTTTCTCTTGATCCTACCACATTCATGACCTTTCAATGTGCTTGGAAAATGTTGTATTTTTAGAAATGATTAATATCTATATTTTTCGAGATTACGAACTTTAGCTTTTAAGTCATTCCTAAAAAGGGAACTGGTAATAATGATTCTAAATACAGCCCCACATGTATCAAAAATAGTGGTGGCTAAAAACTGGTATTCTTTCGTACCACTGCTTCCTCATTGAATTCGATTGGATTCGCTTTTGTTTCATGTTCCTGAGATTGTCTTTCATAACTATCATGCAGATCTCTCCTTGTGATGCAAGGAAAATCAGCTGATTTTGCCAAACATGCACTTCCCTCTGTCCGAAAGCAGCGAATACTTGTTACATTTACCAAGTATCAACCAAAGAAATCCACGGCTGACAACCAGAGGCATCCTTCACCTTTAGTTTCTCAGTCTTCACAATGGGGTCCGCCACCTAGTAGATCACCCAACCATTTTCGCCATTCTGCTGGTCCCAAGCATTATGCAGCAATACCAACAAGTGGTGTACTGCCAGCCCCAGCAATTCGGCCACTAATTCCCCCTCCAAACGGTGTTCAAACTTTATTTGTGCCCACTCCAGTTGCTCCTGCTATTCCTTTTCCTGCTCCAGTTCCCATCCCACCTGTTTCGACTGGGTGGCCAGCTGCTCCTCCAAGACATCCTCCACCCCGTCTACCTGTTCCTGGCACAGGAGTTTTCCTACCTCCACCAGGGTCCAATTCATCATCCCAACAGTCGTCAACTTCTGCAACTGAAGTCAACATTCCTGTGGAGACAACTTCCCCACCTGGAAAGGATGATGGTTCTGGGAAGCCCAATCATCATACAACTTCTTCTGGAGGGAGGTTGGATGGAAAATCTCCAAAGCAAGAGTGCAATGGAAGTGTAGACGGAACCGGCAGTGGGAGAGCTATGATGCAGGAAGAACAACAACGTGCTGACAATAGTGTCAACCAACCTGCTAGTGCAGTTTAGAGAGAGAGAGAGAGAAATGGAATTTCTCAAAGGAGATAGGCTGCGAACTGCAATGAGTTTAAAGCAAATGTAAAGAGCGGCAACACTTGAGACTTTTGACATTTCATACTAATAGTGGGGGAACAAAGGGGAGGGAGGAACTTCTCAGTTCTCTCCGCATTCCTTCATGTTCTCTTTTCCATTTTTTGTTGTCTTATTATTTGAACTTTCACAAGAGGTGGAAAACTCCATTCTTAATATAACCTTTGGTTCCTCTTAGTATCTGGTTTACTAGTTTTCTTACTCAGAAATGGTTTTTGGGATGCATTAGGAAATTTACAGCACGGGAAAGATTATAGAACCTTCTACATATGACATAATCTTTCTGTAAGTCTTATATTTACATATGTTTTCGTGTTTTTACACGCCTATGAAAAGAAGATCAATCCTTAAATATAAGGCATGTGGATTTGAATATATAAATATATTTATTTGGATAAAGTGATTTTATTTATCCAAAGGAAGCAAGAGAGAAAGAAACTACCTGCTAGAGCAGGCAACCAAAGAACAAATTCGAGAGAATTTGTTCCCCTAGTCCCCAGTTTTTGCATGGCATCCTATTTTAAACCGTCTGTTGCTATTTGTTTCAAATCATTCAAGTATATATCTACCAGATTCAACAATACAAATCGAAATGTTCTCGAGTCTTCCCAGCTTTGCCATAAACTGTCATTCCTGTCTTTTCAAATGAAGAAGATGTAGGTACTCCAAGCAAATCAAATTTGTAGAATCCTAGTTGAAGTATTTTCTGCAACATTAACCATCTGATTTGTAGATTGACTTTCTCCAATTTAAGTGGATGAGTGCAGCTCCTTGGAGATGTTCCATGTATGCAAAACTTTGCCAAATATATCATAGAATGCGATATGAACTTGTTTTTGAGTCATTTGCATCGACATGAATCCTTGCCCATCATAGTACAGCTTGAGTTCCTCCGGATCCCAACGATGCACGTCACCTCTCCATGCCTTTGAGCCACCGCCACTCGTTAAATATTGAATTTGGCTGCGTTTATATTCAGTTAGTTTGATGGTAATCATGATTACTCATACAATCTCAAAAATTATTTGAAAATTTTACCTGTTACTGTCACTGATGTGTTCCAAGCAGTGATCATGGCCGTTAATGTACATATCTACACTATTTGCCTGAGAGAAAAAAAAAAGGATAATTTCCAAGGAAAATGAAAATGCAATTGATTTGTTTTTGTTGGTCGTTTAGATTATTACTTCAAGGATTGGTACAAGTTGTTCGACCAGCTCTTTGGTGACACCATGGTGCCCTGCGCTTTTGATTGTATGATGTCCGACCACTATCTTCCATTCTGCATTAGATTTCTTTAATGCTGCATCCACATCCTGCTCGAAACCAAGAACACCATTTCCCTTAACTTTTTGATATAATTATAATGTGCCTCTGCAATCAAATATAAAGGATCATTCCTATGATTTTACCCTGAGGAGATTTGAAAGATAATCTTCTCTGGGAGAGACCCCTTTCCAGTCATAGGTGTCATCCCCTGGATCAGAGAAGTACTGATCAACAAATGGAGTTGTATCGACGAAGAAAAACTCTACAAATTCTGCCAAATACATGAGAAAATAAAGTAGTAAATATACTTGAAATCAAGGTGAAAAAACCCAAGTTACTGAGTTGAATTATGCATTGAGTTCTATTTTGTCTTTTTACCAGCTTTGAGAATAAATGATCTCAAGCAAAGCCACCTCTTGTCCTTTTCTCTGAGGATGTGACTCAATTGTGCTTCAACATCACCCCTATAGTCATGATTCCCCAATACTGAGATTAAAAAAAAACCCATTTTTTCAGTAACCTTTGCAAATGTTATATGTACAAACTTGAGTTGTTGTGGAAATTAGAAATTGGATTGAAAGTTTCTATTCGTTTACCATTGTACCATTGTTTTTTCAAACTTGGGGCTGTATAGATGGTGGTGAATGACTCATTGAATGCTGGATCATCCACTCCAGTCAGGCCATCTTCATAAAAGTTATCCCCTGTTGAAATCACCAAGTCTATGTCTAGTTTCTGACCCACCAATCCCATCTATAGATACCAAATAAAAAAAAAAATGCGGATAACAAAAAAATAACTAGGTGAATTGTCATACTAAATATGAAATGAAATAAAAAAAAAAAACTTTAGGAGACAAATTATAGAAAGATTCTATAAGTGTTAATTATTGAATAATTGATTCAAATTATATATTTGTAATTTTTTATAATTAATAAATTTTTTTTAATCATTGACATAAATTGATTAAATTAAATTATATTAAATTATTATCTTTTATATAATTATTAATTATTTAATTTTACTTCTACTAATATAATTAAATTGAAATCATTTAATTTATCAATAAATTATTAGATGAGTGTTGATTTTCAACGGTGAAAGCCATGTAAGCTCAAGTACTATTGAGTGGGGATATGCTTTGGTATATTATAATATTTTCACTGAAAAGGAATCCGTTTGGAATATTCATGGAAGCATATTTGACTCCTGCAGGAGGAAAGCCATGTTTTTTTATATTATTAGTCGTGATAATTTTAAATATAATATAAATATTAAAAATATAAAAAAATATAATTAAAAATTTATATAAATTTAAAAATTAAAAATTTTATTTTATATTTAATATATCAATGATATAATAATTTTTATTTTTATATATATTTAATATTATTACTCTTTGCTGGCAAGATCTAACACATGCGTTGGCAATGCTGCCCATATTTACCTTTTGGCTTTTCCATTATAAAATTTACCTTTTTGTTTTATATTTGTATTCTTCGACCAACTACCAGTCAACAACCTTAACTATAAGTCTCATTTGAACAAAAATTTTTGAAGGGTTTCCATTACAGTTATCTTGACTTTATTGAGCTAAAATTATAAAATTACTGTTACTTTTATTGAGCTAAAATTATAAAATTACTGTTACTTTTATTCTTTAACGTTTTTTTAACAGAAGTAAACTGTAAAATATAAGTGGAAAAATCGGAAACTATACGTTTAAGTTTACTCTTAAAATTAAACTGACCTGAAATGCAACTTCAGATTGATTGTAGAGTCCTTTTCTTCCCCAGTCTCCGACAACCAAAAAGCTTAGAGAGCCGTCAGGTTTGATCGGGTGCTGGAAATGCTGGAGCTCGGCGAAAGAAGAAACAACCGACGACAGCCATATCCAAGCGGTAATCAGGAGAAAGGAGATATGAATGGTTTTTCCAAATGGTACAGTAGCCACTGAGGAAGAAAATGGAGAAATGACTTGCATCATTTGATAGCCAACGTTGTTGACAATACAAGGCTGTCAGGGCTTTTATAGCTAGCTACTCAATTTCGTGACAATGACAGTAACTTGAGAAAGTTAGTTTCTTTAAATCAAAGGTTGATATTGGAGTATTGCTTTTTATTTGTTTTGTGATAATAACGATAGGTATAGTTTTTAAATTATAATAAAATATAATATAATATTTAAATTATAAAATTTTTAATGAATATTATACTTAAAAAAATATTTATCAATCACATATGCGAATAATATTAAAAGTGAATATTAAATTAATTATTAAATTCATAATTTAAATATTATATTAAAATTTTTTAAATTTAAATATTATATTAAATATTATATTATAATTTAAGGATGATTTATTTTATATATATATATATATATATATGCTTTTTAAGCTATTAATAAACTTTAATATTTTTAAATTACTTTTTATCATAATAATTCGATGTAAGCAATTTTGGAGTTTTTTGTGATGATCGTGGAGACTGGGTATATGCATAGCATATTCCTCATTGGAAATTATACCCTTAGGAATACTTTGTCCGAATATGCCTGGATTTATACCCTTTGGAATGGTAGTTGTAAGCAGTTTGTCAATTGGAAACTGTGGCTGCGGTAATTATCAACCAGAAAATTCTAAGATGGAAAACGATTTGAGAAAAAATGGAGCATACCCACTGTAAAAAATTTTAAAAGTAACAGCATACGCTATTAATTTCAAATCCAATTATTTTAGATTAACATAGAATTTCATATAAACGCACACGTACGCCTCAAACTTTCTCGATGTCGGAAAGTCGATTTCCGAGGCAAAAAACCAAACCCATTTACATGAGAAGGCTCAACATGTTATCTCTGTTGAACCTACGAGGTTATTTTAATTTTTTATTTAAAAACAGGACACGTCATTAATTTTAAAATCGATTATTTTGGATTAAGATGAAATCTCATATAAACGGGCCAACACACCCCAAACCTTCCCTTAGTGAGAAGTGAGAAGGACCCCAATGTAAAAATTAGTTTAATCTAAATAGTTGGGTTTTGACAAATTAAATACATAATAGAACAAAGTGTCTCTCCTCTGCTTTTCCCTTCCTCTGTTGTCTCTAGTAGCTCTGATGATGCAGGAAGCAATTTGATGTTCAAGGTGTTTTAGAAGCATGCGATTAACTTTCCTCACATTGCAGGAGAAAGTTGCTTGGAAGTGCTCCATTTGTGCAAAACATTGCCAAAAACATCATAGAATTTGATGTCAACCTCAGTCTGAGTCATTTGCACTGACATGAAACCTTGTCCATCATGATAGAATTTCATTTCTTGTGGATTCCACCAATTGACATCGCCACCCCATGCCTTTGATCCACCACCACTTGTTAAGAATTGAATTCCACTACATTTGGGATAAGAATCCATGTTACATAATTATCCTAATTTTTCAAAATTCAAGATATAAAAGATTAAACAGTACCTCTCACTGCTGCTGCTAATATGCTCTAAGCAATGGTCATGCCCATTAATATAAAGATCAACATCATATGCCTGGGAATTTTAAAAAGTTTTGAAAACAAAGTTAATTTTGGCTTCTGTCAAATACTTGAATAGTGTCATTTTTCATTTTTTTTTCTAGATAAGTCTATTAACATTACCTGAAGGATTGGAAGAAGATGAATTGCAAGCTCAGCAGTGTTGCCATGGTGTCCAGCACTTTTGATTGTATGGTGACCCACTACAATCTTCCATTTTGCTGTGGATTCTCTTAAAGCCGATTCCACTTCCTATCAAATACCCCCTCTTTGTCAAATTAGCTGTATTCTTAAAAATAGATATTTTCTAGACGATATTAAATTCATATTAGATATTCATATGGTGAATTAATATTTATATATATAGATATTGAATTTGTTTTTTAATTCAATTTGTTCATATAATTATTTTTAAAAAGTTGACGCATCATTTTAGATATATTCAAAGCAATTCAATTTTTGTGTTATGGAGCAACAATTAGGCAATTATTAATGGTGAATATTTCCATAAAAAATTTACCATCAAGAGATTCTTAATGTAATTCTTTCTGGGTAATATGCCCTTCCAGTCATAGACATGATCTTCAGGGTCGATGAAGTATTTGGTCACAAATGGAGTAGTGTCTACAAAGAAAAATTCTGCAATTTCTGCCAACAAGAGAAAAAAAAAATTAAAATCTAAAGCTTAAAAAGGATTTGTTGTCCTTTTAATTAAATGCAAAAATTGTTTAATTACCAGGTCCAGCATTGAGGATAAAAGATCTCAAGCAAAGCCATCTGCTATCCATCTTTGTAAGAATGGGACTCAGCTGCGCCTCAACATTACCCCTGTAATCATGATTACCCAACACTGAAACCAAAATAAACTCGTCAAAAAAAAAAATTGACAAAAACAAAAAAAAATTATATTTAGTATATTAATACAAATTATGATACAATAATTTTTATAATTTACATGTATGAATGTGAAATAGATAAATAAAAATACATGAATTACTAAATTTAAAAACATTGAAGTTCTGTGGTGACAGGAGGGGATTAAATATTACCATTGTACCATTGCTTTTGCAAGCTAGGAGCTGTGTAGATATCAGTGAAGGATTGATGGAAAGCTGGATCATGTACACCGTTCAATCCATTGTCGTAAAAGTTATCTCCCGTAGAGATTACAAAGTCAATATCTAATTTCTCTCCGACGATTCCCATCTGGAAGTTAATAAAGTAAACAAAATTATGTCACAACAAAATGCTGTGGTGGAAGCAAGACATGTCATGTGCTCTTCAGAATTTTTTTTTTTAACGAAAATATATAAATATTTTATGAGTACTAAAATTTAAAATTTAAATATATTAAATAATATTTTTTAAAAATATTGTATAAATTTATATTTTAAATCTAATAAAAATTTGTTTTGGGTTATCAAATTTTTAGATTTGTGCAATAGAAAGAGAATGTTTTTATCAAGTTGATAGTAAGTGAATGACTTAAAGGTAATGAGACCTGTCCAATTGAAAACGCAACGATGCAAATGTGATTTTATATGCTTTGATTTTTGGTTGATGTCAAGATTTTGATTGGTTGAGAATCGACAAAGTTGAAACTGGAATTTTCAATGAGTCGTAGCTAAGGGACATGGAGGCTTAAAACATGAGCATCAATTTGTCGAATAAAGAATAATCCAAAACAGATGATGGTCCCAGTCCTACATCGTCCCATCACCCACACTAGTAGTTCGAGGAATAAATAATTTAAAGCAAAGGGAATAAGGTATCTACTTGGAATCATGCCATTCTAAAAGTATCTACCAAAAATTAGATAATAATAAAATCAATTATTTGTAAATGGGTAAAACTCTTTTTATTAGAAAAAAAAATTGAATTCAATTTTTTTATATCTTTATTCAAGACTGTTAAATTTAAATTATAATTATTAAAATTAATAATTTAACATTTTTTATGATTAAAAAAAATTAACATTGATTGTTGACAAATAAAGATTATATTTGTTAGATCATCTTCATGATTTTTTTTTCTTTTGTTAATAGTATACAAAAATCTAATTGGATTGTTTTTAGGGTAATTGTTTTTACTTGTTTTAGCATCTAGGTTTATTATTCATTGGCATGGAAAACAGTAATAATTAAGAGAATATGTAGAAAGTTGAAACAATGACCTGAAGAGCAACTTCAGATTGGTTACAGAGTCCTCTTCTTCCCCAATCTCCCACCACCAAGAAGCTAAGAGACCCATCAGCTTTGGCCGAGTGTTGGAAGCGCTGAAGCTCTGCCAGACAGGAAACAGAAAGCAATCCAAGAAGAAGAATCGAAACAAGCGTTAGGAGCATAGGTTTTTTGACAAGCGTTAGGAGCATAGGTTTTTTGTATAAAACAACCATGATTAAATATGTGAGGGGAAAAGAAACAAAAAAGATGAAAATGGAGAGAATAGCTAGTTATAGGAGGCCTGGCTATGAAGGAAGGAAAGCAGGCTGTTTATAAATATGGTTTTAACAGGAGGCAGAGATGTTAAAAAACTAGAAGTGATCAGAGCTTTTCCAAAATGAAAAAAATTACCCTTAAGGCTATAAGATTCGAACGTAGTTAAAATTTCTGCCAATTTTTTCTATATCAGTAAAAAAAAAAAAACCACTGCCAAACCGCATAGCCCACCTGGTCATAGCATGATAATCCCTTCGACTTCCACCCCCCCTGCCCCCCCCCCCCCCCAACACCAAATTAAGATTTATTTAAACACGTGATATGATATAAATAAAATATTTAATTTAATATTATCACATGAGTATATATTTAATATATATTTATATTTATTTTAATTTAATATAAATGTTTAAAGATTATTTTAATTTTTAATTTTTTAATTATGATACTTACTTAAATATTTAATATCATATAAAAATTATATTAAATATTTAATTGATACTCATTTAATAATTATTATAAAATTATTTTTTATATTAATAATATAAATATAATATAAATATTAATATTAGTCCTATATATTATTATTTTATTATTTAATTTTTAATAGTTTATCATTTTAAAAATGATAATAAAAATCAATATAGTTATATAATATAAATATAATTAAATACATATATTAATACATATTAACTGTGTATTAAAATTTTTTATTTTTTTAATATGTAAGTTTTTTTATATTATTAATATGTCAAATTTATTAAGTTGTAAATGATGGATAATTTATAGTTATTTAGTATTTTAGTCATGTTTATTCATGTATATCTATGTTAGTTATGTCTATTCATTTATATTCGTATTATTTATATTTATTTGTGTCACGTTTAAACGAATTTATTATTCGTGTTAATTATATCATATCACGTATAACACATATATTAAATATATCGTGTTCGTGTTTAGGATTTAAATATATTTTATAATTTATGTTGTGTTCATATTTTAATAATTCGTGTTATTATACATATCAATATGAAACACGACACAAAAACATAAATTACCATGCCTAGTTTACCCTTTTCTTTCTTATTTATTTTTTTTTCTAATAGACAACCCCATATAAATAGCTCTACGCATGTGTTTGGTTTCGTGTCTGATGATAGTTAGCATTTGTCATTTGGAAAGACAGGGAAATAAATGGGCTCTATGTTGTTGTTGTTGTTGTTGTTGTTCTCTCGTTGTTTAAGAAACAATTCATAGTTGAGTTCAAGAATTTGGTTTAAATCGTATTGAATTCTTTTCAGATGAGCTAAATCCAAGTGGCTGGCAAAATTATGAAAACAGGTTTTCACACCATGGCTGATGGCATTGGCAATGTGTCGTGGGGTCACTTCACGTGGCTTTCCACAAACCAAAACCTCTTTCTTGAGCAAGAGGGGAAGAAAGAAAGATTATGGGTCTTTATTATGTAAAACTGGTAATTGATCATGGAAACAAAGAAGAAATTCGGTTTACATATTCGGCTGGCTGTTCCTTACTGAAAACATTGGCATTTCCTCTCTTTCGAACTTTGCTTTACCGCCAATTTGATCGATGATATATATATGTTTACAGCAATTATTAGTCAAAGTAATGCATTTTTGTGTATTGGATTGGATGGAACACCAGTGCAGCTGTTGTTACATGGAAAAATACAATGTTCAGTGTTTTTCTGCATTTGAACGAATTTGGGTCTAATACCAAGTACACATATGTAGCCATCAAGTCATCGTTGTATGAAAATTTTCTTCCACGCTAGCATCAGAACAGATATAAGTCACACTGATTCCTAATGAAAGTTTTGAAAAGAAGAAAAAAAAACCAATAACTAAAAGCAAAACATTTTTCTTTATTAAATACTTACTTCATTGTGTCAAAATTTGATTGGTTTAAGTTGACAGAAATATTCATTGTTCATGGCTAGTTCCTTATTGCTGGATGCTGCCCAAAGGATGGAGCAATAAATTATTTCCACGAAGAATTTGTCTCATATGTATATATTTATGGTGATAACTTTCTTTTCTCAATCTCATGGATTTTAATCAATTTTTGGTCCACGAATTTATGAGTATAATCAACGCTTTCTTCTTGATGGAGAATTTGTCAGATGGAATTTGCTAAAATAATAAGAGGTTGCAGAGTATGGTGTTATCCTATCCACTTCTATTCTCATTCATGGGATCATCTGCATGAAACTTTCATGTATTCAGCATAATTTATCCAAATCTTGAGGATCTCCAGGTTCCTCCAAACTCCCAACAGATAATCCCCGTTTCCATAAAATTCATATATTGGAACGATGATATATAAGAGGCTACTCCAATCATGATCCAATACTATATATTAATTATAATAGTATATATGGCAATATGTGAAAGTGGATGGATATCAGAGAATTTTGGCTGTCATTTGTCTGATTGTCAGTTCATTTCTAAATAAACTTATATGGGAAATTGGAGCATCCCATGGTTATACTGCAATATGGGAAAATGGATCGATATCAGACAATTTGGCTGTTATTTGTCTGCTTGTCAATTCATTTCTAAATAAACTTATATGGGAAATTGGATCCCATGGGTTTCCTTTATTTTGTCCCAAAGGTCTGACTAATGGGCTGTTGGCCTTCTTCGTTTCTGTCCTGCCCGTTAGGGGAGGGTGGCATTCTCAGTTTAGAGATAGTTCTGCTTCAAAAACATGGTTAATAATGGTATACATGGCTTTGGTTTTTCTAACCAATGCTATTGATCATAAAACATTACTTGATGGTATATTAGATAATTTTCCTATATATATATACACACACACACATATATATATATATATGATGGTATATGAAATATTCTCATTACACATTACTTAATTTATAAAGCAAATATACACATAGATGACTTAATTTGGGTACGACCTACGGCCTTGGGAACCTCTATGGATATAAGAGAAATTGGAGACAAAATTTACATATCTACAGAAATCTCCAACATATTCCATCACTACTAAGATAATTTACAGACCATACAATTTTTTGTTCTTTTTTGATCTGCTTGTTTGCGGAAGCTTTTATATTGCAGAATGCAGCTGTTTAGAAATCTTCCATTTGTGCAAAACCTTGCCAGCAACATCATAGAAGGCAATCAGGGCACTATTCTCAGTCATCTTCACAGACATGAAACCTTGGCCATCATAGACGAACTTTACAGCATGATTATCATGGAGTTTAAGGTCACCCCTCCATGCTTTCGACCCTGCTCCACTTGTTAGAAACTGGATTGAACTGCATTTTGGACATATCATTTACTTCCATTGAAATCAAACAAATCAATTTCAAGCATGCCAAAAAATTTTAGTTTGTCACAAAATGTAGTAGGAAAACTTCACCTATCAAGGCTTGCAATGTGCTCCAAACAGTGGTCATGCCCATTTATGTAAAGATCAACATTATTGGCCTGAAATATTAGATGAAATTAGAATTATTGGTAAGGATTTGATGCCATGCTTATCATGAATCCATGTCCGTTTGGAAATGAAAAATGCTAAAAAAAGGCAATTTGATTTTTGAGAAATCAAAAAACAATATGAACAAAACCAGATAATCTTTAAAGTTTAATGTATTTACACATTCTCTTTGAACATGTTTGTTTAAATTAATGATTAAATTACCTTGAGTATTGGAAGCAGGAACTTGATAAGCTCGGGAGTGTCGCCATGGTGCCCAACACTTCTAATTGCATGGTGACCAACAACAATTTTCCACTTTGCAGTCGACTTTTTCAATGCTGTATCCAAATCCTAATCAAATTGTGTTCGTTTAGTTAATTTCTTTCACATGTTTTCAAAAGATTTAAATTCAAAAACAGAATGTTGGTATGTCACCTTGAGAAGATTAGCAAGGTAAGTTTTTCGAGGTTCAACACCTCTCCAATCATAAGTATAATCTGGCTCTGTGAAGTACTTGTCCACAAATGGAGTAGTGTCAACAAAGAAGAATTCTACTTTTTCTGGACAAAGAAGAGAAAATCATATTATACTAATTAATTTGTAACTTACATGAATATATGAACATGAGAAATGTCATTGAGTAAATCTAAAATTCGAATCTCAACACTTGTAATCTTTTTCTTTATCCTTAATCTAAGGCCTTTTTGTATAAAATAATTTCATGGATATGTTTACACTAATTATATTTACCTGTTTTAAGGACAAAAGATCTAAGACAAAGCCATCGTTTGTCAATCCTTCGTAGAATAGGGCTCAGTTGTGCCTCTGCATCACCTCTATAATCGTGATTTCCCAAAACTACAGATTTTAGAAAGATTACCATTAAAGACCCTTTAGAGGAAACAATTGCAGGAAAGAGAATTCAATTGAAGATTTGAGAGATAATATGATATGAAGACTTACCACTGTACCACTGCTTTTGCAAGCTTTTAGCGGTGTAAATGTTTGTGAAGGATTCCCTGAATGCTGGATCATATACACCTTCTAGCCCATTATCATAGAAATTATCACCTGTTGAGATGACAAAGTCTATATCTAGTTTCTCTCCAATCCTTCCCATCTGTAATAAATTAATGGGTTTTTCATGAAAGTTAATAATGTTTTAAGAATTAAATTAACAAAGTAATGGTAATGGTGAAGAAATTGGACCTGAAAAGCAACTTCAGATTGATTGTAAAACCCTTTCCTGCCCCAATCTCCAACAACCAAAAAGCTAAGTGACGCATCACTTTTTGTCGGGTGTTCGATCCTTTGAAGCTCCGCAAAACTTGGAACCAAGAATGCACAAAACACGACCGCCAAATAACATAGGTTGACCATAGCTCTTGTTCTGAAACGGGTAGCCATGGATGCCATTGACGCCACCATGGCCTTTTCAGATGAAAATAGGGGATAAGACAAAGGCTTAAAAAGGTAAGGAAGACGGAAAGAACAGATGAAAAGTGGGAAAACGAAAATAATTTAGACGAATTGATGTTCTGTAGTAAAATGTCGTTGGAAAGCCAAATTAATTTAATGGCATTTATATAGACTAATATTGAGAATATTCTAACTGGCTAACCATGTTTCAAGGAATTTGACCATAATAGGAAGGCAAAGGGTGATAGCCTGTTTTGCAAAATTTGTGGAAGATGCTTGCTCATATGTTTTTGCGTCTCCATCAACTAAATTTCTTGTCTAAATAATGGTTCATGTCTTGCTATATGTTAATGCATTCTAAATCTAGATAATTGTTTATATTCATAAAAAAATTTAAAGCAAGCCAAGGAGAAGAGTCGAAACAAGGGTTAGGAGCATAGGTTTTTTGTATAAAACAACCATGATTATATATGTGAGGGGAAAAGAAATAAAAAAGATGAAAATGGAGAGAATAGCTAGTTATAGGAGGCCTGCCTATGAAGGGAGGAAAGCTGGCTATTTATAAATATGGTTTTAAAAGAAGGCAGAGATGTTAAAAAACTAGAAGTGATCAAAGCTTTTCAAAAATGAAACAAATTGCCCTCAAGCCTATAAGATTCGAACGTAGTTAAATTTCTGCCAATTTTTTCTATATCAGTTTAAAAAAACCACTGCCAAACTGTATGGCCCACCTGGTCATAGCATGACAATCCCTTCGACCCCCTCCCCCGGGCAAAATTAAGATTGATTTGTATTATAATTTTAGATATGATATAATAATACGATATAAAAATTATATATTTTTTAAAAAATATATTTTGTATTTATTTATATCTATATGAATTTATTTTATATGTATTAACTTATTTAAATATGATATGATATAAATAATATATTTAATTTAATATTATTACATGAGTATATATTTAACATATTTTTTATATTTATTTTAATTTAATATGAACATATAAAGATTATTTTAATTTTTAATTTTTAATTATGATACTTAATTAATTATTTATTATCATATAAAAATTATTTTAGATATTTAATTATAATATTCATTTAATTATTATTATAAAATTATTTTTTTATATTAATAGTATAAGTATTATATAAATATTAATATTAGTCCTATATATTATTATTTTATTTTTTAAATTTTAATAGTTTATCATTTTATATTTGATATTAAATTAATATAGTTATATAATAAAAATAAAAATATATATTAAATGCATATTAAATGTATATTAAAATTTTTTTAATATGTAAGTATTTTTTTATATTATTAATAAGCCAAATTATTAAATTATAAATGATAAATAATTTATAGTTATTTATTATTTTACTCGTGTTTATTTATGTATATCCGTGTTAGTTATATCTATTCGTATATATCTGTATTATTTATGTTTATTATATTACGTTTAAATGAATTTATTATTCGTGTTAATCATATCGTGTCACGTGTAATATGTCTATTAAACGTGTTGTGTTTATGTTTAAGATTTATATACATTTTATAATTTATATCGTATTCATATTTTAATAATTCGTATTATTACACATATCAATATGATATGAAATATTATATAAAAACACGAATTGCCATATTTACTTTGCCCTTTTCTTTTTTATTTATTTTTTCCTAATAGACAACCACTTATATTGCTCTATGCATGTGTTTGGTTTCGTGTCTAATGATAGTTAGCATTTATCATTTGGAAAGACGGGAATAAATGGGCCCTGTGCTGTTGTTGTTCTCTTGTTGTTTAAGAAACAATACTTCACATTTGAGTTCAAGAATTTGGTTTAAATCGTATTGAATTCTTTTCACATGAGCTAAATCCAAGTGGCTGGCTAAATTACGAAAACAGGTCTACACACCATGGCTGACGGCATTGGCAATGTGTCGTGGGGTCACTTCACATGGCTTTCCATAAACCAAAACCTCTTTCTTGAGCAAGAGGGGAAGAAAGAAAGATTATGGGCCTTTATTATGTAAAACGGGTAATTGATCATGGAAACAAAGAAATTTGGTTTACATATTTGGCTGGCTGTTCATTACTGAAAACAGTGGCATTTCCTCTCTTTCGAACTTTGCTTTAACCCCAATTGGATCGATGATTGATATATGTTTACAGCAATTATTAGTCAAAGTAATGTATTTTTTGGATTGGATTGGATGGAACACCAGTGCAGCTGTTGTTACATGGAAAAACACAATGTTCTGTCTTTTTTCTGCATTCGAACGAACTTGGATCTAATACCAAGTGTATATATGTTGCCATCAAAGTCATCGTTGTATCAAAATTTTCTTCCAAGCTAGCATCAAAACAGATGTAAGTCACACTGATTCCTAATGAAAGTTTTGAAAAGAAGATAAAGCAACTCATAACTAAAAGCAAAACATTTTTCTTTATTGAATACTTTACTTCGTTGTGTCAAAATTTGATTGGTTTAAGCTGACAAAAAAAATTCATTGTACATGGCTAGTTCCGTATTGCTGGGTGCTGCCCAAAGGATGAAGCAATCAATTATTTCCACGAAATATTTGTCTCATATGTATATATTTATGTTGATAACTTTCTTTTCTCAATCTCATGGATTTTAATCAATTTTTGGTCCACGAATTTATGAGTATAATCAACGTTTTCTTCTTGTTGGAGAATTTGTCAGATGGAATTTGCTAAAATAATAAGAGGTTGCAGAGTATGGTGTTATCCTACCCACTTCCATTCTCAGTCATGGGATCTTCTGCTTGACACTTTCATGTATTCAGTATAATTTATCCAAATCTTGAGGATCTCCAGGTTCCTCCAAATTCCCAACAGATAATCCCCATTTCCATAAAATTCATATATTGGAACAATGATATATATGAGGTTACTCCAATGATGATCCAATACTATATATTAATTATAATAGTATATACGGTAATATGGGAAACTGGATGGTTATCAGAGAATTGTGGCTGTCATTTGTCTGATTGTCAGTTCATTTCTAAATATACTTATATTGGAAATTGGAGCATCCCATGGTTATACTGCAATATGGGAAAATGGATCGATATCAGAGAATTTGGCTGTTATTTGTCTGATTGTCAATTCATTTCTATAAACTTATATGGGAAATTGGATCCCATGGGTTTCCTTTATTTTGTCCCAAAGGTCTAACTAATGGGCTGTTGGCCTTGTTCGTTTCTGTCCTCCCCCTTAGGGGAGGGTGGCATTCTCAGTTTAGGGGTAGTTCTGCTTCAAAGGCATGGTTAATAATGGTGTACATGGCTTTGGTTTTTCTAACCAATGCTATTGATCATAAAACATTACTTGATGGTATATTAGATAATTTTCCTATATATACATATACATATATATATATATATATATGATGGTATATGAAATATTCTCATTGCACATTACTTAATTTATATAGCAAATATATACATAGATGACTTAATTTGGGTACGCACATACGCCTTGGTAACTCGTATGGTTATAAGAGAAACTGGAGAAAATTTAAGCAATTATCTCAGAAATCTCACAGATATTCCATCACTAACGAAGATATTTACAAGACATACAATTTTTTGTTCTTTTTTTACAGCTTGTTTGCGGATAGCTTTATATTGAGAATGGAGCTTTTAGAATCTTCGATTTGTGCAAAACCTTGCCAGCAACATCATAGAAGGAATCAAGGGCATATTCTCAGTCATCTCACAGACATTGAAGCCTTGGGCCATCATAGACGAAACTTTATAGCTTGATTAATCATGGTGGTTTTAAGGTACCCCTCCATGCTTTTCGAACCCCCTCCATCTTGTTTAGAAACTGGATTGGACTGCATGTATGGACACATCATTTACTTCCATTGAAAATCAAACAAATCAATTTCAAAGCATGCACAAAAAATTTAAGTTTGTCACAAAAAAGTAGTTAGGAAACCTTCACCTACCAGGCTTGTAATGTGCTCCAAACAGTGGCTCATTGCCCCATTTATGTAAAGATCTCAGCATATTGGCCTGAAATATTAGATGAAATTAGATTATTGGTAGCGATTTTGATGGCCATGCTTATCATGAATCCATGGTCGCGTTTGGAATGACAAATGCTAAAAACAGGCGATCTTAAATTTTTTTAAAATCGAAAAAATAAGAGGCAAACCAGAATCTTTAAAAGTTAATGTATTTTCACATTCTCTTTGAACATGTTTGTTAAAATTGATGATGAACATTACCTTGAGTATTGGAAGCAGGAAACTGATAGCTTCGGGAGTGTCGCCATGGTGCCAACACTTCTAATTGCAATGGTGACCAACAACATTTTCCACTTTGGCAGTCGACTTTTTCAATGCTGTAATCCAAATCCTAATCAATTGTGTTCGTTTAGTTAATTTCTTTCACATGTTTCATGATTTACATTCAAAAACAGATGTTGGTATGTCACTTGAGAGATTAGCAAGGTAAGTTTTCGAGGTTCAACACCTCTCCAATCATAAGTATAATCTGGCTCTGTGAAGTACTTGTCCACAAATGGAGTAGTGTCAACAAGAAGAATTTCTACTTTTCTGGACAAAGAAGAGAAAATCATATTATACTAACTAATTTGTACTTACATGAATATATGAACATGAGAAACGTCATGAAATAAATCTAAAATTCGAGATCTCAACCACTTGTAATCTTTTTCTTTATCCTTAATCTACAGGTCTTTTGGTAATAAAATAACTTTTCATGAGATATGTGATACACTAATATATATTTACCTGTTTAAGGACGAAAAGATCTAAGACAAAGCCATCGTTTGTCCAGTGCTTCGTGAATAGGGCTCAGTTGTGCCTCTGCATCACCTCTATAATACGTGATTTCCCAAAACTACAGATTTTTAGAAAGATTACCATTAAAGACCCTTTAGAGGAAACAATTGCAGGAAAGAGAATTCAATTGAAGATTTGAGAGATAATATGATATGAAGACTTACCACTGTACCACTGCTTTTGCAAGCTTTTAGCGGTGTAAATGTTTGTGAAGGATTCCCTGAATGCTGGATCATATACACCTTCTAATCCATTATCATAGAAATTATCACCTGTTGAGATGACAAAGTCTATATCTAGTTTCTCTCCAATCCTTCCCATCTGTAATAAATTAATGGGTTTTTCATGAAAGTTAATAATGTTTTTAAGAATTAAATTAACAAAGTAATGGCAATGGTGAAGAAATTGGACCTGAAAAGCAACTTCAGATTGATTGTAAAACCCTTTCCTGCCCCAATCTCCAACAACCAAAAAGCTAAGTGACGCATCACTTTTCGTCGGGTGTTCAATCCTTTGAAGCTCCGCAAAACTTGGAACCAAGAATGCACAAAACACCACCGCCAAATAACATAGGTTGACCATAGCTCTTGTTCTGAAACGGGTAGCCATGGATGCCATTGACGCCACCATGGCCTTTTCAGATGAAAATAGGGGATAAGACAAAGGCTTAAAAAGGCAAGGAAGACGGCAAGAACAGATGAAAAGTGGGAAAACGAAAATAATTTAGACGAATCGATGTTCTGTAGTAAAATATCGTTGGAAAGCCAAATTAATTTAATGGCATTTATATAGACTAATATTGAGAATATTCTAACTGGCTAACCATGTTTCAAGGAATTTGACTATAACATGAAAGCAAAGGGTGATAGCCTGTTTTGCAAAATTTGTGGAAGATGCTTGCTCATATGTTTTTGCGTCTCCATCAACTAAATTTCCTATCTAAATAATGGTTCATGTCTTGCTATATGTTAATGCATTCTAAATCTAGATAATTGTTTATATTCATAAAAAAAAAAAATTAAAGCATGAACATATAAACCGAAGGCAAGTAAATAGGTTAGGATTATTTACTCCGATATTAATCTAAATTTTCAAAATTAATTTATAAATTTAAGATTATTTGCTTCAATATTAATTTGATTTTTTAAAATCGATTTACGTATGCTTATTTTATAAATCTCCAAAAATTTATTGCTTAATTTATTCTTCAATACAGATTGTTTTTACATTTACATTTAATTTTTTAATGTATGTTTTAATATGAAAACATGTAAAAATTTAAGTTTCAATTTGTTCTTATTTTAATTTTACCATTTACTTTTATTTCGTTTTAAACTACCATGATTTTTATTATATTTGAACGAAACAATCAATTATCTTTATGTTAATTGGTTTAAAGTTTTTTTTTTTTTTTTTTGTCTGGGATTGGTTTTAAATTTAGTTATCTACTTATTTTTTTATCATATAGTCTTATATGGTATTTCTTTTTTTTTTGGTCATATATGATTTCTATTTATTACTATATACGTTCCATCTGAGAAAAATGTTTTGTAACGATTTTTAATAAACCAAAATTCCGATAAAAATATAAAATATAAAAATAATTACTAAAAAGATTGTCAAAAAGCAAAAAAACTATACGAAAAAAAATTGGGCTGAATGGACGTTATGGCCTTTTTCTCTGAACTTCAATCATAATGCAAGATGATTTATTGGGCCACGCTGAGATTGGCATTGGGCTGACTGTTTTAACTTAAAGCCTGAGCTGAGGTCCGAGGCTACATTTTTTTACGTAAAAGGCTACATTTCATTTAGTGAAATATAGTTGACAGTGGTTAAGGTTTAGAATTTGGATATAAAATATTCAGGTTCGAATTTTTATGATCCTCTATTGGTAAATGTTGGTAGGTAATTTGCAAGTTCAAAACTTTTTAAAGGATCCGTAAATTTTTTTATGAATTAACGATTTGTTTTAATTTTAGAGATAAGTTAACTTCTTTGCTCCTAAACTTTTTATTCAACAAAAAAAAAAAATGATTGAGAGCTGATATTCGCTAGAATTAATCAAAACAAGGAAAAAAAAAAGAAACAATATTCTTAAACTTGACATCAAACATATAATTACTTGAAATGTGTTAGAAATTGTTTACAAGTATAACAAGCATTGAGTATAAACAATTATATCAAAATACACGCCAGAAAATCTTCCTTGATAGATACAAAAAAGATTTGCAGTTCCAGCAAAATCTGTCTAGAAGATTAACCCAAATTAAGCATGTGATCACATGTTCATTAGATCACGAACAAGTTCTGGAAAGTCAATCTCTGGTTTCTTGTTAGGATCATGCTGTGTCCAAGATGATATCCCCAGGCCAAATATGCCTAATGGTTGGTACCTAAAAGAGATAGCAGAAAAGTTCTGTAATGGCCTGATGTTTCAGAATGGACGGCATCATTTAACGTCTTCCCATACTTCTTACGGTATTCAGCCTTTATATAATGCATGTCGATCTCAGTTCTTGTAACAATAATCCTGATTAGTGCAGTGTCAGCTGTTCCTAGACCTTTCATTGCCTTCCGCAACGCCTGTAGTTAGAAAACCTTGTCACTAGGGGAGCTACAAGGATGAACTATTTAATCAAGAATCAATATCATGAACCATTGTCGGCAATGTAGTTAATCTCACCTTTGCAAAGAACTTTGGAGGGCTTTCAGCACATCTTAATATCGTTTTAAGGGCATATTCAAAATTTTTATGTGCTTCATCTCTTATTGCCTGCAATAAGTTGAGCGCAGTTGAGCATCACATCCGGGTTGATACATGGAAGACAAAGCTCAATACTTCAGTGTAGAGTGTGGAAAAAGTACCTTCTCTAATGGTTTTTTGAACAATTTATGGTAGGCGATACTAACAGCAGAAAGGTGTGCCCTACTTCTTTCACTGAAAATCTGTATGAAAGTCTTTTCTGAGAGTCCAAATTTCTTTGCAGCTTTGTGCAGAGCTTTAGCGTCATTTTCTACCAAACTTTCATCATATTCCGGGCCTTCATAGCGGGATGTACTTATAAAGGCAAGGAGTAACTGTGTGAAATCAAGTCAAGCAATGAATTTTTCATATGAACTTACTATAGATGTGATTTCACCTTGTCAGCCTAAAAGGAATAATAAATTGTACAATGAAGATAGAGAGAGGACCTTTTTAAGATCGCCAGATGCTTCAGATTCGATGTCGTCTTCAAGATTAGTACCAAAATTCGTGAAATAAGCTCGCTTAAGTTTACCAATTTGGGATGAAGTACGGGAACATATTATTTCGGTTACAGCTTTATAATCTTTAACAGTGCCTCTTAAAGCATTCTTCACAATGTAAGCATCCCTTGCCCCTGGCTCGTGCATCCACAGCAATACTGCTTTCTAAGAACAACAGGTAAATGTTTGATCACAGTTGATATCAGTAGCTATTGTCAATTGTACATTGATGAAACCGAAGGTTCCTATATTTTACTGAAAATTGACTATAATTTGATTTCCATGTTAAATATCACCTTGAGATGGCCAGTGAGCTCTGATGACAAACGTTTCCTAAGGTCATCAGAGTAGGCGGTTTCATATTCTTGTTGGATGAGCGAGCGTTGTGTAGCATCCCTATGAGCTAGAATATTGATAATTGCTGCAGAATCACAACCTATTCCTGAAATGTAACAGACAAGGATGTCATCAGAACCAAAACTTTGGCATTTGACAATGTCAATGTTTCTCACTTACATCAAATAATCTTAAGATTTGATCATCCCAAACAATTTGTTCATACATTGTTCATGTGTGATTCAAGTTGCTACATTGCATTTCCTTCCAATTCTTATTCATATTCCAAAGGTTTCAAAATTTTCTCCACCATAACCTAATAAAAAGAACCACAAAATAAAGAAAATTTCGGTCCGTGGTTTATCGGTTTCATGAAATTAACTCTTCTCACGAAGAAGGCTATGGGTTTATCTTGTAGTTGCATGAGGCTTTCTTTCACAAGTTCCTTGATATTTAGACCAATTGGAATAGAACAATTTTCATGCAATTAAATCTACAACGGAGGTTTGGAAAATAAAAAAGATTGTAGAGAAATGAAAAAGAATAGTTATTACCTTTGAAGGCCAGGTAGATCTCCATGGCATCTTCGCGGTGGCAAGGTGGCACCGGAGGTAGTTTCAGAGTCGACATTTCTCCTCTCTCTCTCTCTCTCTCTCCCCCTCACGATTTAAGGAAACTAGAAAAGGAACGAAGCCGAATATGAATGCAATAAGGGAAGAACGTAAATATAGCTTCCCTCCCGTGCATTTAGGATTATCCACCAATTTTACAACCACCCCATATATACTCTCAACCCTTTATTTTTAAACACTTCAAAGTTTTCAATTAATTTGACTTATATATATAAAGCCAAAGAACAAAACTAAGGGGGAGCCCTGCCCAATATTAAAACCAAAGAAGATGGGGGGTCTTGTATCTCACCCATCAGAGCACATCTTCTCTTTGGACTGTTTGGAAATACATTTTTTTGTTAATTATTATTGATGCAAGTATTTGATTCATCATTCTTAATATATATATATATATTCCTTTTATAATTATAATAATTCATTAAAGACATATAATTGGTCCCCTAAAATAAGATCTCTTTTGGCGTTTTATTAGGGCGTGCTTAATTACACACCAATTACGACCAACCCATGCATTATTAAAATTTATTGTTCCATTAGATAGGGATTTTGGACCAATAATAATACTGATGAATCTAAGGTTTCTCAAATTTAAGATTAATTATCTGTAAAGAAAAAAAAATATGCATAACGTTAGTGCCAATTTGTCTTTGAATGATCTTGTTGATCTCAGCACTCAGATTCTGTCTTTACTTCCACTTGAAATGGTTGGGTAGGTAAGAAATTTGGTTAAGGATTTAACTATAGCTTCAAGTTGTGGACTTTTTTTTTCAATGGCCAAGATGAACGAAGAACCTTAGAGTAAATTAATTAATTATATATAGAGACTCGATTATTTCAAATTGTGTAGGCCACTCATTTATATGAGTTAATTTAATTTAATTATATTTATAATTAATATATATGTGTAGAGGGCATCAAACTCGCAAGATATTATTTGTTTTTTAATTCAAATATCTTTTGATTTTATTTCACAAAAAATATCTCATAAATTTGAGTTTAAATCCCTATTTATATATAATAATAGATTCTCAGAATTTTCTGATATAAGATTAGAATGCTATAAACTCTTTTTGTTAAATTTTGACGTTCTCATCAAACCAACATAAAGTACAAATAAAATCACAAAATTATACAGATAAAAATACAAAACCAAAACTACACTAGACATTAAGATTTTTGAGATGGATCCTACCATATAATACTTAATTATCACAGGATTTTAGAAGTGACTTTCATTGTGTAATACTTAGCTCTCATCTGACTGATAACCGCTTTGATATCATTTGTGAAGACACACATAATTTTCAAAGTATTGTCCATTTTAACTCAAAACTCTCACAATTTTATTTCATAAAAAGCATCTTATAAATTTAGGTTTAAATTCTTACTATATATTATGACAGATTCTTACTTATATATTATAATAAATTCTTACTTATATATTATAACAAATTCTTACTTATATATATATATATATATATATATATAATCTCTTTGGATTTAAAGGGTTTAAAAGAATCAAGTTATTTACGAACATTTGACTATCATGTTTACTAAGATTAAGCTAAGCTTGAGTTCAAATTGCTTATGAATTGAATAAGTTCAAGCTTTTTAATATTAAGTAGTTTGTGTAGACACCCCAATCTGTTCGGGAGTCTACATTTGATTTTTATAAAAAAAAAAAATAAAAAAATGAAAAAGCTAGAAAAAAAAAAAAATAGGAAGAGTTTAAGTGGGATTGAAATTAGAGTTTAGGTGGGATTAAAAGTTGAAATTAAAACTTAGAAAGGACTAAAAATCTTTTTTAGTTTAGGGCTCTCGGATTACAGTCTATAAATACACAGACAGACAGAACAGATAGATCAGAAACACACACAAAGAATACAAAAAATACACAAAAAGTGAACAGAGAGAAAAGAGAAGCAAAAAAAGGTGTTTAGAAAGTGTAAAAGTGGTCTTGAGATTTTTAAGAATTTTTTTGAATTTTTGGTAATTTTTTCTAGAAAATTCCAATTCAGTGAATTTTTTATCAAATTCAAGTTTTTCAACGACTTTTTCGACGAAAAATCGAGTATCCGAATTTAAAACCCAAAAATCGACGAGCATTCCATCGGTGTTTTTCGCGTCTAGAGAGAGACGCAGAGAAAATTGAAGGAAGAGAGAGAAATGGGTGAAGCATCTGACGAAAAAGGAAAATTTTTGCCTTTTATACTACTTGAAAATGACGTCGTTTTGGGGAAGCTGAAAGTGGTAGGATCCACGCGTCGTCCGAAATTTGACCCGACCTGTAGTGCTTTAACCCGTTTAACCATTTCGTTTAGCCATTGTTGAGCGTTAAGCTGAGTTGCGTATCAAGCGTCCAACAACTTCTGTCTTGAGTCGCGCTTCTGTCACACTGAGTTGAACTGCTCTAAGGTTTTTTTATTTTTATTTTGTTTATTTTGTTATTTATCTATTAATATGATTATTATTATTATTATTATTTTCCAATTTATCTATGGATTAAATTGAAATAATTTATTCATTTAATTAAATATTCTTTAATTTTTAATGATCTCTTTAAAATAAAATTTAAAAAAATATATTTTTGAGAAAAAGTTGAAAGTATCAATTTTCCTTGAAAATAAAATTTTTAAAAAATATTTTCAATCTAAAAAATATTTTTGAGGAAAAGATAAAAGTATCAATTTTCTTTGAAAATAAAATTTCTAAAAAATATTTTCAATTTCTAAAAAATATTTTTGAGGAAAAGTTGAAAGTATCAATTTTCTTTAAAAATAAAAAATTAAAAATTTTCAAAAAAAATTATTTTTGAGAAAAAGTTGAAAGTATTCAATTTTTCTTGAAAATAAAAAAAAAATTTTTAAAAATATATATTTTTTAGGAAAAGTTGAAAGTATCAATTTTTTTAAAAAAAAAATTTTGAAAAAAATTTTTAAGAAAAAATTGAAAGTATCAATTTTTCTTGTGTAAAAGGATGAGTTTTTTTTCTTATAAAACAAAAAAAAGATCTATATCGAAAGTCGAATCATTATTCATTTCTCATTTTATCTTTTTCTTTTCTTAAAAATTTTTTAATGTTAAATAATTCGACGATGGAGCTTCTGCAAGAGAAACAGTAGTTTTTTTGTATACTCTTGAGATAAGAGAATTTTTTTTAATTTCCTACCAAAAGTATTAAAATTAATTAAGAATAATTTTCAATAATTAATTACTTAGTAAAATTTTTAAGGCTTATCAGATAACATGAAATTGAGCTGGTACCATCTTCTGATGGGCATGTGAGGTTGCTATAATCTTCTCCACATGTAACCGAACTCTCGAACTTTATTATGATTTGTAGACCCGAACTTATTCTTTTAAAGATCTTTAGTCAAGCTTGAGAGCTCCTTAAAAGGATAGATTCTTTAGGTGATCAATTGCACCTAAATAAAAAATATTTGTGACGACTCCTTAAGTCAATGTCTTACAATAAATCTACGAATCTAGAGATTATGACAGTTTGTATTAGATCATCCACGTAAAAAAATTGGAGAATAATTTGATTTGAAGTAAATTTATATATATTTGCTATTTGAAGTTTAAACATATTTGAATATCAGTAAATACTAATCTCAGATTTCCTGAAGAAATACGCACATAAAAAAGGCTTATAAATTCTCTAGTTTAACTTTTTTTTTCTCTCAATTTTCTCTCAATATTTGGCTAATTATTTGGCCAAGCCGACAAAGAAGCAACTTGAATCATAATTGCTTCTGATTAACCAACAATTATTAAAAAAAATTAACCCCACAAAAACTTCACTGTCAATGTCCCAATAATTACTACAAAATTAATCTTATTAAATTCGTTAATTTCTATTCATTGGTAGACTTTTTTATTTAACTTAAAGTCGTGGGTCTTCATCCAGATTTTCTTAAATTAAAATCTACAAATGAAAATAAAATAAACAATAAACAGAGATGATTTATTGGAGTGTTGTTCTTTTTTGTTTTTTTGTCAAAATTTTTTATTATTTAGTAAAAAATAATAATAAACAAAAAAGAAAGGCATATAAAATAATGAAATCGTGGAGATCCTCCAGCTATTGGTGATTGGGTTCCTATCAAATTCAAACCCAATTTGCAATTTTTATTATAGAAATTTGCTATGGTGGTGGCCATGAAAGAACTTCTCATTGGAATATTGGCCAATGGGATGCCCCATATTTATTTAAGGATTAGGATAGTTGGAAAAAAAATTAAAAATTTGTGATTTGTGAAGGATTCAAACTTTTCAGGATTCGGTTAGATAATATTACTAGGTCATATACTCTTTCTTTTTTTGTTTTTTTATAAATGATGATATCCATAACACGACAAGAATTACACGAAGGAACTGTTTAATCTTTGTTCTGAAATTGGTGAATGCATCAGCTTTGCTGGTATCTCTGAGTTAGCCGATTATTTATCAGTATATTTTACGAAAGTGCAATATTATGAAAGGAAAATATAATGAAATATTTAATATGTCATTTGAATTTTAAAAATTTTAATGTGTTATTTGAATTATAAATTTATTAATTAATTTGGTATTAGATGTATTATTTGTTTATCATGTGTTATTATTTGAAATTAATTACGTTAGAAGTAAATATTACATTAATTAATAATTTATAATTTAAATATCACATTAAAAATTTTTAATTTAGATATAACATTGAACATTTAGCTATAATTTAAAATCATTTGTGATATTATCCCTTTTATGAATTATCCTTTACTATTGAACCAAATGGTAAAATTAGATTCTATAATTAGGGTTGTAAACAAACTAAATAAGAACGAATGAATGTATTTATGTGATTTGTTCGTTTATTTTTAGAGGTGTTTGTATTCAGTTCATATTTACTAAGAAAATTACTCTATTCGTTCGTGTTTGGTTTATTTAAATAGTAAATTGTTCACATTTGATTCGTATTCAATTTATTTGTTCGTTTATTTTTAGAGGTGTTTATATTCAGTTCATATTCATTAAGAAAATTACTCTATTCGTTCGTGTTTAGTTTATTTAAATAGTAAATTGTTCACATTTGATTCGTATTTGATTTAATTAAGTTAAACGAACTCATTTGTGAACGTTAAATAACATATTCACAAATATATATATATATAAATGAACATATTTATGAGTAATAAACAAATTATAACCAAATAAAATTAAATAATAAAACCTTAAACACACATAAAAAAATCAAAACAAATATAAACGAATCTTAAAATATGATTAGGGTAAATGATAAAATTACAATTTTATTAGTATTATTATAAACAAATAGCAAACAAATAACAAACGAACAATAAACAAACAAGTTTTAAACAAATTTTAAATGAATTTGTTCACGAACATAAACGAATTAAAAAGACTTTTGTTCGTATTCAATTCATTTAATAAACAAACATAAAAATATTGTTCTAGATATATCACTTGTTAAGCTTAACAAACAGATATAAATGAATAGAAACCGAACATGTTTACGAACAATTCATCGAAAACTATGTTTGTTTACACCTTTATCTATACTGAATGATTAAAAGTCAATTGGATCACTCTAGATAGTATTTGGTATGAAGTAATCACTTCAAAAATTATAGTGATCTACACATGATAATTAAATCATTATGTTTGGTAATCACTTGATAATCCTATGTGACAGTAATTTTATATTACTGAAAGTGATTAGATCAATACTTTTATGATGATCCAATTCCCATTCAAGAAGGTGAGAAGCTTTTATTATCAAGGTAAAGTGATATATAAAATTGATAATAGTCAATATTACATATTTAATATATGAATTAAAAACTTATTTTTTTTTAAAATTGTAATTATTTTATATTATAAATTTTTATATTTTTAAATTAATATTTATTGTAATAAATTTAAAAATAATATGTATGTTTTTTGAATAAACAATTGAATTGAAGAACTTATTTTTCTGCACGTGAAATTTTAATATGATAATATTCAAATTTATTCCACAAGAATTTTTTTTTTTCAATACAAACAAAATGCTTTTTGAATGTATTATTTTAAAAAGCCAAATTCAATTCTTCAACTCTAAGAATTCAAACACTTCTCATGAGATCCAAGATTTAAGTGAATTCACTATAAAATGATTTTACAACATAATTAATATGATTGTTTCCAATTAAATTGTCAAAACTTTACTAACGAAATTAAAACATTTTGCTTTTTTGATGAAAAGCTTGGTAAATGTAGGTTTAGAACTAATTAGAGTAGCCCTCTTGATGGAAACATAGGTTGACTAAGGATGAGAAAAAAAATTAAAAAAAAATAAAAATTGATTTTAAATTATAATGTTTGATTCGTTTGGATTAATTTTTTTATTTGATTTTAATTAAATTTGAATATTAAGTATATATTAAATTCGAATCGAATTTTAGATTGAAAAATAAAAATTGAAAAAAAATTGAATTGAAAAAAATTATATATTGTTATTAGTTTTTTTATATATTTTTTAAAATTTTATAAAATAAAAATAACTATTTTATACTTATATCTATTTAAATATATTAAAATAATATATAAAAATAAAAAATTAAATTTGAAAACCACGGAATCGAACTAAACTCTGAGTCATATTAAATAAAAAAAATTGAATCGAACAAATAAAATTTAATTCAAAATTTAAAATTTTATATATTATTCAAAAAAATTAAATTAAATCCAAATCTTACCGCCTCTGCTCAAATTGAAATTAGGGTAAGTGACAGAAAGATCATCAGCTCTACAGATTCCAAGTGCGCATTTTTCAATCTTTCATCAGACTGATAAAGATTGCTAAGAAAGGAGCACTTCTTTGGAGATCTGATCTTGTGGGAATAAAAGCAGAACCCATTCACCAACTAAAATAAAATATATAGTAGCTTCAGAAGTTTCCTTTTTCCTTCTTATAACTTAAATATGTACGAAGTTGGGTTCCCTTCCTATTAACATAACCTTTCCATGAAAATTGATTATACAATCATATATTTGATATGGTATCGTTATCCCTTAGTTATATCATTCCTATTGTTTGCTTTTAACAATATATTTTTAAAATAAAAAATTATCATATTTAACAATACAAAATTTTAACTTAAAATTAAAACTGACAAGTTTTTATATGTACATACCTTGAATTTTATCAAAAAATTTCTCATCGTGAGATTTGCTGATTAGTAGGCGATGCTTAGAGACGTATATTAATCTCCCAAGTTGATTAACTGAAATCCTCATCAACTCAAACCCTAAATAACATAAACCTCGATGACCCAGTGCAGCCTGATTCAATTAATTATCCATGAATGACTTACAAATCAATTATAATTGGAAGCAAGAGATTACTCTGCAATTGTAATTTGGATTGATGAGATTTATTGATAGTAGAAAGTTATCATTTGTTACAAGTCATTTTTCATTATATGATTCAAGATAAAAAATGAATATCATGCAACTGGAGAATTGAAAATTTTGTTTGAGAAAGAAGACACCCATGTAAGCAAAAGCATGGTTCCCTGTAGCTGGGGCGTTTGCAGCTCAGCTGATTAACTCTTCTCCATTTTCTAATCTAATTTCTCTACTCTATTAGTATTTTATTATGGACCTCCCCCACTTGCTCCTTCTTAAACAAATCTACAAAATATAGGATATCCTCCAATTAGCCCCAACAAATACAAAAGTTTAAGCCTTCAAAAAAAGAACCATGCATTTCTTTTTCTTCTTCTCTCTATTCTTTTTTAATGGAAATTAAATTTATTGCAAGTCGTTACTCTTTTAAGAAATTAAGAGCTCCTTCCCTCTCAACTTGCAGAGGTCTCTCTCAATTCCTCAGTATGATCCCTGTCATTTTTATCTGTTTTGGCATTCTCTATCCAACCCTTTCTCCATATCTCCTTCACCTCTGCCAATATCACCTCCAGCTTTCCTTCTCCCATTTCCCTCTCTTTCCACCATGCCAAGAAACCAAGAAGTTAGTACTGCTTAATCTGCCATTTTCTTTCTGTAACACTTCATGCCATGCACACTGATTAATATTCTATAACTTATTCAATAGCTCTTGTCATTTGGAGGTATATTGATATAGTATTAAAACTCTTTGTCTATGGTGATTCCAGGTTATGTGGCCCAGATTGGTAGCTAACAAGATCCTTAGAAAGAGATTAGGAAGCAAGAACTTTGTAGCAGATTTTCCAAGCAACAAAGAAACCCTGTTGGAAATTCCAAGCTTAGATCAGCCATCGTTGAAACCCAAGACCATATTCAGTCATCATAAGGATGCACATAATTATAGGTATAAGAAACAGCTATGTACTTTGTATCATTGTAAGATTTATGATCATCCTTCCATATATATGTCTCTAATTTTCTTTCATTTTTCCTCTTTTTCTTCCTAAGGATTTTCGTTAGTACTTGGAATGTTGGAGGGGTTGCACCACATGAAGATTTGGATATGGAGGATTTGCTAGATACAGGCAACACTTCCTCTGACATCTACGTTCTTGGGTAATCACTAACAGTAAAATTACTATTACAAGAAAGCAAACAATGAGAGTTGAAGTTTTACAGTTTGATTAAGTCAATGATATCATTGTTGTTTTCCTCTCTTCTTTCCAGGTTTCAAGAAATTGTACCCCTTAGCACATCCAACGTGTTGGGACCAGAAAATGGCAAGGTTTCCATGAAATGGAATTCCCTGATTAGAGAAGCCCTGAACAAGAAAACACGCTGCCGAGACAAAATCCAACATTCCAATGAAGATGGAAAGTTATCAATCGGAAACAGCATCCCGGGGCAAGACTTCCGGTGTGTTATGAGTAAGCAAATGGTTGGGATACTAATCTCAGTTTGGGTTCGAAGCTATCTTTGTCCTTACATCGAGTATCCTAGTGTCTCATGTATTGGCTGTGGAATCATGGGCTGCCTTGGAAATAAGGTAATCATCATCATCATCATCAATCAATCAATCAATCAGACCATATATATTCCTTTGAAGTGGAAAATTTTTATTTTCTTTGATTTGGTATTTATCCCAAAAGGGAAAAATGACTGGTACTACTTTCTATAATTTTTTTTTTTAACAAAGAGAGGCCACGATATAAGAATTGAGAAAATATTCGAATTTCAAATCTATTGAACATCATCTTGTAAGAGTGGTTGTTTGAACCAATTTAATTAAATTCTGATTCTACTTTCTACAGTTTTTGACAATAATAGAACTTAAATCTATACACAGGCCATTGATATCAGGATAAAAATATTTTTTATATAATTACATTAGATTTAATTCAGACGGTTTTTAATTTACTTCATTGTTTTCCTTATTTCTCACTCTTTAAAATCTTGGTTTGCAGGGTTCAGTATCAGTTAGATTCCGGTTACATGAAACAAGCTTCTGCTTTGTGTGCTGTCATCTGGCTTCTGGGGGTAGAGAAGGAGATGAGAAGCTTAGAAACTCCAATGTTTCCGAAATATTGTCCAGAACAAGTTTTCCTAGAGGCCCTTCACTTGATTTCCCAAGAAAGATCCTAGACCATGAGTATGTAAAATAACTTGATTATTAATAATCTTTTTGAAACAGTCTAAAACAATTTCATTATTGATTCATGGAGCAGTAATTTAATACTAATTATCTTCTTTAATCAATGTTTCTTTCCACTATAAATCATGAAAATAAGACATGAATAGCCAATAAATTATAAAGCTCAAACATCATTATTTGATTACTAGTTTCCAACTTTGAATTTGTTTGCTAAACATTTGTAGTTGTTAGAGCAATTTTTAATCCGGTGGGCTAATGAAATTAATGGTTTGATAACCCAACTGAAAGTGATGATTTCTTTACTGGTAAACCGGCTTTTATTAACAAATCCATTTATTTATGATAAAGTTGACTTGTTAATCAACAAGTTAAATTACTACTTTTTAGACTATGAATAGCATATTAAAATAAATTTAATACTGAACTCCAGGACTTTAGTTTAATTAGTTCATGCAATAAATCTGGCATTAAAATTCTAATACCTGCAACTCATATCCCCAGGCTGCCTTTGCGGTCATGGAGTATCTTGGTGATATCAGCTAACGATACATTGTTCCGTTGCAGTCGGGTGATTTTGCTTGGAGATCTGAATTATAGAATTTCCCTACCAGAATCAACTGTTCGGCTCTTAGTGGACAGAAGAGAATGGAATGCCCTGCTAGAAAATGATCAGGTAATCAAACAATAAAACACCACAACAAATGCATTCAAATATTATTCTTTCTGAATTAATTCTCATTCTAAACTTTGGCATGAAACTATGTTGCAAATGAAGCTAAGGCTGGAGCTGATGAATGGTCAACTCAAAGGTTGGCATGAAGGATCAATCACATTTGCTCCAACTTATAAATACTGTCCGAATTCTGATGTTTACTATGGGGGTTTTAATCAAAGCAAAAAAGGCGAAAAGAAGCGTGCCCCAGCATGGTAATTGCATACTGAGTGACATCAAACATTCTTATAATAATTCAAAGAATTTCAGTCCTTCACAAATTTCCTCTTCTTTTTTTTTTTTTTTTTTGATTCAGGTGTGATCGAATAATATGGTATGGGGAAGGATTAAAGCAACATGTATATAACAGAGGTGAAGAAAATTTCTCTGATCATAGACCTGTCAAAGCAATATTTACTGCTGAAGTTGGGGTTTTACATTCGCTGAAACAATTTCAAAGCATTTTCTTATCAGACAGGTTTGACAGAATTACGAGCCAGTTAGAGCTATCCTCAACCAATGACTTTCAATGTAAAGAAAGATCAAGCTTCCAAATTTAACAAGAAAAATATTTAAACTACTCTTGTTGTATAATTGTTTGATGCATGTTAAATTATAGAGAATTATCTCAATGATTTCATTGAAAACTCGATCATTAGACGAATTTAAAAAAAAAACACAACAAGTCATCACCCATATTTTTTGCTTGGTCATCTAAATTACTTATCACAAAATTAAATAATTTCAAACAAAATTAGGTATCTAAAGAAGGTGACAAAGAAATTAATTAAAAAGATATGATAGAACTTTCTTTTAAGTCTATGGTAGTTGCACTTAAATTTGCTGATTAGTGTACAGTGATTTTTGGTGTACTGATTCGCCAATTTTTGTTTTCTAGCTCAGAGAAGAAGTCCAAATAATATTTTCATTTTTTTTATTAGAATATAAAAGAAAATTAGGTTTTGTTTTGGTCCAACAAGTCGAGTCCAAAGTCCGATTGCTCCTTGTTGCTTCCAACCAGGGTGTTGCATGCTAACCCCAATGCAGTTCATGTTAACCATCAACTAATTTAATCAAAACTTCCTGATGATTAGAGTTAGCTTAAGAACCTAATTGATTGGCAGATGTCAAGGTTATAATCTAGAAATAATGTCATCTTTAAAAGAAAAAAGAAAGATTTGAAGGAGCGTACACTAGATGGCAATAATTCAGATGTTTGGATGAAAGAATTAAAGATTAGACGTGACGATTGGTGTATTTATATTTATTTATTTTGTATTAAATATGTATAAAATATAAAAAATATTATATTATTATATGTATTGATTTTTAAATTCACATATAATTTTTATCAAAATTTTAAATCGTATTAATTTTTTATCATATTTAATATTCTTGTATCTACTAGTAGTATCAACCAAAACAAATTAATTTTATTTACTAGTTGGAGCATCTCTTAATTAATTATAAGGTCTAGATATGATTTAACAATTGGCAAGTGGTGAAATAACATTGTGCCTGTGTCATAGTACATGTAAGTTCTCATTCAATGGTTGATGAAACATGGACCAATAAATTAGTTAATACCAACGAAAAGAGAAATAAAATTTTTTTGCAATAAAATACAGTAGATATCACTCCCCTAGTTGAGGCATTTGAGAAAAAGAAAGTTTAATAATTTCCAAATCCCAATATTATTCGATGCTTTTGAAAGCACAAAAAATAATGAAGACTGAAGGATAAGATATTAATCAAAAGTTTTTTTCTTTCGACCATCATGTGATCAGTTACACTTGTTGAAATAACTTTTTTTTTTTTTGTTTAGTTAAAAGTATGCCTTGTAAATTTAAAATGCCAATTGTATAAAGAAAGCTAATATGAAAATTAAAAAAAAAAAAAGAAGGAGAACGGAAAAAAACAAGGGTTTTGTACTTTGTTACCAACATGATTTTCTAAAAATGATTTTAATAAAATATATAAAAATAATATAATTTAAAACTTTAACAGAAAATCGTATATGATTTAAAAGTATATTTTGTATTTAAAATATCAACGTAAATTATAATATTATAATTTTTTATATTTTACATATTATTTAACAAAAAATAAATAGAATACAAATATATGATTTTTTTTGTCCAATTTGGATTCCGATTAATTCGAAGTTGAATCGGATCGAATCCCATAAAAAATTAAAATTTTTTAAATTTATTTTTTTATTTATAAAATTTAAAATCAAAATCTTAATTAAAAAAAATTGAACCTAGGTTACAAATATACGATTTGACAGATATTGAGAGTTGCTTTTTTTTTATAATTTTTTTAGAAGAGAAAATGAAAAAAGGCTAGGCTCAGTCCAATTATAGTGGGCCAAATAGTCTTTACCTGTTCTAAAATAGAAATTTTGTAAAGTGCCACGTGGCAAACAGTTTCGCCTCCTTTTTGAAATAAAAACTCCCGCGAAACTGATTCTCTCAAAGAAATGCTGCGACTGCGAAAGAAATCGGTGGAATTTCTTGTTCAATCTTCTCACGTAAGCATATCAATTTTCTCAGGAAAAAAAATTAAATTTCCTTCATTGATTTTTCTTTTTGTTGTCATTTGAAAGCAACTCCAGGCTTCTCCATTAGTGAAATATACTGCTTTATCTCTCTTCGCTGACCGATTTCTCCCTTCTCTCACCACGTAAACCTCTCCCTCTCTTCAATTTCATGAATTTTTTTCTATGATTTTAAATTTTAATGTACATGAAATTTCTTTTGATTCTTTTTTTCTTTTTTAAAGTTTGATAAAACAGGGGAATGAGATGGGAAGTTGGCTTTTACGATCCATGGAACAGAGTAATTTGCAGTTATTTTCACTTATTTCGATCTGGATCTCAAGTAAAGTTGAGTTTCTATATTCTAGACTTCATGACCTTCTTTTTTTTTTTTCTTACAGTAAGGTAATTTTTTTTTTTTTTTTGGTTTGTTATTTGTAGATACACGATTCTCGTGCTCTACCGGTAAAATGTTTGAAATCATTGGGAGACAAGTTTATTAAAGATCAACATTTTACTATTAGAGATTTCTTGGAAGCTGTAAGTTGCTTACTTTTACGGTTGATTTTACCATTGTTTTCTGAATATATACTTCGTCCAATTTATGTAGTTTTAGTTTGATGATTAATAAATTTATATATTAAAATTTGAAAATATTCTTACAGATTTTGAATGATGTAGTTTTGATGATATTGGAATTAAATTTAATGTAATAAAAAATTTTAGAAAATTCAAGATTAAAAAAAATCACGAAATAAAAAAAAATCGAATGCAATGGTGATTGATCGATGAGCACATTTTGCAGGAGGTGATCTTCCTTCAGGTAAATCTCCTAGACTCAAATGGCTTTAATATAAGGTCATCTGTCAGCTGATCAAATTCAACTAACAATGATTTTTTTTTCTCCTTTTTCTTGTTATGTTTAACATTTTTTATTAATTTAAAGGCGTTGAAATTTGAGATTGGGACATCAAATGTGGCCTTCTTATTCCTTGAAGAGCTTTTTCTTCAGTTCAAGTAACAATCTGGTTCCATTTCAAGTCAATTCATCTGTATCACTTGAAAATATCACTATCATTTCAGTATCATTTCCCTTTTTTCTATCTTCTGCATTGTAGGGGAGTAGCAAAAGTTGGGGAAATGGTGAGCTTTGAAGCATGCATGGATGTGATGGATCTTCTTTATGAAAAGGAGGAAACATCAATTCTTTTTAGTTGTCCATGTTCTCTGGCTGCATCCATCTTGGCACGTTTTCAGTCAAATTAACTCCACTAAATGTGGTTAAGTCTTTAATTATGTGATTCAATTTAATAAGTTGCCTTTTTTTGCCTTTTCTAGGTTACTTCATATGCAGTCACAGTCCCTAAACAACAGTGGGAGTTTCCTGTTCTTCCTTGGGGTAAGTTTTCTCTTGTGCACTGCATAAATTATTTCTTCTCCAACCCCTGCTGCCCTGCATCAAAATCGTTTTCAGATACATTGTTTATATCTAATTTTAGAAAAAATTTGGGGTTTTATTTGTAGTAATAGCTTCAATAAAGTCATCACTGTTGAAAAGGTTGAAGTCCAATTAGATACTTGGTTTAACAAGGGGATTTCGTGGTTAGACAACACCATATATAGCTAACCAAACAAGATATTAGTAATACTTCTAGTGAAAATTTGCCCATCAAAACCAACCACCTTGAGGAAAAAAATTTTGGTATGAATTGACTGATTATTAAGTTGATACTTAAACAAAGTTAGATTAAGCATTGCAACTCTAACTGGATTTAGAAATTTCTGAACTTCAACCTCAACACTTCAGTTTGCTCATTCAATTTGGAGTATCCAGAGTCTGATTTATACATATAAAACACTGTGCCATGATTGCCTTCAAGTTTTATCTAAACAGTTATTTCTTATTCCACTAGATGATTGGATATAGAACCTGCTTGTTTTCGGAGTTACCTTGTCACTTGAATTTAAGATACCTTCTGGTAAGATGAAGCAATGAAATTTGTACAGTTCAAACAAATAAATTTATCACCAAATACGATTAAACTCAAACCTTGTGATATCAACCCTTAAGCCCTAATATCATTAGTCCATTAGCTTGTTTGAGAGTAGAATTACGTTAAATTTGAGCAACTGTCTGACTCAAGAACTTATGAGAAGGCATGCTACAATCTTTTCAAACATTTGACTTTACTGGTGTAATTTTAATAGAAAGTCTTCGAATCATCTTTCTTTTCGTAGAGTGCTATAGATAACAAATCCATTTTAGAGATTTACTAAGGAAATCTATATGTTTTTGCTAAAGACAGAAACATAATGATGAAATAAAGTCATATTACTGACTGAATTAGATCTGCACATTGCATCACTTTGAACAAGTGTCCAAATAAGGGAATTTTTAGAGAATGATTTTTGAAGGTTCTGTTATTAAAATGGCTATTAATGTAGAATTATCTGGACACTTGTTTAGTCACTTTCTTTCTGGAAACTTAGAAGTTAAAACTCAGTGTCTGCTATCATCAAAGATTTCTCTACGGTAATGTCCCTGTCCTTTTGCTACCATGTCCACAAAATGTATGTTTTCTAAAAATTTATAAAAACCAAAAATAATAATAAAACACAAACTTTTGGGCCTTAAAGATTTATCTTTTGGCCCTATTCTCTCAAAAGAATGAAGGAATAAGGGCAGATCCGATGTCCTTAAAAGTAAATTTGAGTTAGAGATGTCGTATAAATTGAATAGCCCATGACATGATGATTCAGCACGACATAGATTGTGTTTGACATGGTCCATTACTATAGTATACAATGTGTCAAACATGATTCATATGTTTGTGCAGTGTTAGGTTAGATATTTTAAGCTGAGCACGACCCATTAAGAGTTATGATCAGCACATGACACATAGACTAACAAAAAACACATCCATTAATATTTGTATCGTACTTACCCATAAATATTATAATAGGCTCAATTTATTGATTCTTGAATTGTATTTCATATTATTTTTATCATATGATGAAATTTACTTGGCTTTTGGTACTTTATATTAGCATTTTATAGAAACTAAATCGTTTCTTAGAAAATATTTAAACCATTGGTAAATAAATTATAATATTTTAATTTTGATGTAATATCACTTTTTAAAGAAAAATAAAACTTTTCATGAAATGTGTATATAATTGCTTAAAGATTGATTATGAAGAAGTCTAGGTACAAAATAAAACATGTAATATTTTTGAAGAAAATTACATGTGATATAAGTAATTCGATGAGAATTTTATTTTGTAAATTCTTTTAACTTATCTTCATGAGCCTAAATATTTTGTTGAATCATATTAAACTATATTTTTCATATATTAATTTTTAAAAAGATAATTAAAAATTTTACAAAATTTTATTAAAAAATTGATAAATTTAAGAAATTATTAATATTCGTGATTGGTTTGATTTAATGTGAAAATTAGTGTTGTGTCAAAGCCCAATACAATTCATAATTATATGTTTTGCTAAGTCATGATCTTACCATTTATAGATGATAATAATCCGTTAGATGACAATGCTAGATTGACATAATCCATTATAAGATATGGGTTGATATTTTAATGGGTTGGGTTAACCCGATATGGCCCATTTAACAGTTTAATTTTTATACATGGAAAAATTGCTACTGCCTAAACTATTTTGAAGTTCTAAAATTCTTGCCTGAACTCCGTATTTAAAGCATCAATAAATAATTTAATACCAACTCATTAAATTCCCACATTAGCATGTTTCCTAAACTGTAAACACCGGTTAAAATTTCTGATGGACCAGACCAAATACATTTCTTCTTGGCTCTGGATAACACTTGAGTCATGTAGATAGGCCGAGAGAATAAGTGATTTATATGTCGCTGCCCTTTGAACTAGGGTACTTGTCCCATCAATCCAGTCATCTTCCACTCAAATTCCATCAAAGATAGACTGTTGAGTTTTGACCGCCGGCCATGTCAGATCAAAGCCCCGTGTTGTAGCACGTACACAGCAAAAATAAATCCCATGGTCCATCATACATACAATTACTGCATGAAATATATATATCATCATCATCATCAATTTTTTAAGTTAAAGGTCACCATTACAAGGGAATGAGACCTGCCCCTTTATCTTTTCAACCTTTTTTATGTTGGTGAACCCTGTGCCTTTCTCTTTCAACCAAGCTCCGGTACTTTTTGAGCTCTAAACCTTGGTGGAATTCAAGCTGTACCCAAAAGAAATTGTAATTGTGGGACCCAGGTTTAGGTTTCTTTCCTTGGATTTGACTTTTCCTATTGAGTTGTAGCTTTAGGGTGACATCAATATTTCACCATGGGCAAAGAGATTCAGAGGGAGATCTTCTTTTTCATCTTTTTTTTTTTTTTAGGTAATATCTTTTGTTAATGATGTCATCCTATGGAGCTGTGTTGGTTCGTCGTTTTGAAATATTATCACGAAAATCTGATTTTTGAAAATTGACTTAGAAATCAAATATATTCAAGCATTTAAAGTAATAAATGATTTCATTGATTGCTCTTTTAATCAAATGTTGATTAAAACTTACTCATTTCTTATTGTTAAAATTTGTAGATGTAATGATGTCAAATTAAAAAATCTCATAGGCCATTCTCACAAGTACAACAAAGAGATGTAATTGTTCCTCAGAAATTCTCACTTGTGCAACAATTTGATGTAACTGTTCCTCAGATTTTTACGGGAAGGGGGATTTGGTAGGAGATCACGGACTTAAACCTAACCTAGGTAGGTTCAAATGTGAAATAATAAAGCCACATCCTTCAAGTACAAAGCTGATAGTCAAGAAATTTTCCTTTTCTTTTGTTTTTGGTAACTAAGAATTAGATTTCTAACTTTTCATATAATGGGAACAACTGTTTTTCTAGATTCAGTAACTAGGAAAATTCTACTGGAAGCTGTTTAAAATTCAATTTCTAGCTAATACAGATAATGAATAATGTTATTAGTGTGACCTTTCTTGAAGCAATCTATCATATTTGTCCTGTTTAATGTGATTCATATGAGATTAAGGGTCCTAGTCACAGTTAAAGCTAACTTCTTCTGTCGTCAAGTAGTCATTGAATGAGGTTACTCTATGGTCAAGGTCTTCATTAAGATTTTATTTAAATAAACGATGAAATTAATTTTAGTGAAATTAAAAATAATAATATTAGTAAGATTAATTATTATAATGGTGTAATTAAAAATAATAATGAGATATATGTTTAAATATAAATACAATTATGATAATGAAATAAAATGTAAAAAAACGAAACAATGATCATTATCGGTATCAAATTAAAATTGATATATAATAAATTTTATAATATATTTGGTATTTATAAAGTTAACAAATAATTGAAATTTAATAAAATTATTTTTATATAATTATATATCTATTTGTATTTATTATGTAATTATTTTATTTAATAAATAAGTTGATAATATATTTTATTATTTATATTTTTTCTTTATATTTCAAAATAATAATTTTTTAAAAAAATAATAATGCATTTACACATCTTAAAATATCTAATATTTATTTACTTTTTATATAGTTATCTATTTTATTTTTTTCATTCTCTAATAATTTATTATTATAAGGTTGATTATTTATTTATGTACTTAATATGTTATCTATTTATTAATTTATTTATTAAATAATAATATAAATGATTTTTTAAGTAATTATAATAAATTAATTTTAAAAACTTTAAATTAGAAAAAATAAAATAAAATAACAAAAATGCAAAACTAAATAAATAAAAAATGTCAAATAACTCATACATATAGGAAACATATTTGTCCATACATTTTATTTCAAGGGTGTAAAAGATAAAAAAGAAAAAATTATGGTAAAATAGGAAAAGAGATGTGCAATGAAGGGAGCATTGGTCAGTGAAAATTTGTGGGATCATTCCAATTGAAAACAACAAAATCAAACTGAACTGATGTGCCAAACGAATCATCAATAAAGTTAGAAATTCCAACCATATTTCACTGAAAATAATCGAGCATCCAAATGAGGCCTAAGTATAGATGCCCAAAAAATCTTAAAGCCTTATGAAAGATTGATGCATATGTTTTATTGATATTACATTAAAGCACGTAGTGTTTTGATTGTTACTCCAACCCTTCTCCCTTTGCACTATTCAACGGTAAAAGCATGACATTCTGGAGTATAAACTCAACTAAGGTAGGTAGAACCTGAAGCCAGACCCTGAAGGGTAGAAACTTTTCCTACTCAACAACTCTTTGAAATGATTTTTTCCCTCTGTCATTACATTGGTTCGAAGGTAGGTAGACTTTTTGGCAGCTTCTTTTAGGTCCCCTTTTTTCCTCTTCAACATCAAGCAATAGGACATATGGATGATCTCTTGCAACCAAAAATGGTACACATGAGAATCACCCGTGTGAACACAATGGCTAAGGCGAGACTCCTTAATTAAGGTGGGAATAGACTGATAGTACGAAGGATTCCCACAGCCTGTCTCTTTTTATTTTGTATTGGTCTTTGGATAAAGGGAGGACATAAAACTGAACCAAACTTATGATGAAGAGGATAATTATTTTACAAAGGGTCCCATTTAGACCCACCACTGCTCATTTTTTAGTTATTTTGCTTTCAAGGAAGATTGATCTTCTTCTTGCACAGGTTAAGCTGTCTTTGGTCTTTACTGTACTTTTTTTTTTTTTTGTGTGTGTTCCTTTAGCCTTTATGTTATCATTCTGCTGTTGCTGCTCCCAGCTCTGTTTTGTTCTTAGCTCCTTCTCCGTTCCTAGTTTTATATTTTATGTCAGCAATGTTAATTGTACATGGCATAAGGCACTTGTAACTTGGCGTGTCTAAGTTACAATAAGTTAAGTAGTTAACTAGAAAATTGTTATAAGATTCTTGAGTTGTTAGAATTAAAACATCAGTTTGCTAACACAAATTCAAAAGATTTCTTCTTGAACTGGAAAATGATTTTCCAGCACCTTATTTAACAAATCCCATGTGTTTAGTGTGGTTGAGATTAAATTAATAGAAAAACATTAAACCCTCTTTATAAATTTGCCATATGCAAATAGAAAGCTCTCTGTTAATGTCATCTGCCTTCATCACAAACAAAAGTGTGATTATTTTAGCCTGTCATGAATTTTATTCTTGGTGGGATCTTGGGTTGGTATTTGAAATTGTCAAAGTCATAGTAATACTTTAATTGATAGAACAATCTTGTCTTTATTCAATTTTCGGCTATGCATGAGCCTGCTCATGAGCTTAGTTAGAGTTATACCAGCTAGATCTTGGTTAAAGCTTCGTAGACCACTTTGAATTTCCATTATACTAGTAACGAACTTGCTAAGATATTACTACTTGAATTTTATCACCCTTAAATATATGTTATAAATTATTGTCAATCAGAAGTATTCTATTTATGAATTAGTATTAAGTAAAGTTTTTTTTGTTTGCATACAGTTAAGTTTGTAACATCGTACAAAGAAGAGGACATAGTTGAACAAGTCAAGGATATTCTTAAGCATGTGTTTGAACCCCATTGCTAGCCAAGGTTTCTATAGATCAGAAAGCAGTTTTATGGTATGTCTCCAATTAACTGACAATATATAAATTTGGATGATCCCTTTAGTGATAAGAAAACACATTAACCTATGCAACTTTCTTGATAATTCGATGAATTATTTGTTAGCTAGATATAATGCATTACCTATATGGGTTTATATTTTATACACTATTAGTGTATAAATATTATACACTGTCATTAAATCAGATGATGATATTTTATTAATAAGCAAATATCAATCTTTAAAATAAATATATACAAATTAAAATTTTTTAAAAAATTTACTCATTAATAAGGTATTATCATTTGATTTATCTCATTAAGGAGTTATTATTTAATTTATTGACAGTGTATAAATTTTATATACTAACAGTATATCAAATTTAAATAAATATAAAAACACTAATAAAAAATATATTTTTCAAATCAATGATTGATTGCCCCTTTAATTACAATTTTTTTTTCATAATTGTCTTAAATAAAGTTGTTATTTTACAAAACATTCCGTTAAATTGAGACAGTTAATTTGAAATGATCAACTTAAAAGTATATTGACAAAATTCAATCATATTAAAAAATAGTGGCAAAATTCAACGTTGAGATAAGATATAATGACTAACTTACTCTTAATCCCAAAGAGAATACGAAATGATTAGCTTTCACTGTGTATATTTAGGGAGGAGGATCAAACTTTCAAGATCATAATACAAGCAAATCAATTCATGAGACTGCTTAAGTTGTATTTTTTAAGTACATTTGCTAGATCATATGTCTGTGACCACCAGATTCATAGTGACCAAATGAGATTCATCTTTCATTTTCTTTAAAGTAGTATTTTGGAACATGGGCCCCATCACATCTCACTGATGCATCAGATCCGAGTAATTTAAGAGCGTTTTACTATTTTAATGTAGTTTGTTGTTGCATTTAAGTTTGTTCCCCTTGTTTAGCTCAGATGAGAATATTTATGATGCTGAAATAAGAAAAACATTCTTAGGGCATGAACTGGAGTCTGTTTGATTGCATGTTAATTATGTACTTGAAAGAGTATGTGCCACTCTGGCTATCTAATCAGTAATCAAGATTTTAATGATGATTAGGATTAAGCCTTGGAATTTAAACTATAAAAGAGGGAAGAGAAACAATAATAGTTAACTAGGTTTTGTTTGTTTATATTGCAATTTGTTGTATTTAAATTCAGATTACTTATTTAATTTTGTTGTACATAAAATTTTGAGTCATACACTAAAAAATAATTTTTTCCATCTCATAAATTTAAATTTGGTCCTCCCAAATTTAAATACAAGATCAAATTACTTATTAAATATATGCTTTATTTGGATGATTGGATTATTGTGTTATAATATTATTGTTGTTTTATGACTTGATCGTTAAAGATTCAATTACAAAACAATATGATGACACGATTAAAAAAATTTTCACTTGCCATCCAAAATGAAGCTGTAATAAATACCTAAAATAAATGTAGACCCACCCCTCATAAGTTTTCGAATTCAATACTTGTGGTAGCTTATTAGAAAGGGTTGGTGGGAAAAGTGACCAAGGCCATTTAGAATGGAAAGGCAAAGTAAATTTGCTATAATTATGTGTAGAATAATTTGGTTTCTTAAGTGAAGTTCTTTTGGAAATTTAAAAGGAAAGAAAATTATTCAGTCATTCAGGCAAACTTTAATAATGTAGTATGCATAAACTATTTTCCAATCATTATCATCATAGCTAATTTTTTGCTAACAAACAATGTAAGCACTAACTACTAATTAATAAATCAACGAGTCAAATGTGGCATAAGTTCAAAGCTCAAACCATTATATAAGCTACAACTACCATCTTTCTTCATAATTTGTAATGAGGATGTCCCAACAAGAATTGATTAGGCTGACTTGGATGCATATAGATTTTGATAATCATGTAATACCATCCAAGATTATCTTATAATATCCAAATAAGTTTATTATATAATTATATATCACACCATACAATAAATATGTTATATCACAATATTTAAGAAAACAATGATGTTAAAATTACACTAAATTATATCACAATATTAAAGGGTACATGTTTTATAGATAATTGTACGATAATTTTATAAAAATGTTTAGGCCACGAATTTGTATGGTGTAAAGCGAGGAATAGTTTTTTAATATAAGAAAATTATTATTTTTGGAAAGACTTTTATATTTAACTCACTATTTTCAACATATTTAATAGAAAATAATATATTGATTGTAAAATTTTTTGAGAGTTGCTATTTGCATCCCAATTTCTTCTCAATGCACTTTAAAATTTTAATTTTTAATGAAATTATTTAAATATTCATTAGTCAAATATTTTTTTGTCTTTCACATCTCATTTCGGAAATCTATTTTTGAAAACTCTTAAAGGTTTCCAAAAATGAATGTTTAAAAGCTTTTAAAAACTTTAAAAAACTTTTAATTTTCAGAAGTTCTTAAAAATTTTCGGACATGCAATTTCGAAAACATTTAAAAACTTTTAGAAATTTATTTTTGAAAAATTCAAATCATACTCAAATATTTTAGCATAAAATCAAACAAAAAAGTAGAAAGAATAAATGATTTGCCTTTAATTTTATACGTTTTAACTTCAAATGGATGAATTTTTTTTTTAATTTGGTTTGATTAGGGCTTAAAATCTTTTAACTTTTCAGTTGAGAAAAGTGAGGAAATGGGATGTGAGGAGATGAGGTGTTTGAGTTTTTTATAAATTTGTATTTTGAATTTGAGAGGTGTTAAATAAAAAATTGAATGTTAATAATAATAGGGAATAAAAAGAGGAAATTGGGATGCAAATGGCACCAATCGATTCTTTTTCTATATAACTTCATGATTTTGTTTGTAGAACATGCTTTTGGAAAACATTTTATGTTTCTATTGCATGATATTTCAGTTGCTTGAATAAAGGGAAAAAAAAATCTTTTGCTTGTGATTTATGTGCTTGTAGACCAAGGAATTTACCAGCAAAACAATTTCATGGTATGATTTGTGTTTTGTTGTTTCTGGAGGATTTGTTGCATATAATTTCACTACTATTTCTTCCATAAAATTTAATGTTTATTGTTAAGTAACAATTAATTTTCAATGAAGTTATAAACTTAGTTTAATTTTCACTTAATCTTCACTTAAACTTAGTTTAAGACCAAAGCAAAGTCCACAAACATATCATCTCGAAAGCTCTGTCAAAACTGAAGTGTCATCATCTGTTTTGGCTAATAATTCTAAAACAGAAACAACCCCACTTCCACTCACTGCCATAAACCAAAAAAAAAATACAAATAAAATTTGTACAACTGTCTTCCCCACCTAACAACCATCGCTGTTTTTCTTTAATGACATCTGTGAGGTACATAGTGATTTTTCTCTAGCTTTGTTGGACAAGCCAAATTACTCTAATTTAGACATTTTCTTAAGTTTTAAAGATATATATTTTTCTCTGATGAAAAAGGTTGTGATATTTTTAAATTATCAATTCAAGTCTAATCCCGTATGAATTTAATTTAATTTTAATTATGTTGGTATTTATATTAGCTGATTTGTTGATGAGTTTTTTATTAGACATGTGTGTGAATTTTTTTAAATTTTTTTAAATGTTATATATTCATATAATTTTATTAAAAACCAATTTTTTTTATTTCTCTCATTTAAGTCCATATTAATTTGTCTCGACTCTTCTATGTCTTTGTGCCAAGTTCCGGTAAGCAGGAAATTTCTTGGGAAAATGTTTGTCCTGGTGAAGTAGTAAACCATTACTCGTGAAGAATGGATTGTTTGTTCTTCAGCCTTGTTTTACTCTCTTTTTTTATTATTTTTATCCTTTTTTTCCCTCAGGCAAGAGAATAAGCATGATCTATATATCAATGTTTCTGAAGCAGCATAGGTCAGATCCTCATCCAACTTTTTTTCATGACTTCACTTTAAGGACAAACTTGCTCTTTTAGTTTGCCCCCGATGTCTTACTCTTTACATGTAGGGATTGTACAATAAATGGTACTCATGTATGGCCATGGAGGATTTGAGTAATTTTCAAGAAATTCAAATTCTTATACATGAACTGGAAATTGCTGGACTGTTCCCTCGAGAAAGCTTCCATGGTTTATAGCATGAACATTTAATCACTCTCAAACTCTTCAATTAAAAAAAAAAAAATCTACTAGTAAGATTTTGATAGTATCGAGAACTTATTAGATTAAGATATGATATCCGATTTAAATTTTAATATTTAAATTTTTTTATTTTTTAAATTAGGATTTTTTAATATAAAAAATATTAAATATTTTCTCACTCTTTTGATGTGGTCAGAATGTTAATTACAGCCCTGATTGCAATTCTCTGATGAAGAACTTGTACCTCAAAGAAAAAGGTGTAGTGAAAAATTAGATTCCTAATTACCAACCTCAAATATTGGCTTTGTTCTCTTCTTTTTTCACTTTAATAATGATAACTATAATTCTCTTCTTTTTGCTAACTGCTAATATAGAAAGAAAGATACCAGGCAAACTTGCTTTTTTCTTCCTTTTTTTTTTCTTAAAAAAGTTGGGATATGATGCATTTATTAGTTGGTAGGAAGAACAATTATCAAAATGTTAGATGCTTGATTGCTTTATTTATTTTTCCCATTGAAAGGGGAATTGAGAGGATAACAAGTGGGGACCATAATAATTTTTGAGAAATTTCCTAATCATCCATTTAGGATTGTCATCTTTTTTTGCCCATAATTGTTTTCTATAGACATTGAGGGGCCATCACCCTGTATTTTCTCTTAGGCCAGCTATATTTTTTCTGTCTTTGTCTTTATCTATATGGTTAATCCACCAAAGAAAAAGGGGAAATTAAAAATTACAGAAATGAATTATTGTTGTTAGTTTAAAAATTATATTATGATTAGTTTTCCATTAGATTAATCCACCAAACCAACAATAATAGGTCATGTCAATAATTATATGATTATTGAGATAAAATTGGTATTAAGGTTGGTAGATCAAAAGTCAATCAAACATAGCAATTATAGTCTATTTTTGGGCCATATTGCTCTTCAATATAATTATCACAAATGTCTTTGAACAAGGTTAGCTATACTCTTCATTTTAGCTGAAAAATACAAATCAAGGGTCAATCAAACTCTATAATTTTCTTCTTTTTTAATTACTACTTTTTTACAAAAAAAAAAAAAATAATTGGGTCTCAGCTTACCCAAAAAACAAATTTATCATACATATATATGATTTTTAATTTAAAATCAATTGACATTTTTCACTATAAAGCCTATGCATATGAATTGAGTTTTTTTTTTTTTAAATAACAAGGTTGGGCCAATGAGAGTTCGGTTGATTCTATTTGAATTCAAATCTTATTAATAATTAAAAAATAATTGATATAGTGTTTGACTCTTAATTATAATAATTTGAAATTAAAATTTGATAATTTCAAATAAAAAATTGAATATCATGAGTAATTTTATTAGAATATGAGAATGTACCAAAAAATATTAAATTATGATCAACTAAATCTTATTTAATTACTTAAAAATTCATAAGATGAAATTATATAGTTAACATTACTTTTCTTCTTCTTTTTTAATTTGTTTTAACAATAGGAGTATTAATAACCTCGTGATATATCAATCCCGCAGAATTAAAAGTAAAAAAAAAAAAAAAAAACATTGAGATAGAGATTTTTGGGCTAAAACCATCTTTTGGAATCTAATATAGAAAATCAAATTTTAGGATCTCATCTTTCGCTTGTACGAATTAAGGATTCAAAATTTCAATCTTCTTTTAATTTAGGCATTTGTATTTTATTTTAATGATTATTAAAAGCTTTATTTTTTTAATAAATATGTTTCATTTCATGTTTGGATCAAAGTCAAAGAAAATTTGAATAATTTTGAATTTGATCAGTTCAAAATTTGGTAAAAAAAAAAAGGAAGTCATTTTGAAATTGAATTATTGAATTTTTTTTTCAAATTAGATCGATTAAATTCGGGATCAAATGATTCGATATAGATATTTTCAAATAAGATCTTGTCACATTAAATAAAATAATCAATAAAATAGTGAAGCAAAAGAAAAAAAAAAAAAAAAAAAAAAAGGTGCTATAATGGAGGAACTGGAAGAGGGATAAAAATGGTTGATGAAATGTCACGTTCGAGAAGTGAGACAGCCGGCTTTTAACACAAAGGGGCCAAATGATAAAAGCATACGTTTGAGCACCCTATGCTTCTTAATTTCCTCTTTTAATAAATTAATATATATATATTATTTGATGTTTTATATTATCTAATTTATTAATAATATATATATCTAATTAAATAAAGTTTTTAATTATCTTTCGTCTTTTGATGTAATAGCTAAAAAATTTTTATGAAAATATAAAGGTTTTAATTTTAAATTAAGATCTTTTTTTTTTTGTAATTGTTATACCGTCGCTTGAATAAAAAAATATAATTTATATTTAAAACACAAAAATTAAACACTTTAATGCTATAATTTACTTAAATAATATTTTTATTTTTAGCTAAATATAGAATTTGACTTAAATTTTAAGATTTTAAATTTGAATTGTCCTCATGTGAGTTCTATAATTTTTTTCTTTTTTAAAAAATTATTTATTTTTTCAAAATCAAAACAAAATCATATAGAATCTACGAGAAGAATGAAAGAGAAAAACGAGCATGGAATGTGAAATAAATAAAAGGGATGGGATATCATTATATATAATATCTTTTATATCTGCAAATAATTTTTTTAAATTACCAAATTATGTTAAAATTAATGGGCAAAATGCTTTTTTAAAAAAATTAAATCTTAAATTTTGTTATCATAAAAAAATTGACTTGTAATTAAAGAAAAATATCGAAATATTTAATTCAATAATTTACACATAATTTATTATTTAAATAATTGGGTTGAATCATTTTTTTTTCATATAGAAAAACCCTAAAATAAGGGTTTTAAAGTTGAAATTATTTTTCATCAACTTTCTAAAGTTTTTCGCCATCAGCCACTGTGTTTTTGTTGGATATTCTATAGTGTTTGTCAACTTACTGTCACATTCATTATTATATATGGTTGTTGAGAAAATGCCTTTTAAAAATATCATAATCTTTTTCTTGTGTTTGGTGAATTAATTTGTTGGTTGATATTAAATATAATTTATTATTGTTGAAAATGCTAAAATATTAGATATTTTGATTGTTTTATCATTCATATAAAATAGATATTTATAAAATTATTATTTATTAAATTATACCATTTATAAATAAGAATGACAATCAATCAAATCAAAATAGATTTTTACTTACCTCAAATACAATTTGATTTTATACTCGTAATACTTGAATCAAATCCTACTAAATTTTTAAAAAAATATTTTCAATACTCGAATTCAATCTTGTCGAATATTATATAAAATTATATTTGATTTGATTCAACCTAAAATTAATAAAATATTATTTTTAATATAAATATAAAATTAAATAATTAATTAAAAAATTTATTGTTAGTAGATCCAATCTTATCCAAAACATAATTAAAAAAAAAATCTTAAAAAATCGAGTTGGATCAAAATCTCTCAAATACCGGTGGGGCTACCACCCTTATTGTAAAAAGTATTCATATAATAAAAAATCTTGCAAAATAGCATAAAATGGAGAGAAAAAAAGGATATAAGGAAAAATTATTTTTTTATTATACTTGTATAAAACTATGAATAAAATTATTAATTTAAATTGAAAAAGGTTTTTGTTTTTTAAATTGAAAGATTGAATTTGAAAAAAAAAGAGAGAAAAATACACAAATTCACTAATATTTTCTCTTTTATTACTTTTTAAAATTATAAAAAATAAATTTTTTATTCTCTTTTTAATAATAATAATAATAATAAACCTAACCCACTATAATCAAGTACCAACCAAAGTACATAATCATAACAACAAACAAATTCTTCCCAATTGGCAATGCACATTTAAACTTATGTTTTGGACAGCTTTTCATCAAGTAAAAAAAGTTACTTTAATAAGATTCCAATTTCATGCCACCATTAAAATCTCCTACAATTTATTTTTTCTTACCTGAAAAAACAAAACCTACTTCTTCTACCAACCAAGCTAAAAGCAGGCTATCAACACAAGCATGTAAGTATTGTACCCTAAATTAAAGTACAAAAGCTAAATATTCCAAGTACCATGTAAAAAAAAATTAATGGGTTAATTAAATTGGTAAAAATTGAATATTTTATTTATAAAATTTAAATTTAAGTAAATAATTATTTTAGTAGGTAATTTGTAAATTTAATATAAATTTTTATAAGATTTACTATTTGTTTTAATTGTGAAATGAATTTTAAATTTTTAGGAAAAGAATTATATAAGAATATTATATAGTAATAAAGTTTTTATTATTTTTATTATTTAAATATTATTTGATAGAAAAATTAATTTATTATACTTGTTATTAGATAATTTAATTACAAAAGTTATTTTTTAAATAAAATATAAAATATTACTCTCTCTATCTTAAAATATTTATTATGCATTGATTTTTATGATTTTAATATATTTAATATTAAAATTAAATTTTTTATAAAATTAAAATTTTATAATTAATAAGAAAATTTTAAAATATAAAAAATTTTAATTTTAAGAAATATATATAATTTTAAGACATAAAAAATAGATAAAAAAACAAAACAGATGAAATAATTAAAATAAATTAAAATATTTTTATTTCAAGAAATTAATATATGGTATAGTATTTGCATGTTAAACCTCAACATCATAACAGCTAGTGAAAGTCGGTAGTCACTCAAAAAGAGGTATATGAGAAACTCCCTAATGACCCACGCGGCATCTTGCCTTTAAGATCAAATCCACTTATTATTGGGAAGTGAAACACACGCCTTATATCAGAGATTCCGGAAGTATTGATCATTCGTCGGTTCCTTGCTTCTCTAATTTCCAAACAAAATAATAAATAATTAAATTGTTTAATGTTTGTAAGATAAAGAAGATTGGATTTTTGTTTTGTTTTTTTTTTCTTTTTTCTTTCAACTCAATGAGTTTACTCTGTTTCAGTACCAAACCCAAGAAAAAAACTCACCTTATTTCTACTTTTTCTTCTTTGATTATCTCTTTTATGCTGCATTGGGAGCATGTGAGCCAAACCCTACAGATTTTAAGCAAAACCCATTTATTATCTCAATTTTTGGTGCCTTTTAAAGCTTAATTCCTTTTCTTTATTGTAATCATTATTGTCTCTGTCATCTGTTTCCTTCTCTAAAAATTTTGAAAAAAAAAAGAAAGAAAATCCAAAAGAGAAAGACTTCACCTTTTATCTATCTTCTGTTTAGTGTTTGCAGATCTTTTTGGTGGGTGTTTGTATTGTTCTGCATTTTTAAGAGAAAAAGTTTTGGGAAAAAAAAATTGAAACAGAGTTTGTTGGGTGTTTTGATTTGAAGTTTTTCAGATCTGAAGGAAGGCTGAGGCTGTTTGTTTCAAAGGAATGTCTCTTTTGACTTTTGATATCTACTCATTTCCTTCTCACTTTCCTTCTTTTTGTTTCTTTTGAGTTCATTTTTTTCTTTGAGAGATTGTCTCTTGAACTTTGCTTCTGGGAAGTAACTAAAGAGTCTTTCTTTTTTTTTCTTGGGGTTCACTTTAAATTTTGGTGTTGAATAATTGGAGAGAGATATCTGTGGAAATGTTGGCCATTGGGAGTCCTTTAACCACCAGTTGCCGTACAAGCACAAGCTGCAATGCATTGCTCAGAGAACTTCAGGTCCTATTTGCCTTTCTCCTATCTTTTTTCTCTTCTTTTGGTGTTTTTGAGTTTCTTGTTCCTGCAAAAGCCAAAGACTGGTCTTTGGGGGAAGAAAGCAGGGACATGGGTTTTTCTTGTTTCTTATTTCTTGTTTGGAAACTGCCTTTTTTCTTTTGTACAATGATGGGTGTTTAAAAGTTCTTTCTTTGTTAAAAGATAAAAGCATTTATTATTTTCTATTTATTCAACTCATATATCATAATGGCTCTAGTAAGAGCTAGAATTCGAAGTCTCTTTGGTTCCTTTTGACTGTCTGAAGAGAAAAATAATATTTATTCTTCTGCTTCAAGGCCAAGGGTGTTCCTGTGCCACTGATCTGTTTATTGAAGTTTCTTTTTTTTTATTGTTTTCAGTTTGTGTAGGCTGGTCCTATTTTTGTGTAGCAAGGGCATTTTTAATGATTTTTGAAATGGTTTCTTTCAAGGGGTTGCCTGAAGTTCTTAATTTAATTAGAACTTCATATTTCTATCATCTCTAGTTTTGATTTTTTTCTTTTCATTCTCTTTATTTCTAAAACTTTAGCTTATTACTGTCTCTTGGACATTTTTCTCTGTTTTTAATGTCTGTATTTCAGTGTTCATGCGGGTGGTTATAAATTTTTGGGTAGAATAACATGATGGAATTCGTAGATTAATTATCTTTTCCTGTAAATATACATACATACATACGTACATATACACACGCACAAATTTGCCATTTCAGTTGACAGGTTTGTTACCTCAATGTCCTTTCTGATTTTTTTGCCCATTTTGTGATTTTTATTGGAAAGAAGCTGTGCTGCGGATGATGGATTAGTTTCTACATTCATTTTCTCTGTTTACATTCTTTTAAATTAAGTTTCTTCTTAGCTAATTCATGTACGAGCTGTCAAGCTTCTGAGTCTCAAACCTGAAAAAGAATTCAATGCACATATCAACTCATTAATTTTTTTTTTCTTTTTGTACTGAGAGCAGCAAATATGGAGTGACATTGGTGAGAGCGAAGCTGATAAAGACCGTATGCTATTGGAATTGGAGAGGGAATGCTTAGAAGTCTACCGCCGGAAAGTTGAGGAAGCTGCCAATGCCAAGGCACGTCTACATCAATCTGTTGCAGCCAAGGAAGCTGAGGTTGCTACACTTATGGCTGCTCTTGGGGAGCTCAATATTCATTCACCGGTAAAAGAAATTCCCTGGCATTGGATCATTGAAGATGCAACATGTTGTTTCATACATTTTCCTAGACAGTATCACTTGCTAATTTCGTTTTTACATTTTTAGTCACAGATTCAGACAGAGAAGAAGGTGGCATCATTGAAAGAAAAACTTGCAACTGTCACTCCACTGCTTGAGGATCTGAGGATGAAGAAAGAAGAAAGAATAAAGCAATTTGCAGATATAAAGTCTCAAATTGAAAAGATCAGTGGAGAAATTTCTGGCTACAGCTATCCCAATGATACCATGATTAGCTGTTTAACTCTGGAAGACCAAGACATGTCCCTAAGAAAGCTTACTGAATTTCAGACACATCTTCAAACTCTTCAGAAGGAGAAGGTATGGATTTTAATGTATGAAGTATCATCTAGTTCCTGAATGCTTGTACTCTTGATATTGATGATTGGTTTTTCTGCAGTTATTTGTTAGATAATCTGCTTGCATTATTGCAAAATGTTTTTAGTATTTTTAGAAAGCTATGATAATTTATGTATACCTACAAATTTTAATATGCGAGATGAAGGCCATTAATACATGGCTAAAAATGGATGCAAGTTTTCATATCCTTTTCTGGAATATTACTGGATATTTAATTCTTTGAATGGATAAAATTTCTATAACTCACTCAAGGTTTTTATGATATTAGCATTCTCTTTTGCATTGCAGTCTGATCGCCTTCATAAGGTTTTGGAATACGTAAATGAGGTGCATTTGCTTTGTGGGGTGCTAGGATTGGATTTTGCCCAGAGTGTAAGCGATGTGCATCCCAGCTTGCAAAGGACAAACCAAGAACAATCAACAAATATTAGCAATGGCACATTTGAAGGTCTAGAGCAGACCATTAACAAGCTGAAAACTGAAAGAAGAATTCGAATCCAGAAGGTATTCAATAGCTTTCCCTAGTTTTCAATTGATTTTTCTTGGGAAATTTGGAGTAAAACCCTGTTTTTAAAAATGCAGCTGAGGGATATTGTAGCTGCATTATTTGAACTCTGGAACTTGATGGATTCACCCCAAACAGAGAAGAATGTTTTCTCAAGGGCCACTTCTGTTCTTAGATTGTCAGAAGCTGAAGTTGCTGAACCAGGTGTTCTTTCAACTGAGATGATCGAACAGGTTTGACCGTGTTACAAATCTGATTTTTTTGTTAGTTACTGAAAAGTAGGGGCTCAAAATTTTTTGGCCTTCTGACAGGCAGCAGCAGAAGTGGAGAGGCTCACCAAACTGAAAGCTAGCAGAATGAAAGAACTTGTCATGAAAAGGAGATCAGAATTGGAAGATATTTGCAGAATGACTCATATTGAACCTGATGCAAGTACAGCTGTTGATAAATCTAACGCATTGATTGATTCTGGTATGGTCTTTTGTTTCCTTGCCACAATATTCTGCCATCAAACAAATTTTCTTTCAATCTACTTTGCTGTTGACGTAGCTAATGATGCATGTTGCTATTGTTGTTCAGGTCTGGTAGACCCTTCTGAACTTTTAGCAAACATTGAAGCACAGATAAGTAAAGCTAAAGATGAAGCTCTGAGCCGAAAAGAAATAATGGATAGAATAGACCGATGGCTTTCAGCATGTGAAGAAGAAAATTGGCTTGAAGACTACAATCAAGTAAGCTGAAATAAGTAGAGAGGAGGGCTTAGTGGGCCCATCTTTGTATGGGGTGTCTGTTTGTATCTCATGTGCACTTTATCTTGACTTTCTCTTTGATGTTGCTTGTAGACTAATCCAGAAGTCAAACTAATACAAGCCATTAACCAACATTTCTGATTCACCTTGTCTCTTTTAATTGTGTGATCATCACTTGTTAAATCTTCTTTTTGAGTTTCAGGATGAGAACCGGTACAATGCTGGGAGAGGCGCACACATTAACCTCAAACGTGCAGAAAAAGCTCGAGTAACTGTAACCAAAATTCCAGGTATTTCCTCTCCTTAATGATCCTCTTTGTGATGGTTGTGATGGGTCTGTCGAAGCTGATGAGGTGCCCCTTTTGCAGCAATTGTGGATAATCTGATCAACAGAACACTAGCTTGGGAAGAAGAAAAAAAGATGTTGTTTCTGTATGATAGGGTCAGTAGTTCTTTTGCAGCTTTAGATTCTGTGAACTTGGTTGTAATACAAATGCTGATGCAGGCATAGACACTGACATACTTAGACAATCATATTCATTCGGAATTGTTTCTGAATAAGCTTGTTTGCAAACATGATATATAGGTGCGACTAGTGTCAATACTGGAGGATTACAAAGTGACAAGAAAACAGAGAGAAGAGGAAAAGAAGAGATGCAGGGTAATTTAATATGCTTTTGCTTGTGTGAATATTAGTGATGGGTTTCTGAACCTTCCCATTGGTCACTTGCCCTTTTCCTTTTTTTTTTTTTTCTCTTCTCCTGTTGAACTTATTTTAATGTAATTTGTTATTGATGAAACCTAACATTAAAAATCTCTCTTCCATTTGACAGGACCAAAAGAAGATTCAAGATCTGCTTCTGACGGAGAGAGAAGCCATTTATGGGTCAAAACCTAGTCCAAGGAAAAGTAACAGCTTCAGAAAGCCAAATGGATATCGGGCAAATGGTAATGGATCCATGACTCCCACACCTCGTCGGAACTCAGTGGGTGGAGGAACTCCCGAGCTACTTACACCACGATCTTATTCAGGGCGTCAAAATGGCTACTTCAAGGAAATGAGAAGGTTGTCTACAGCACCTCTGAACTTTGTCGCCATATCAAAGGAAGATACAATTTCTACATACACGTCCATATGTGGTTCTGAGCTGGGCTCTCCTCCACATGGTTAAATTTAGAAGCCAGAAATGGTATGTTTGGCCTACCATATATCTCTTCTGTTTATGCTGTTCTCTTCCCAGTTCCTCCCTTGCTGTGGATCTGGTGATAGAAATTAGAAAGTTTGGATGGGAAAGGGGTTGGATATGTGCTATTCACTCTCTTAGACATGCTAGTGCATGCATACGAACATCTGCTGAAAGATTTTTTGTTCTCTCACCTGCATAAATGTGGACTATACTTGGACCTTGAGAAAAATGGTGTGATGTACTTGCATTATTAAGATTCTAGTTTCTGGTCTGAACCAAAATCTTCATGAACCTGAAGTTACTTTTCACTTTGATCGCAAGTTTGTTTTTTTGGCACAATTGAATAAATTCAAAGTTGATTACGTTGTTTACTTTTGCAGGAAGAGGCTACCATTTATAGTTCCAACAACTGTACACTCAAGTAAAGCAGCGGAACCTTGTGAATATGAAATGGATTGTACACCAGTGTATGATCGTGAATTGGTAGGACTTCCGCAGGCGACTGACATTATGGATGTTATTTGCATCGAGGACAAAACTTATAGATAGTAGTTTGAAAGTTGTCATTAACTTTTTTTGTCCATTGAGATAGGGAAGAAAACTGATATGGAGAGTGTTATAGTCATACTAATGACCTCCTATTTTTTGGTTTGTTTCGTGGATTTTGCTTGCGTTTTCCATGTCTTATGTATATATCTATTCCACTATGACCATTATGATATTAGTAGTGCAGGAAGCTTTGGTATCTTTGGAAATGCATATGGTAGTAGGATCTCTGTGATGCTTATGTTTGGTTTTGCCATCTCTGAAACTTATAGCTCTCATAGATTGCTGTTCTCCAGCTGCTTTTTGAAGTGGTGCAAAATGGCAAGAGCCGATTAGTCAATTTGTATCAAATACATTTGGATTGCAATTGCAATTAAAGTTGGTAAGGTTGTTTCTTATCGAGAAATGACTCGGATTTGTGTAATTGCATGTTAAATCTCTTTCCATTCCCACCTGTAATTGCATATTTTTTTGGTTGAAAAAATTTTAAGGGATGAGGTTATTCTATTTCAAAGTTAGGGCATGTCGTAAGCTTCAGCAAGACTTATATCAAACTAAAAAAAATATTAATATCGGAGATCGAATTTAAAATTTACAACTATTCAACATATTACTCATACGAAAAAAGACTGCTGATAATGAGTTAAGGGACCTAAAGTTTATAAGTAATCAATCCATAAGCTTACAAGAAATAAGAGGGATCTTTATAAGAAATACTCGATTTTTATCCATTTAATTTAAATGTCATACATTAAACAGAAGGAAACAATAGTGTATGTTCAAATCTTGAAGTCATATAATTTAAAATTTGAGTTTCAGCTTACGAAAAATGATATCAAAATTAACTCTAAGTATTAATCACGATAAATAAATTAATATAAAATATTAAATAAATATATATTCAAATCTTAAAATCGCTCGAGGTTAAAAATTAAGTCTTCTCGTGACACTAACACGCTACTAATCTTTCTCAAATTTTTTGGCAATTAATTCCATTTTCCTTATCGGAAAATTTCTTTTACATTTATTTATTTATTTATTAAGGATTCAAGAATCGCAGAAAATTACACTGAAAAAAAAAAGAAATAAAATTATCATAGTTGCCCTGTTATACTGGCTTTTAATTTGGTTTATATTGCTATTGTTAGATAGATATTAATAAAAGGTAGGAAAGAAAAAGAACGGAAAGAAAAAGAAAAAATTTTTAAAGAAAAGGAAAGGATACGTGGAAGATTCATTCTTACTGTTTCTTGTTTCTCCTGCGTCCAACACTGCCTTCTCCTTACAATTTCCCTAAAACCCAAGAAAAAGGGGAAATTTTCAAAGAAAAAGAAAGAATGAAAATGTCGGATGAGAAAACACGGATCTTTTTAGCGGTGCTTTTGGCTTTGGTGAGTTTGGATCTGTGTTTTGGGAGTGGATTCGGTATGTCGCCCGCACACGGGGACCATGGCCATCATCACCATTGTGATCATGGACATGGACATGGACATGACCACCATCACCATGATCATGACTATCATCAGAAGCACCGCCATGTGGAGGAGCAGAAGAAGAAGAAGAATATGATGTTGCCGGAGGAGATGGCTGAGGAGGAAGACATGAAATTGTACGGGTTTGGGCCCTACCGAGATGATCATGATCACGATCACGATCACGATCATCAAGACCTCTCCGGTTTAGGTAATTTTAAATGAATTTTACTGTTACATTTTCTTTTAATTTTTTCCCGTTTGTTTCTCGTGAGATTGAATCTTCAATGATAAAAGAAATCAATTTTATGATTTTTATTTAAATTTTCATCTCAAATATTAGTTGATCATTTCTTCTTGAAATCATTTTGGATTTTAATTCAATAGTAAATTAGTTAAGTGGATTTGCCAGTATTCTGAGAGTCTTTTCAAGTTAGAGTTTTGAGTAGAAAAGGTGAAGCTTTATGGATTTCGACTTTAAAGGAAAAACTTTTGTGTTGATTAGTTCATTTTGTTGACTTGAATCGGCTTGATTATGCACTTGATATTTGAGCTGATTTATTCAATGTAATTGAATAGCTCTTGTTGTCTTCTTATGAGAAGATGAAACTGAGAGTAAAGGGGGACATTTTTTGTTTATAGTTCTCAGTTTAGAGTTATCAACTGATGACTACTGCACCCTAGAAATCATTCCATGGACATAACAAGGCCCCTTGGCTATTGGTTATTTTGCCGGGTCATTCTAGTATACAGTTCACCACATGTCTACCTTAGTTTTGAAGCATTAAGGTATCCAGTAATCTAGAGATGATATTTTGGTATTAGGACACTTTATGTAAGTATTATAAGCAGTGGATGTTTAATTTATTTGATTGCATAAAAAGTTTGGTCTATTTATTGGTCTATGTATGATTGAGTGTGAAGCACAAGGATGGCTGTTGTATGGCTTTAAATAAGTTGAGAGTAGTGGGATTAGGATATTAGTTTTAATCAAATTGTAAGAATGATTTTTACTTGAGGTGGGCAGAGTTGCCCCTTTTAATGAAGATCTGGTCTGTAGTTGGTTGTAGGTTTGCAAATTGCATTGGATGTTGTATCAATTAGTTGCTATGGAATTGTTTTTGGGCATCCACTGCATGACAGCTGGTTGGATGGGTGGCCTGTTTGCTTGAAGGGCCAGAACCATTTGGCATTTTGGGTTTTAACAGTTAACATTTAGCCATATGTCCATGAGGCAAAGTGTGTGCACTGTTGTTCGTCTCAGCAAGTAGGGCCACAGATTGTGACAATCTAATGCTACAATATAGCGGTACATATATTTGCATCAATGTGAGCTTAAGTAGGTTCAGTAACTGACACTTGTTCCATGCTCTTATGCTTTTATTAGGTGCAATGGCCAACAATTAATTGTTGAAGAATTTGCATAAATATCTATTACTGATTCCAGAATCCTAATTTTTGTACTAGACTGGTAGACTTAGTTGAATACTGCTTCAAAAATGGTCTCTAGAAAATCTTTGGTTACCAACCATTGAGTTTAATGCTGATATTGATACGATGCTCTTCTTTTTTTTTTTTTTTCCTTCTATTCCATATCTGCTTGCCATGTTCGAATTTCTCCATTCTGCCGGATGTGCTTTTAAATCCCTCTATTCTGTTCTGATTAATCTTTGCATTTTTGTTGTTGAACATCCAAATTGTGTCTAGTCCATATAACTGATGTGATTCTGATAGGAGGTTTGAGCCTTATTGGGACTTCTGTGTTTTTGACAGGCCTTTGGTTACATGCATTGGGATGCTCACTTTTAGTAAGCTTGGCTTCCCTTATTTGCCTGATTATTTTACCCGTGATATTTAGTAAGTTAATTCTTGAAGCATAATTATTTATATTATTTGGTCTTTGCTTCAGCTTTCTTTTCTGCTTTATTAATTATTGCCTTTTGTGTTAAGATGCTAATCCTGATGAATGAAGATTAAAATTTATTATGCTATTGCAGTACAAGGAAAACCATCCAAGGCAGTTGTTGATTCATTGGCTTTATTTGGGGTTAGATTCTTCAAACCTTTTATTTGACATGTGAATCTTAATTTTAAATATTGTCCAGATAACATCTGTTGAGTGCTTGAATAATATGCTCCGTATTTTAGTCTTTGTTGCTACTTTTGATTATTTCCTTTATGTTTTTACTGCTGTTTGTGTCAAGAATGTATCATGAATCTTCATTCCTTCTTGAATTATAATTTTTAACTTGTGGGTATCTGTTTGGTGCTTGTATGATTTGTATCCTGCAGTTTCATGATAAGTCATTCTTTTCTAAATTCTGGCTTTAGTTCCTTCCACTTTCTACCAATTTAAGATTGGAATAAGTTTCATTCTATGACTTTTTGAGGCCCTTACCTCTTGCTTACTGTTAGTAACTATACTTTTATTTGTAGCATAGGTTGTATCTTTTTTACAAGCTAGATCATGAAATATGGTTTTCTTTTTTGTGAATATTTAACCCTAATCCACCAGATTTTAGTATTTTGAATAATTTTCCTTGTCCAATTTCTTGCTTTTAATTTTGCTATAGTTTTGGATTGAACAATTTTCAAAGCTCATTATTCAAAGGACTCCTCTCTCTCTCTCTCAAATGTTATTCTACATTTCATTTTACCTTGATATTATAGGCAGGAGCTATGTTGGGAGACGCTTTTCTTCACCAGTTGCCACATGCTTTTGGTAAGATTTTTATCATGTATCGATTTATGATAGTTCAATTTTGTTTTATGTCATGATTTTTTTGGTATACTTAGGGGGCCTTGATTCGTGAGTTGTAATTCTAGGTCTGGGATCAGTATAATCCATAGACTTCAATTGCCTTGACAACCAATGAGAGGTTTACTTTAAATCTACATTTCTACATGGTAGAGTATGGCCTGACAAGGGAGGTGAAAGAATTAATTGCATCTGCAAGGCATGAACTGGTTTTTATGGGTTCAATTGCAGGCCTGCTATTTAACATCCAGGCCTCTGCTTGGGCCTCAAGGAAGCAATATGTGTCCCATGTGATTTAAAGGTTATACCAATGTTTTAATTGTTCCATATAAAGGGATTTTTGGCATTCTTGATTTGAAAAAGGGGGAAAAAAAAGAAAACAAATGAAAATAATCAAAGATGGAAGGCTCCACAATATGAGTTCACCTGAAACAAGTTCTAAATGAACCATGACTTTAGCATGTTCCAACAAATGCAAGTTACTTTAATACCCCCAAATTAACAAAAGCCCAACACAGCTATTAAAACTGGAGCACTAACTCCTAAGTAGCCGAAGTAGAAACTTGTTTGGGACCGAAGTGTCTTCTTTATTGATGTAACATCAAAGCTTTAGTCTGAGGCTTCCAGGGAAATTATTGTATCTAGCCATGTTAGTGATGCAACCACACTCATCTTGTCATGAGCATCATGATGTGCTCCTAGAAAATATGTGAAATTCTGGAGAAACAGGTAATCAAAGCATCATTTTTGGGCTGTCTTTTGTTTTTATATCTGCTTGTTGATTTTATTAAAAAAAAAGGTCAAATCTTAAATTCTGAATGCCAAACAAGTTGACATAATTTGCGTTAGAGCACTCTGTACAATGATTTTCTGGTTGAATTATTCTATTAGTTAAGTCACTAACTAATGAACTGTCTTGCAGGTGGTGAACACTCCCATTCACATGATGACCATGTGGATCACGCTCATCATGCTCGTACTGGGCATGATCATAAGCATGCACACTCTTTGAAGGATCTTTCTGTGGGCTTGTACATTCTTGGTAAGTAGTAGAATATTAGACGTGCTTTATACACGGTTATTAGCTACAGACGTATTTATGCATAAATATGCATGGAAACATATTTGTAGGCTGGTCTTATTTTTTCCTTTATAGCTGCAGTGATGTAAGAAATTTTCATATCAATATTGGAAACTTAAATGCATATTATAAGATAGATGAAATAACATGTTCCTTGTTGTCTCAACCAGTTAGACTTGTATAATTGCTGAAGGAAAATCCTTTTAAAGTTTGTTGCGAAATGGTAAAAGGAAATTATGACCGGTAGAAACTGCCAGTTTTAGTAGGAGAGTGACTTTAGTAAATGTGAGAGTGTGAGGCCTTAAATATTTAGGGTCTGTTCGATATGTGTATTATCTTTGCTTGTGAACCTTATGCAAATCTTGTCCACGCACTGTATGAAATAGATTTTGCTGCTTGTTGTTTTCAGCAATTAATGTAAGAATCAATTGAGGAAAGCAATGCCAGAGATGCTGCTCCTTGATGTTATAAGAGTTATGAAGCAATACTCATCAGGTCTACCTGGTTGATGTATAAATAGTGGGGCCAGAAATGGTCAAATTGATTCTATCACCAAGCACTATTTTAGGTTAGATGACTTATCATATTTCATGAAATCTCTCTCCAAATAGGCTGGATTTGCTAGAGATGCCCTGAATTACTTAGTTCAGGTTCTAGTTTGCTGTCCGTTGATTCTTAACTATATAATATTTTATTATAAGACAATGAATGGGTGGAATACTAACATAAATTGTTTGCTTAGATAATTTTTTTCTTTTCTATTTTTTGGGACAATTTGGCAATAACCTGAATCACCTGCTTTCTTGTGAAAATTGTGGATCTTTAGGGCAGTTGAGTGGGCATTGAGCCTTGATAAATGAAGCTTGTTTCTTAATGTTACTTTTCTCGTAATTATTTTTTTCATAAATTATTTACTGTATGGGGTGACATCACTCCCTTGCCTGCTGAGGCTGCCTATGGTATGGAACTTGTGCACATATATTTTCTAAAAAAATTTCTTTCTAACTCGTTTGTTTGGATGAAGGTAGAGATTGTGGTTACGAGTATGCGTTTTTGTCCATTAGTAATTTAAGCAGCTAATCAGATAAAGTTTACAGAGCAATGAAATACTAAATTGAGTGTAATTTCAAATGAGAAAACTTTAAATTCAGTGTAATTTCAAATGAAAAAACTTTCTTGTTAGCTACAGTGATCTAAAATGTTTGTGTGGCATAGATTGAGATGTGGGTATGAAATTAGTCTTAATCGTTAATCATACTCTATTATGAAAAACAAAGAAAAAGATGAGAAACATTATCTGTCATATGCTTCTCCGGAAGTTGAATAACCTTCATTGATGCAAACCAAACACACACACTGACATTGTTCCATACATGCTTTGATTTTGTTTTCTGTAGATCAAAAAAAAAATTGGGGAAGAGGGCTGCCTGTGTTTGAACCTAGGATTTTGTACATACAATGAATTTTTGGTTATTATCAAGCCTAAATGAGGTCAAGACTTTGTTTTGAGAATTTTGATTGCTTGATATAAAGTGTTAATAGGCATATTCGAAGAACATTTATGCTGCTTGGTTGCAATTAAGGAATAGATGGGAGTCTATTGCATGAGATTGTAGATTTTTCCAAGTGAAATACTAAAAAATAAATAAATAAAAGTGAAAAACTTAAGGATTTTGTAACATGCAATCGATGGATTTTACTAGTCATTACAATGGAGGTTCTTCTTGAAGTCAAATAATCCATTTATTTTATATGGGGAAGGAGGGTCCAAATCCAACTTTTTGAGCAAGGGGATACATGCACCTACCATTGAGTCAAATGCTTGGGTGTGTCAAATAATCCATTTAATGCAAGGCTAATGAGAAAGTTTTGTCTTATAGCTGGAATTTTTGGAGAGAATACATTTGGCTTTTCCTTGAACTAGAGTTGATGTTAAAAACCTGTTATTTGAAATCTTATAAGTTTTTGTGTTGCATAATTTCCAATGGAATCTGCAACTCCATAAAAAATAAAAGGAATAGCCATTTATCTTCTATAGAAGAGGTGATGTTATAATACTTTATGGATGTGCTCTTCTCTTTCTGTTGTTTTACTTTACCTTAGTTTGGATGGTATTGTCATGGTGGTTTTTCTGTATGTCACAGCTGGGATAGTCCTGTTTCTTCTTGTGGAAAAGGTGGTCAGGTATGTTGAAGAAAACTCTGGAGGGGCTAGTGGATGGAGCCATGGTCATCACCACCATCATCTGAAGAGCAATAAAAAATTGAAAAATGATGATTATGATGATGTTCATGACAACAGTTCACAATCCCTTGGTGACATATCAGATGACTCCTTGAATGGAGGTAATGCAACTCAGCATGAAATGCGAAAGGTAGGGTAAGATATCTACAGCATTACAGGCAGGGTTCAAACTTTTACATGAGGAGAGGTCTTTCCTACTATAGATACATACAAATGAGACTGGCTATATATATATATTTGCTGGCTATGGCATTATTACAATTTCTAGACTTAGAACTTGGTAGCACTGCATGGAGGGTAGACATGTTTTTGTGATAAGTGTGGCTACCAGTTATGAAATACATTTCAATTTACAGATAAAATATCTGACCCACATCTGTGTATTGAATAGAACATTTGTTACTTTTATAGTAAAAGGAATTGCCCATTTGGAAATTAAATTCCCTCAATTTAGTTTATGAAAGGGAAGCTTTTTTGTTTGTTCTCAACTTTTGGGTCTAGTGGTTAAGGATCTCTTAGGAGGACATAGAGGTCTTGGGTTCAATGCAACACTTCCTCCCCTTCCCCCACGGCTATGCCCATCTGTGTACCAAGAAAAGGGACGCTTTTTATTTTTTGAAGGATGAAGGGGAAGCTTTTGACTTGAAGAAAATGATGAAACTGAGATGTAGAACACTTGAAGAGTCTAATGCAACATATTTAATGTGGTTTTAACTGAATTTTTTAAATGAATATTAAACTCCATCTCACATTTTTGCGTTCCTGCAGAGAAAGAGTTCTGCTGGTACCAGTGATGACAAATCAGATATAGTTACTGCAGATGGCTTTGCAAATAGTGTTAAAACCTTGATACAAAAGGAGACTTCTCATTCACCATCAAACCTGGTTTTTGGCTATCTTAATCTTTTCTCTGATGGTGTTGTAAGTATGTTTTCTGTGTGTGTATTCTTGAAGTTTAATGTTCTTGTACTTGAACAACAGTGCTTTTCGGCTTGATTTACTTAAATATACTAGATTGCAAGGAAATATTTTATTTAATTAGACATTATATACAATTGTTGCAGCACAATTTTACTGATGGGATGGCTTTAGGAAGTGCTTTTTTGCTTTATGGATCTGTTGGTGGGTGGTCCAGAACTCTATTTTTGCTTGCACATGAGCTTCCCCAGGAGGTTTGAGTTCCTTTATGACTTGAAGAGTGTAATTTATGCCTTCCTAAAAATGTCTTTAAATTTTGAACACAACATTGATTTTTGGTAATATGAATGTAATATGGAAAATGGAAAGAAGAAAGGTTGAAGATACAATGTGTCAAAATCATGATTTGGTTGAAAATACAATGTAATTTTGCATTATTCATGTGATGCTGCATCCCAATAGTTTCTATGCCTTGATTATGTTTTATATTAATGGACAATGGATATTTTTATCTTCTAGCAAGTATAATATTACTCATAATTGAGTGTTTGGTTTATGTTCTTGATTGACATGCCATGATGGTTTGGGAGCATTGAGAATTAGCGAAATAAAATCTTTTTATATGCCTACCTTCTTTAGTCTAGGAGGACTTGGGGATTTTTTTCCAAAATGTCAGTTAGCATTCTGAGGTGAAGACCTTAAATCTTCCCAAAATCTTGGTAACTTTTGAATTCAGAAGCCTCATTTGGATATAATCTATAGTGAGATTTAAGAAATTCCTCCAGGTCTGAATTAGTCATTACAATGTTGAAGCTGAGGGAATGACATGAACTTGTGGGATTTATTTAAATGGAAAACATCCTATGGAAAATGACATTTAGGTCATTCAAACCTGGGGCTTGGCCCCCAATGGTTAACCTGAACCCCTAGGTGGTGGACTCCTGGCAGGGCTGGGATTCTAACCCTAGCTTCTGCATACCCCCTGAACAAAAAAAGTCATTGAGTTTATTCTATTAGTTCTTATGGTCCAGGTCCAATTGAAATCACAGTACAATATGAGATTGATCCCTGTAACTTCCATTAAAGACAAGTTGTTATCTGGGCAGGCACTCTGGTTTATCTTGAGTGACAAGAGAACTGCATTAGCTTCTTTATTAAGCACTCCAAACCACACCCACCATGCACACATACACACAATTTATCTAGTCTTATATGATTGAACAATTACAAGTCCTCTATCTTGAATCAATGGGAGCATAATTTGGACTTTCACTCTTAAAGGTGGGCTCTGAATTTTGGTGTTATAACCGCATTTACTGTTTTACTGATTATTATTTTGATTCCATGGCTTGGTTTGTTCTTCTGTGCAGATTGGTGATTTTGGTATATTGGTAAGATCTGGTTTCAGTGTTACAAAAGCCCTGTTCTTCAACTTTCTTTCAGCGCTGGTGGCACTAGTAGGAACTGCTGTGGTCAGTATTCTCTGCTGCTAGTGCAATTATTACTTCAAATGATAGGCATGCTAGTTAAAAAGTTGCTGCTTTTCCTGTAGGCTTTGCTTTTGGGACAAGATCCTGGACAATCATCTTTGATTGAGGTAATATGGTCACCTGCCAGGCATGTTGGATAAGTTACTTTTGGTGGTCATGGCCTCAAGTTTACAACTATTTTTTTTATTTCCTTTCTTGCAGGGGTTTACAGCTGGTGGATTTATATACATTGCTGTTGCCGGAGTGCTTGCAGAAATGAATAACAATAACAACACAACATTGAGAAGTACTACAGTGCAATTAATCTCATTAACATTTGGCATGGCTGTTGCCCTTTGTATTTCACTTGTAGAATAAAGTTTATTCAAGAACTAATTTTTGTTGACATCCTCAAAGCATGTGCAGAAAGGATCAAATTCCAGCTTTCTTCGACTTCAGGTTCCTGCTAGTATTTGAGAGGTAAACTACCCTCTGTTTTGATCTCATAAAATTAGGAGAGAGAAGGATAAATGCTTACAGCTTACACCTTTACCTAAGTTTAGGACGAATTCCTCACTCTTCCTGACCCACAGGTGAACTCTCTCTCTCTCTCTCTCTCTCCTGTATGCCCTTCTTTTTAATAACCAGTAACATTATGTTGTAGGAAAAAGGTGCTACAGGTTTTTTTTAGCTCTTTTTATATAGTGGGAATGCCTTTTGTCGACGACTGTAACTGGTTAGAAGGAAAGATTGTCTGTTGTGATTCATCAGTGCTAAATTGCAAATGGAGCTTGTCCCCACATGCTGCATGCTGACAATGTTGCTTTTACACCGAAACCATTCTCGTTAAAATTAAAGAAATCATTGATTCTTTTTTAGAAAAACCAGAGCATGCATTATATCATGAAAAATGAAAAAGAAGGAATTACTACTAGTGCAAATGAAGCACGAGTCCCTAAAATTTGAGGATAATCTTTGGAAATGGAAAAGTTGAGCAACACTGATCCATGTAGCAATAAAATGAAAGAGTGGAAGAAATTTCAGATCAGTTCGACAGCCATTAAGTTAGCGCATGCTTTAAACAGGCGAAAGTGGTCAAAGGATTTTACTCGAAAGGTGGTCCCCTCAACTGTAGAGAACCGAGGAACGTTTTTGTTGAATTATTTCTGCTTGTTTGGTTGTTTATTTGTTAGGATTCTCTTTGCTCTTTTGGCCTTGCTGAGCTTTCTAATGGTTAACTGGGTTCCCAGCTCTACTTCTGTTCTTTCTGTGAATTGTTATGGTTTAGAAAGGATTAGGTAAAAAACGAAAGAGGAAGGGCTTCTAAGTTGTATCCATCACTTTTTGGAGCTCAGTATGGTTACAATCTGCTTCTTGCTTTGTCCGTTACCATATTGAAGTTTTAAAGCTACCAAATTGTTGCGTCCCCTAATAACACATTGAGAATTCTTGAGAATCTATTGTGATATATGTCTAGAAACTAATGAGACTTAGGTTTATAACGAACAATACTTTTTCAGTTAGATGCAAGTTTTTCTTTGTGCAGACTGATACAATGCAATATCTGCTTTCTATTATCAGCCCCTGTTGAAGCTGAAATACCATTTTTAAACAGCAGAAGTCTAGAAAATGCAGTTTTAATTAAAATTTGATCGTCCAAGAAGTCATAGTTGTTCATCATTAAGAAAAAACTTTGGATATAGATAATATACAGATCACATCTATTCCAACATGCTAGTACTATAGTTATGAAGCCTGGGCTATATCTAGGATTTCTTTTTCCTACATCAAGCTGAATCTCTCATTTTTCCCGATGCATTTGAAACCAAACATTACAGAATTTAAAAGGATGAGAAAATTGTGGCTTGCATTTTGCATATACCTTTTCAAGGGTTAAACTGGTCGAATTCCTGAAGAATTTGGGAAATGGTAAGATTCTGAGTTGGGAGTGGAGGGAAGAGAAGGTATTCTGACAAGAGGCCTCATTGTGTGGTCGTCGCGGGTGAGAGTGTGATGAAGCCTTTTACGCACCGCTCTTACTGGTGGTTCTGTTGCCACCGCAATTCCTTTCTTCACCATTTCTGGTAGTTCCGATCTCTTCCGAAAGCTCTCAGCTGCAACCCTTTCTTCATGACCTTTTCCTTCCTACAAAAAGAATATATATTTTACATGTCAAAATTGTTGTCTTCCCGAAAAGATGTTTGGAACCACCCTTAAATTGACTCTTTGTTTTCTTCTTCAAAGAATCTAACAATGAAGAAAAATGTTCAATATTCTAGGTTCACTGACGTTTTTTTTTTTTTTTGATAAATTGAAAAAAAAAAACAGTAAAAAAGGTAGGCTTAATTCAAACTTCTTCTGGCAAATGAATCATTCTGACCAAAGAAATGCTTGCTACAGCACAAGTTTTCATGCAGAAAATTGTGACCGGAAATATAAGAACATTATAACATACATTGATGGAAGAAGATGGCATGGGGCATTTTACAGGCCGATCTTCATCCTGTGGCTCCATAGGATGTTCAACAGGCCAGAAGTCGATGTCCAACTCGATTGCATGATGGTGCAAGTCCATACTACCACCCTCTCATCTATTAGTGGAACTTCCCCTTCTTTTCTATCCTGAAACGAAATATATTAATTGAACCATGTAAACACAATGCAGCAAGCTCATGAGGCAGGTTATCTGCTAACAAAATAGGGATAGTAAAAAGAGGCCAATTTTCCCAATTTGGGAAACAATGACGGAGAAGGAAAGAGAGAGATGAAAGGACTTACAAAAACATACCCACATGCAAATTCTGTAGGGAAATATGCTCTTAAGCTCATGCCTGGTGCAGAGAAAATCTTATTTTATATCTGTGAAAGAGAGAGAGAGAGAGAGGTAGTCAAAATAAAAGAAGTGGGGAAGAGAGAAGAAGAAAAAGAGAAAGAAAGCATGAAAAGGGAAGCAGGAGGGGGAGAGAGAGAGAGAGAGAGAGAGGAGGCTCCGTGGGATCGCCTGTACAGTGAAAGATGAAGAAAGATTCCCCACCATATTCACACTTTTTTTCACTTTTTTCTTTCTTTATTAATTTGCTTGGTCTCTGTGTACATTAAAATTGGAGAGAGCTTTTTAACTCATCCTTTCATGCTTTTAAAGAACCAGAGCAGCTGTAGTTTGGTTGAAAATCTTACAATTTCCCACTTTTTCTCCCTTTGTTTTTTCTTGGGTTATGGTCTACATTGGAAAATGCAGCGGATGAGACATGCATGAGCAGTGATATTATGGCATGTACCTCTGTTGGCTGTTGTAGAGCCAAAAAGTTTAAAAAGATAGTGCATAAAATGAGGCAAAATCTAAATAGAGAGCGAAAAGCACGAGATAGCTGCCTTTCTTGTTGACACTTTTGCTCTAAGCTTTAGCCGTTGTTCATTTCTCTGTAATCAAATGTTACATTTATGGGCTATGAGTCAAAAACAAATGTTACATCAAAGCCCAGGAAGAGCCAAATGCATTTGAAACATGCTTAAATGTTTAGGCAATTTAGATTTAACTTCGAAAAAAATTTTGGGCCATTAAATCTTAACCATGAACAAAGGAGGGCCCATATACACAAACACCCTTTTAAGACACTTATCTGTACCTGGGAGGGAGGGTTGTAGTAGGGAGGGCCTGAGGCCCTGAGCTGGTGTGCGGACTCCATTCTACATGTTCCAAATGCGACTTTTCTTGATGAAGCCTTCGAAGTAATAAACCTGTCAGCTATTCCATTAGTCATTCTCATTGAACTTGCCAATATCACACAGACATACATACATAAATACACAGTATTGAGCATTCCTAGTATATATATGGCTTTTTTATTTCGATTTGCCTGACTTCAAAGGAAAAGGAGAAGGATATTATTTCACCGGAAGGGGTAATTAATTGTTGCACCAGGCTAGGATAGAAGAAGAGATAAAACATGATAAAATAATTACATGCCTCGAGACAACATTCTTATTCTAAAAGCAGGGGAAAATCACAGAACTCTAAACAGCCTTAGTAGAGGAACTGGTAACTCTGGATGTAGACACAGTCCCATTGAAGTAAAACTTCTTGTTATTGTTTAGCCAGTTCTTGAAAAGAAGCCTGCTAACACCAATTCTTTCACAAAACCTGTTTATCTCCGCTTGACGACCTTTGTTCCTCATGGTCCAGCCTAGGCTATCCGCAAATGTTCTCATAGCTTCTCTCTGTCCCCTGCTGAACTTCGATTTCCTCTGCTTGAAGCTGTAGTGATCGGAATTCTGCTGCACTTCCTGTGAAATCGAGACCGGAAGAACATGATGCTGCCTAGCGATCCTCTTTGCCTCTCTTAGGCTCCAAAAGGACTTACCAATACCATGGCCCTTTTCAGGAGATTGTACTTCCAAGTCTATTAAAAGGACTTTCCGATGGTAGTTTCTATGGCAGCCACAGGCTTTACAGTGGCTTTCCAGGGTGTTCCTGGGAATGAACTCACTGCAACCATCGATTGCATAGTCACCAAGATAGCATTCGTGGTTTCTCTGGCGGTCTCTGTAAATCTCTTTCTCCATTTCTCTTTCTCTCCCCCTTTCAACTGCAGGGCTGAGACAAGAATATTTGAAAAGGTAAATTGACCATCTATCACGTTCAGGTGGTTACAAAGCATCAGATTCCTCTCTGTATGTTTGCAATGTGGCACATTAAGGGCTAATGAGCTAACAAGTTGGCAAGCATTAGCAGATTTTTTCTCATTTTACCCCTTTCTGATGTTGGCAGCTGTTCATTATTTTGTTATTTTCCCTCCCTTTTCTCATTTTCCGTCATGTAACGCCTCTGCTAGAGTGCTATCCTACGCTCTAATACTATGGTAATTTCTACAATGAAGCCGCTTGAAATTCAATATTTTTGGGTTTTTTTTTTTTTTTCTCCAAGAACCTCTCATTAAAAGACATCCATCATTAAGTTCTATTATTGGCTACTTTCTTATGTTTTCTCTTCCAGAAGGGTAACAATTGAAATTGAGTAGTTTTGAAATTTTCTCCAACAATTCTCTCCTGTCATTGAAGAAATCATCCATTGTTATTAGTCATTGTTTTCTGGTTTTTGTTCTAGAATGCTATCGCTTGAATTGAATAGTTTCTAAGCACTTTCTGCAAGAACTCTCTATAGCTTAAGTTTTAACAAGGAAACAATGTCACAGGTTGCGTTTTCAACCCAAAACACATGTAGGTTTAAGCTCAAGAAACTACACGCTAAAAGAAAATCTTCTCGATTTGAAATCAAAACCTCGAAATTGAAGTTTAAAATTTTAATGTGCAAGAAGGATCTAATAGTTGAGCAAATTTGTCCCTAAAACCCGTATACTATAGCCTATGATTTTCACCATTTGTTGCCAAAACAGAAACACGTGAAGAGAGAGAGCTCAAAATAAGAAAATAATAAGTAACCATGAATAAGGCAAACATGTAGCGACGGTCCAAACATGTATCAACAAATGGCAATGACAGCCAATCGTCGTCAAATCACAGCCACTAATTCAATTAGCCGGAAAATATGGCTGCTTCTTTGGTGTTAGCCATATTTGCAGACATCCAATTATTGACTGTTGAATTTCAATTTGTTGAACCAAAAATTTTTTAGTGACAAACAATAAAGAACTGAGGGCAAACAAAGTTGCAACTACACCAAAGCCGAAATAGAGAGAAAATGGCTTCATCACCCCAATCCGCTGCCTTTTCCCCTTTCCTCTTTGGGCTACGATTCAACATGAAAAAATGACGCTATGGAAGAGGGTCACCGCTGCTATCAAAGACAATAACAGCATAGTCGTGGCCAATTTTTCCAAAAACTGTTCCTTTAGGATCCTGATCTGGAGGCTGCCATCATTAGAAGATGGGTTGTTTGCCATTTGATCTGTCAAGTTTCATGGACGGACGTTCCAGGTCAAGCAAAACATGGGGTTTCAATATTTTTATTCGTGCTTACTTCAAATTTCTAGATCAAAGAGCAATCTTTTCGCTTGAGCAAGACAACCAAAAAGCCGAGAAACGTCTATTGATGGTTCAGCAGCTTTTGAAGCTTCAGAAGTGGCAACCTTTGCTTGATATGTTGCTCCAGATTAGGCCTCGAGCGGATAATATGAAGGTTCGTTTACTTCTCGAAGCCATGGATTTATCATCATCGAGATATTTGAGCTCACAGCAGAATATGCAGTGAGATTGCAAAAGTTTTGTTAAAATATATTCAGTTGGTAAACTTGAAGCAGCCATAGCCCTCAAAATTCTTCAAAAGGCAACGACACAGGGTGAAGAACTTTCTCTATTATTCGAATTTGCAAGGAACATGGCGTTTTAAATGCCAACGAATTCCGCACAGTTACTTAGATTCCGGAGGAAAATGTTCAAGAACTTGAGAGAATAGTCAATGGGGTTTCGGAGAAGACATGCAAGGACTTCGTGGATTTCAAGGAAAAGAACCAAATGGCAATAATTGTGAGAGAAGAAAATGGTGCAATTGTTGAGCAGAGAGAATCAAAGGGAGCTTTGAAGACAATAATAACAGACAAATGGGTGGTTTTTGAGGAAAATAGAAAGATCAATGGAGATAAAAATAGTTTCTTTATTGCAAAGAAAACAGCTGCTGCTAGAGATCTACCTCTTGTAACCAATGATGATGTGCCTGTTTATAATCATTATCAAATTCCGGATTTAATCAGTTTCTTGCTGGTACTTGGAACAGTTGTGTCTAGCTTTGCCTCCAAGGACCTTCAATCAATTCCTGACAATTCTTTTTGGATTACATATACAAAAACAAACAAAAATTGAAAAGGAAAAAAAATCATTAGACCGAGTTTATAAATACAAGTGTTTTTCTGTCCTCTGCCTCTATATTTTTCAAATGACATCATGATATGAACTTTTCTATGTGTAGATAGTAATGCAGGAACATCCATCTTTATGCACGCATTTTTTTTATTATTAATTAACATTTGACTCTTGAATTATATCACTTTTTATGAGTTGATACTTACAAAAAAAATTTTGATTTTGTATTCAAATTTTTATTCAGTCATATTATTTGTCCCAAACATCAATTCTGTTAATAATATACTGATGTAGTAAAAAAATCAATGAATAAAATCATAACAAGTAATAAATTTTCATTGATCAATATTTATCACATCATCATTTTACCTTACACAGTTAGTTAACGATGTAAAATGCTTGATGAAAACAAAATTCAATACCAAATTATGAATTTTGTTTCTATAGGTATCAAATTACAAAAAATGATATAGTTTAGAGGCTAATTTACACATTAATCCTAACAAAAATACTAGTTCGTATATATGTTTGGCAAAGGAAGAGAACTGTTCATTTTCTCTTTTATAAAGAAAAGTAATGTCCATTTAGATTGTCAATAACCCAAATTGTCCACAATCAGCGTACTTACGGCTTCAGCCTGTTCTTCCTTTTCGATGGGCTATTTTATAATGTACGAGAAGAAACTTTTTATGGTGTCGAAAACGCGTCTTGTTGACCAAAGTTGAAAGCTCCCAGCTCAAAACTTTTGTGTTCTATAAATAAACTTCAAGAAAATCCAGAAACTTAAGCAATCGCTATTCAATTACGAGATTTGAGAATGAAAAAATTGTTAGCTCTGTGTTGTTTATTGGCCTTTCTATTCATTAATGAAACTGAAGCAAGAAAAAATCCACGAATATGTTCATCTTCATGCGGTGAAATACACAATATCAGCTACCCTTTCCGCCTAAAGGAAGATCCAGCTGGTTGCGGTGATCCTGATTTCGAACTTTCTTGCAAGAACAACACCACCATCTTGAATTTCCATGGAGGATCATACTACGTGAAAAGGATTTCCTACGACACCACACACTTCGTGTTGCTGATGTTAACTTAGCCGACGGAAGCCGCAGTCTTCCATACAGATCATTGTCATTGGAGGAAGTGTGGCAGGATGCTAGGTATCCAGGACTGGCTGATTACAGTTACTCGTACAATTTAAATTATGTTCGGTGTTCCAACAATATCAGCGATCTGGCTAATAGTAGAGTACCTTGTTTGAGTGGAAATACATCTCATGTTTATGTCAACATAACTGGGTACCCATATTCCTCGTATGATGTTCCAATTCATGCGAGGTTATTGCAATTGTCCCTGCACTCTATGAAAAAAGAGTGGAGCCTTCTTACGAAACAGTCTTGAAGATGCAGGAATCAGGGTTTGAGATGAGATGGTCGGTTGAGTGTAGAGATTGCAAGGCAAAGGGTCGTGGCTGCCGCCTTGCATCTACAGATACTGATTTTCTCTTTGAATGTGTGGAAGAATATGGTTCGTTGGCCAGTCTTCTTTTTGCATCTTCTCTCAAAAACATGAAAATTTTTTCTGATGTTTATCATTTGAATTGTTTCTTTGTTTATGCAGATGATGATGCTGAACCTCGATTGATATACATTTATCTTGCTACAATCTTTCTGTCTGGTATATTTCCATTTCCTCGTCAAAGTTTCAGTGTTTTATTATTATTATTATTATTATTTTAGCTTCTTCATTTCCTTCAACTAAAAATCGGTCTATATTTTCGTTTTGTAGCCATAATTGGTTGTCAGATTCATCACCCTCCCACTGGTTGTATTTTGCTTTCCGTCTCCACGCATACTACTTCTCTACGAGAAAGAAGATTAATGTTATGAAAAAATCTTAGATTGCTGACCGATCAGCAGCCCTTTACTCCAGAAAGCTACAATTATCCTGATATACTTGCAATGTCAAACAATTTCAAAGACAAAATTGGGCAGGGTTGCTTTGGTTAACCTAAAATATGAGCTTCCAGAGTCCATATACATTCAATAATATGGATTTGACAAGGGTCTTTCATTGTTAACCACAAAAAATGAGATCAAACCTAAATAAGTTTTTTTTACATTCCTCAACTAAAATGTCTGGCTGATCTTAGAATCGATTTCGTAGTACACAAGCGTATGCAATATGCTATGATGTGGCAACCTATACCATAAAATGATCAATGGATGATTCAAATGTCAAGCAACAACTAACTTGCCTTCATCTATCAAAATAATTAAAAATATTAATACTAATAACAACAATTAAGAAACTACCATTCAACTTGTTTGAACCAGAGTTTAGCAGGGGATGGGAGGAAAGATGCAACAGATAAACAAAATATGGAATCTGTCCTTTACAATGTTAACCATATGCAAATGGATCTTACAATAAATAACACAACATCTAACAAAAGAAATAACAAAATTTGTCCTTAACACAGCACTCAAATGACAACAAACCACCTTGATCAGCAAGCAATCTCATATAGATCTTAGGACAATATTATTCTATTAGAGATACTTAGATATTTTGGAAACAATATACACAAATCTTAGTAACAGAATGCTTCAAAACATGTTTTATGCAATTTAGAGAGTATCTTACCAGTTTTGACTTTCAGTTGCTTAAGAAAGCATCAGACAATAATGACTTTTGAGAGGGACAGTCAGGTAAATAATGGAACATGCACCTCAACAGAATCAATT